AAGCACATTTTCCTGCCCAAAACAGTTCCATAGATTTGGGCTGTGAGGTCGGTCTATTTCAGGCTGAAAAAACGACTAAGTCCCATCGCGAATGGGACTTGGTCTCTGCAGCTGAAATAAGGCTGAAAAAAAGACTAAGTCCCATCGCCGAATGGGACTTAGTCTCTGCAGCTGAAATAAGGCTGAAAAAAACGGTTGAAAAAAAGACTAAGTCCCATCGCCGAATGGGACTTAGTCTCTGCAGCTGAAATAATTTCCCATTTACTGAACCAAGTGGGAAATAGCAAGGCAGGCACAAAGGGTTTGCACCAGGTCTGGGGACACAGGGGACACCGTCTTAAAGGGGCCGTGTCCCCAACAAGTCTGGGGACACGGCCTTAAAGGGGCAGTGTCCCAATCTTCCTGATGTCCCAAAAAAGGTGTTTAAAGGGCCAGCACCAGTCACATAAAGAGTCCATAAGCCCCAATATGCCCACCGACAGTCTTAAAGGGCCATACACACCAAATAAAAGTGCATACATTTTCACAATCTCCCAGGGGCCATAGTCATGCGGGAGGAGGCTGGCAAATAGGCTTCTCCACAACCCAGGGAAGCAGGGCAATTTGCCATTTAAAGGGCCCGTTACAAATAGCAGTTTGTAACAAGGTGTCAATCCATATCTGCCAAGTGACCCGATGTAGGGGGAACCAGTCCCTATTCTGCTCTGTGTCAGTGTGTATCAGGGAACCTTAGGACAGGTGTCAATCCATATCTGCCAAGTGACCCGATGTAGGGGAACAGTCCCTATTCTGCTCTGTGTCAGTGTGTATCATGGTCTCTGAGGACAGGTGTCAATCCATATCTGCCAAGTGACCCTATGTAGGGGGGACCAGTCTCTATTCTGCTCTGTGTCCGTGTGCATCAGGGGCTCTGAGGACAGGTGTCAATCCATATGTCAAGGTGTCAATATGTCATATGTCAGGTGTCAATCCATATTGATAGTGATTTAGGAATGTTAGGTGATTTCTGCCCTTTATGGATTAAAACCAGACTCTGTATCAACTGTGTAATTTTCCATGGGAGTTTTGCCATGGATCCCCCTCCGGCATGCCACAGTCCAGGTGTTAGTCCGCTTGAAACAACTTTTCCATCACTATTGTGGCCAGAAAGAGTCCCTGTGTGTTTTAAAATTCGCCTGCCCATTGAAGTCAATGGCGGTTCGGGCGGTTCGCCGGTTCGCGAACATTTGCGGAAGTTCGCGTTCGCCGTTCGCGAACCGAAAATTTCGGGTTCGCGACATCACTATTGATGAATAGTTTCTTGAGCATAGTCCAAATGTTTCAAAGAGAGTTTGAATGTGGTCAAAGAGTATGAATGTTTGAATGTCTGAGTCTTTGAGTGTTGAATTTCAGATGTTGCATCAAATGTCCGAATGTCTGTGTCCCCCAAAGTGTCCCAATCTTCCATTGTCCTTACTTTTTAAAGGGCCAAACTCTCTGCACGTCACTAATTGATAGGACCAATAGGGAACTGTAGGTGTGTCTACCCTACAGACTATCATCTAGCTTTTGGTCAGTAGATGGCGCAATTACATCACCAAAATTTCTTGTCATGGGGTCCATTTGCCATTATGCATAATGGGGTAACTGAATTCCCACGATGAATTTGATGTAATTTACTTATCTATTTTATATCCCTATAACTCAACTTTCCTGCCAATTTCAAAGGCTTTACCCCAGTCTTCGTGATGGCAATTTCAATCGTAATTTAGAATTGATACCTCCTAACCTTAATTTCACCCTTTTTCTTACAATGGGACTTTGTAAGATTTAGAAAGTAAAATTAATTACTAAATGTTATCTGTCACTTGTGTCTGTGTTTAAAATTTATTTTTCTATTCCACTAACATTTATTAAATAATATGATATTTCTTCATGAATATTTATCCATGAATAGTTTATATTTTTAACATAATACTGATTATATGTGATTAATATAATAGTAAGTATAAATGGATAGTGTGTATATGTGTGTGTGTATATATATATATACATATATTTGCCTCTGGGTTAGTATTCCTTCCCCCATCCTTGTAAGACAACATGCCTTATCTTGTTTACATAACGCATTCCTTAGCTCAGACCTGAATGAATAGAGTTACAGAGAGAAATTCTGTGTCTTTCTTAGACAAAATGGAGTCCTCTGTTCTGAGAGTGACTGGCAGTGCACTTTTAATTTCTATCTTAACACAAAATGTCTGCCGATATAAATATACTGACAAAGTACAACGTTTCCAGCCTTGTCACTATTTTGTTATAGCCTACTGCTAGTAATGTCTACCCCAACTTTCCACCATCGAGTGATTACCTTGGGAGAATTGTAACAAAAAAAAAACACAAAGTGCATTAAAAAAAATAAACAATCATAACAACAACACAACCTGGAACAAAGTTAATGTCTTCACTTCTGCAGTGGAGAGCAGCACAATACATTACACTGAAAGGCACAGAAACATACATTAAAATAAAAAAATGCTTGGATTCCCACGTTTGCCTTTTTTTAGTACGTGAAGATTATTATTATTATAAGCATTTTGTTTATATATTATTGTTACTATGATTACCATTGGTTTAACATCAACATTTTGACAGCTCTTTACAATTATAGAGGGGATATTTAGAGCGGTATTATGCCTATAATCTGTGAGGATTTGAGGTAGGCAGATATATATCATTAGGATGTTTCCCAAGGACACTTACCAGTGAGGTGGTCTGACCAGAATGTCAATCAGAGTTTTCTGGTTGTAATTTAATGACGTTATTACTGCTGTAACCAGCCGAAAGCTTGCACTAATGGCTGCTATCACACTCTAACATCTACCGGCAATGCTGTGTTGGTATGGCTGAGATTTTACAGTTGGCAATCAGCTGCTACAGTAAACAGTAGCATTTAGTTGTGCAGAAAACCTTGATGTTCATCTCAAAACCACCTTCAATCATAAATAAAGACTTCAACAACTTCTTTCAGTATTTTTGTTCAGTCACCAGAAATTTGCCTCAGCAAGTTTTCAACACTAACAGTTTGTCAAGTCTACATTATGTCAAAAGATTAGCATGAAATGCACCATTTATACAAATTAGTAAAGCAATCTTCTCACCATGAATATTTGTTTTCTTTCACTTGCTATACCAGCTGTAACTGGGTATTTCCTTGCCAAATCAGTCATGTTTTTTACTTTTTAATGTATTACAACACATACTAGAAAATTGACTCTTTTCTGCGTCATCACATTGGCATCACATCTTCCAAATTGGTATAGTTTGAGTGTATAGCAACAGATATTTCTATAGAGTTTTTGAAAAAATGGCCACCAAAATATTGAATACAGCAGCTCAAGTATATCTTTTTTTTCGTAAAGGAGGCAAGTAGGTCTCATCTGAAAGAACTCTCCAAGACTTCTCCAAAGATACCGAAAAACTTCTATGTGTTCTGGTTACCGAAGCATTGAATGTTAACCAGTTGGTTTAAAAATAACACACATTGCACCCCTATAGCCTCATAAAGACAGAAAATATAAACCTGAAACTCCCCATAGGCTCATTCTTCAGATGGCTCTTTCTCTGTGCCAAACTTAAAAGAAATCAAAGCATGTGGTGCTGAAAAGTGCTTCTTCATTGATTTCATATGGAATTCCCGAACTGATTCTTTGTCTTGTGTCTAGCTTTCAGTGGAGTTTGGCAGTATCCAATTGGCAATAGAGGAGGAATCCAGTACTTTTCCAGCATTTCTCCTGGTAAGAATCACACTCATCCATCATGAAGTTTATGTCACGGTTCTCACCTGATAGACAGACGGCAAGACGTGGTCGCTCTTGGAGTTCCCAACAGGGGACTTGAACCGGGGATCTTCTCAGTCCTGGTCCTGCTTTCTACCTCTGAGCCACAGCAGCTATTTACAGTGAAGACTGATTCCAATCCTGTTCATCCTGACATGGCTACTACTCTGGGGGCTGCACCTTGACTTGGCTGTGTTTCACCTGACTCTGATCAGTCATCAGCAGGGTATATAAACCCAGCCTCGCCCTGTGCTCAGTGTCAAGTCCTTGATCCTGTTTGTTCCAGTGTTTCTGTTTCATCGCTTCGCATTATTGACCCCGGCTTCCTGACTCGTTTATTCTGACTTCTGGCATCCCTTGACTTCGGCTACTCCTCGTTGTTCCTGTCCTCTGGCATCCTTTGACCTCGGCTATCCCTCGACCATCCTGCTGGTTCAGTCCTTGCCTGTCCTGCGTATTGGTACTGCATCCTGCACAGCCCCCGTGCACAGACCCACAGGCCAGGTGAATTCTTACCTGACCACCTCGGCCTGTGGCTATCTGCAAGGGTGAGCATCATATCTGCGCTACAGACTCCCAACTCAGGTAAGACCCTGACATAAGGACTTGACCATTATGGAGTCCGCAGAGATGTGCTCACCCTCGACCCAGCGTGTGTCCAGCCTGGCCCAGACTGTTTCGGAGCTGCAGCAAGAAATTTTATTCCTTAAAGGCGCAGTACATCCAGCCCCGGAACCAGCTTTTCCTGAACCGTTTGTCATCATGCCCGACCGATTTGATGGTAGCCGCACATCCTTTCAGTCTTTCAAGATGGATTGTGAGGTGTTGTTTTCCTTAAAGCCTCGAACATATGCCACAGAATTCATCAGGGTCAGAGCGGCTATCAACCTGTTGTCTGGACGCATCAAAGTTTGGGCTCACCAAATGTTGCAGACGAAGAGTCCTGTCCTGGTCAGCTGGGAATCCTTTAGTACTGCTATGGACTCACAATGTAAGACCACTGTGGCCAAGTCAGCTCCACGTACTAAAAAATCTCAGACTCTTCCTAACCAAGAAACCGAGTACCACCACTACGCCCCAGAAATGCCTCCTTATGTTCCAGCTCCCAGGAAAACTCCAGAGGTATCCGGTGTTCCACTTGACCCTGTGGAACCTATGCAATTAGGACTCGTCCACTGCAAAGTGACACCTAAGGAAAAAGACCGAAGGAGAAGCTATGGCCTATGTTATTACTGTGGAGAAAAAGGGCACTTCATCACGCTTTGTCCTGTTCGCCCTCCTAGACCTCCAGCTCTCCGACTTGGTACTAGTTTCCTTCGCCCTGTGTACACCGCATACCAGCCTAAAAAGCCAAATAGAAGCCGTTGTGCTTGCACATGCTTGGCTTCCGCGAGAAAACCTCCATCCCCTGCTCCAGAGCCTCCTGCATCTACTCCCGAAGTTGCTTCCTGTGATACCACCACTACTTCCTGCCCGCCCGAAGAGGTTTTACCTGTGGATTGTGCCGTTACTTCTAATGGCACTATAGTCCGTAAAGAAGACCTTGATATGTTCGAAAAAGCATTGTTAGCTGCGAACACTGCTCCTGCCAAAGTTTTGGAAGTGCTTGCCACCTGTACCCGGAACCTAAAAGACCTGGACAATTCTCCAGCCGTACCAGAAGCTGGTACTGCGGACTCCCAAGCTGTAAAGGGAATCCTTGCTGGGGAGTTTGACTATGGGGACTCACTGGATTCAGATAGTGACCCTGGAGAGGTGTACTATGCTGACAATGAACCCATTCACGCCCGGAGGTCGTTTTTAAAGGGGGGGGTACTGTCACGGTTCTCACCTGATAGACAGACGGCAAGACGTGGTCGCTCTTGGAGTTCCCAACAGGGGACTTGAACCGGGGATCTTCTCAGTCCTGGTCCTGCTTTCTACCTCTGAGCCACAGCAGCTATTTACAGTGAAGACTGATTCCAATCCTGTTCATCCTGACATGGCTACTACTCTGGGGGCTGCACCTTGACTTGGCTGTGTTTCACCTGACTCTGATCAGTCATCAGCAGGGTATATAAACCCAGCCTCGCCCTGTGCTCAGTGTCAAGTCCTTGATCCTGTTTGTTCCAGTGTTTCTGTTTCATCGCTTCGCATTATTGACCCCGGCTTCCTGACTCGTTTATTCTGACTTCTGGCATCCCTTGACTTCGGCTACTCCTCGTTGTTCCTGTCCTCTGGCATCCTTTGACCTCGGCTATCCCTCGACCATCCTGCTGGTTCAGTCCTTGCCTGTCCTGCGTATTGGTACTGCATCCTGCACAGCCCCCGTGCACAGACCCACAGGCCAGGTGAATTCTTACCTGACCACCTCGGCCTGTGGCTATCTGCAAGGGTGAGCATCATATCTGCGCTACAGACTCCCAACTCAGGTAAGACCCTGACAGTTTATTCTTTTTTTGTGTTTTGTTTTTATTTAGCCAGTTAAACACAGTCACATTTATTTACTAAAGTAAGAATTGTTGGGAATTCAAAGTGAATTTCACATTTAAAGACCCATTATAGACAAGGCAGTGGTCTGGGTGAAGTGGCCCTGTCGTTTTAATCCTGCAATGTAAAACTGGAGTTTTTTTGTAGATATGGTAGTGTTTACATTGCAGGGCTAAACACACCTCTAGTGGCTTTCTTCCTGACCACCATTAAAGGATGCTTCCACTGCTACGACTGAATCAAACTCAGTTATTTGATGTTTAGTGTCCTCCGCACTCAACGAATGTTATTGTTAGATTGCAATGCACAGTCTGAATGACTGCAACAACGGATTTTTCCAAGACTGTTTAATTTTAATTTTTGCTCGCTTAGTTTAATAGAGGGTTTGACAAATTTGCTTGGAATCTAGGAACGAGCCAAAAAAAAGTTAGGAGCCATTTTTTTTTTAAACCAACAAGTTTATATTCAACAGCAAAAATACAATTCTTAAAAGGATACAATAGTCACCAAAACCACTATAGCTAAATTTTCTCTACTATTTCTGTGTATCTGAGGATATTAAAATAAGATTTCCATGTCAATTACGTAATTTATCCATTATTAATTGCTTTTGGTATGGAGGGGAGGTGTGAATTTTAAGTTTACTTTCAGGTTGTGAGACGAAAAAGGTTAATAACCCTGATATAGAATAACTCCAGAAACCTACTAGTCTGTTACTTGGAAGGAAGTTTTGGTTGTGTGGTTATAGTACTCTTCTAAGAGCAACAGGGACATTGCACCAAGTCCACTTCAATTAGCGTAAGTGACTATAGTGTCTTTTTAAGGCATGGCATTAAAACTCCAAGAGGAGTACTGGCAACCCCAACCTTGTGGAGACCCAGCACATCGGAAAGTTGAACTCTAACATGTTTAAAATGTAATCATTTAGCAGTTAAAACTTGTACTACAGGGTTCGCGAGCAGTAAAAACAATATATTTCATAACTCAAACAGAGGGAATCTGATCATCTCTCGACTCATTTGTTTCAATATGGGGAAGAGGTCTAAGAAACCCACTCAGGAGACGGCAAAAGACGGATCGGGGATCTCTTCATGGCGGGCCTAAAACTAAAATGGCTGCAGTGCTAGATTCCCGGAGTTCATACACGGAGGAGTGTGGCGAAACCAACCTCGCCACTGTGAACTGGAGAAGCCTGGTTGCTCGCCTGCTCCCTTTGGACTATGGCCCTGCAGGTTAAACCGTTTATTTCCCCTGCATAAAGGCTTATTTGTGTGATCTGAGTGCCATTCATCTAATAATGTGCACTCAGATCCCAGCTATCTGGGGATATGTGAAATGTCTGTGTGTTATGTGTAAAATGTGACTTTATGTATTTTAAAGTGTTTTGTGTCTTTTTGCAACCATGTGCTTAATGGAGTCTTGTGTCTATCCTGGGAGATAATTGAATTACTCTCCAGGATAGAAGACTCTGAAACTGGTTTGGGCCAGAAAGCCATGCTTCATTTAGTCACAAAGGACTTTCCCTTAACTTTTGAACCCCTGGTCTGATTCGTGCCATTTTTTTATATGTTGTTCCCCTGAATGGATTGATTATGAAAATGTATGTTTTATGTTTGTGACATGTATATTTTAGAAGTTAGAAATATTGTGTAAAAACTGTATTCCTCTGCCGGTGATAATGAGATTACCCATTGTGTTCAGTAATCATATCACCTGCAGAGGGGAGGATTTTGTGTGGGAGTGTCTGGGTGTATTGTACGGATTGATTGGTTGTTTTGTAACGCCCTGTGGGCTGTACTATGTTTGTGGATTGGGAATAAAAGAGACTGTATGTAACAGTACAGGGAGTTCCTGTTTTAACCCTCAAAGTGAAGTGTCGTCTCATTATTGGGGGAAGGATTTACTGTATGCTGTTCCAGTTTGACTGCTAGGAGAGTAAACCTATTCGTATGGTTCCTATTCAACGGTCTACAGCATTCATATGCTTGGGAGAATTTATTTGTTTCTCCGGTTCGGTGATTGTGGTGTCTGCCAGAGTGCTTGGAGTCCTCAGGAAGCGCTTGGAGCATCCTTCAACGGAGGTACCCAGTCGGGGTGCCAGGCGATCCGTTACAAGGAGAAACCCTTGGATGCCCCTGACCACATACCTAAGGCCGAGGATCCTCTTCCTACAGAATTACTGGGGGACCTGAGGGCTCCAGCAACTAAGGGAGACATCTTAGACCTCCTGAAAAACATACGCGTCTGGTTCTGAGTGGACATCGCAGTACTGCAAGAAGAGATGACCACAGTCACAGACCGGTTGAAAACTGCAGAGAAATATACTGTACGTCAAGTGGGCAGAGCCGAAAAATTTCAGCAACTACAGTTTTCACTCCAGGCCTTGCAGACTAGACTGGATACACTAGACGACGCAAGGCGATGGAATAACATCAAAATATGTAGCATAGCAAACCCATAGATGACAGGGAGCTGCCACACTTCCTCCGATGCCTCCTCTCTGCTATCCTGCACCCCAGACTAGCCAAACATACACCCGTGGAGGGGTCTTAGGGGCTTCTTAAGTCCGCGGGGCTCTAGCGGCTGCATCCTGCGATGTTCTACTTCGCTTCCAATCCTTTCGTGACAAGATGGCGGTGGTACACACGCTTAAAAACGAAGACATACAGCTCACCTTCCTGCAGGATTTATGCGGGACACTCTGGCCCTGTGAGAAGTCAGTATCAAGTACCGATGGGACCCATCTCGCACCCTTCTGGTCACCAAGTGAGATTCCACCTTCTGACTCAACTCCCTGGATGACATGGGCTCCTTCCTGAGAAGCTTGGGGCTGGACCAGTCTAACCCACACACCGCATCTGCAGGGTGCTGCTGGGACGTTCCCAATATTGTCCCCTTTGTACCTTGCCCCGCAGTATATACAGGCTGAGACTATCCTGTCATCCTTTGGATGCAACAAGACCCTCCACCATGGAGAGTGAAGTCAGAATCTCACTGTAAATGCTGTTTTAATGTTCTCACATTATAATATTAAGTTACGATATTTTTAGTTTTGTTTGGTTGCTCCTCCTCCCCTCCAGACACCACCAAATCAGACCCGCATACCCCCCCTGTGCTCAGGGGTAATTGAGTGCAGTAAATAATTGCCTTCTGGTCATGGTAGTACATAAATCATTAGTCCTTCATTCCATTCCAGTATAAATGCTACCTATTCTCTTAATTTTTATAGTTCTAACTACTTCTTCAGGGTTATTCTTAGTCTGAGAACCATATAACCACTGACCTCCATCAGGAGGGCCCTTCACCCTTTAGTAGCCCACCTATAAAAAGACCATGTCTGTTTAGACTATTTTGCCTATTTTTATTATAACAAAAATAAAAAATCCCTTGCACATACCTCCCTGATCTAGCAATGTGTTTTGTGCTGATTGATGCGTTTCCTTCATGTTATACCTTTTTATGCTTATACACTTACTATTGTCCTTCCTACGTTGTACGGCATGAAGGGAGCAGGGTATAAATAAAGAATAAAAAAATAAAAACTTGTACTACATAGGACTAGAACAATAAGATAGGCATTTTTTGTGTGGTTTTTCTTTTTGACACTTAGCACATTTCTTTGTGGGTTATTTAGCAAGAAATTACAGCAATTTAGGGCTTTAAAATATGTAATATTAGAATCTGTGAACATATCTTTTGTGAATATTTAAATTAAAATAAATAAAGTGTAATGTGTTAAATTACCTGTTGATATGAAGGACGAAGCACCATGACCCAATGTGTGAAAGTTATGTATCTAGTGTGGCTACTCTGAATGTTCTTTTATTTAATTTCATTATACCCTATAGTTTTATACTTTGGTAGCAATGTTAGTGTTTAATGTATACCTACAATATTTATTAATATTTATAATGTGTAGACATTATGCCAGTGAAGTGGTCTGTGTGCAGTGTTCCTATCTTTTTAACCCTGCAATGAAAAACATTGTGTTTTGTAGGAACAGCAAGCAATGTTTTCTTTGCAAAGTTAACACACCTTTAGTGACTGTCTTCCTGACAAACACTAGAGGTGCTTCTACTACTATAGCTGATTAAAGCTTGGTTATAGACCAAATGCTTCTCAGAGCTGCATTGCAATATATTGGGTGTGATCATTAATATTGTTAATCTCAGGGTGGGAGGCGTAGTGGCTCGGTAAGGGAAGAATGGTTAATAAAATCTTTCAAGCCCTCACATAGCGGAATACCTAAATAAGTAGGGGAACACTATAGCATTAGGAATATATGTTTGTAATTACATTTATTACCATACATTGTATATATAATTAATGTGAGACGTGGCGGGGACCCCCCTGTATCTAGTGTGTTTGTTGGCTTTCCTCTGCAGCTCCAGATTCAGAGTCGTACATGGAGGATAATGAAATCGAAAGAATCATTCTCGATCATGACATTGGAAGTCCACACTCGAATTCACACTCTAGGTCTGGTCTTTGTGGTAAGTCCTCTGGAATTTCTGTTTATACAGTGAAGACTGCAACAGAATATTTTGAGGAAATTTTGTTTTTCAGGAGATTTAAAAATAACTTAATAACAATCCTCTCAACATGGCAAATATGGAAAACTGTATTAATTTGCAGAAATTGGTACAACTACAACACTGCCCATTGAGTCAATGAAATTAAAGGATGAGTTTTTACTAAAAGATCCTTCAACTTGTGTACATGGTGTGTACTTTGCACACACTAAACTTAGATAGACATTTCTGTGAGTGCATTGAGTGCATGATATAATCTGTTTTTCTATGTGACAGGAGACAACATGTTCTGTGTAAGCATGAATGTTTTTACAATGAAGCCGACAAGTCCTGGGTCTAGGTTGGCAGGTTTAATAAGGCACAGATTTTGAGCTCTTTTTCCATAGATAGATTGATTTGCCTACCTCCTTCCTTCTAACACCTCTTCCCTAATATGGTGCCTGCCTTCCTTTGCTTATCAACACTTGGGCTGTTTGGGAGCCCTTCTGCACTCAGCTTCTCCTCCAGACAGTGTGACTCCATGAAACTCACACTTAGACTCAGCTAGGCCTCCAGTAATACACTGCTTATTGTTTTAAAGTGAGCTTGTAACGGATCACCTGGCACCCCGACTGGTTACCTCCGTTGAAGGATGCTCCTAGCGCTTTCTGAGGACTCCAAGCACTGCAGCAGACACCAAAACCACCGAACCGTAGGAGCATATGAATGCTCTCAAGCATATGAATGTTGTATACAGCCGAATAGGAAAAACCATGCGAATAGGTTTACACTCCTAGCAGTCAAACTGGAACAGCATACAATAAATCCTCCCCCAATAATGAGACGACACTTCACTTTGAGGGTTAAGCAGGAACTCCCTGGACTGGCACATACAGCCTCTTTTATTCCCAATCCACAAATTTAGTACTGCCCACAGGGTTTTACATAACAACCAATAACACACGTACATTACAGAAAGACACTCCCACACAAAATCCTCCCCTCTGGCTGTGATATGATTACTGACCACAATGGTGAATCTAATTATCACAGCCAGAGAAATACAGTTTTTCCACATTATTCATAACTTGAAAAGTATGCATCACATTCATATAAAACTTACATTGTCATACTCCAAATACAAACATATGTCAAAATCATACATATTGGTCCAGTGGTTCAAAAGTTAAGGAAAAGTCCTATTTGACCAAATGCAGCATGGCTTTTCTGCCCAAAACCAGTTCCACAGAGTCTTCTATCCTGGAGATAATTGGGGAAGTAATCCAATTATCTCCAGGACAGAGGCAAAACTCCATTAGCCACATGGCAGCAAAAGACAATAAAACACATAAAAACATATAACTGTGCAGCCATTGCACAAAACAGGTACATTCAACATATCCCCAGATAGCTCAGATCTGAGCGCACATTATTACTGAATGGCGCTCAGAGCATACACATACAGTTCAATTGCCATGGAGCCAAAGTCTTTCCCATAGTCTTTCATTATACAAATGGGCTCCCTGGCATAGCTATCTGGGTAACACTGCTCACATAGGGAAAGTACCGAAAGACCCAGCTTTTGGGTCTTTGCAGGGGAAAATCCATCCTTTCAACATGGGGCCATAGTCACAGGGCAGGAGGCCGGCAATCAGTCTTCTCCAATGCCCAGTGGCGAGGCTGGTTCCGCCACACTTAGCAATATTAACTAGCCACAGAGATGTTGGTTTTTATTTAATTGATCTGATCAACCTATTGCAGCATTAATCAGCTGGCAAAGCTTTAAAAGAGCTGACCATTCAAGGAAAAACGAAGAAACCTCTAATGAGGACAGAAAATCATTAAATGAAAATAGTACCCAAGAGCTCTCACTGCTAAAAAAGGTAGTCACCGTTACCGGCTGACATCGATGTTGGAGGCTTCCTCGTCCCTGCAATCGCTGGGACTTGCACCTACTTGACCTGTCTATCAATGTAACTTGGCCAATGTGGTGGTCTTCACCCCGTCTGGATCCATGGCCCCTGGCTTATTTAGCATTGCAATTTATTTTGCTTTCATCTGGAGCACGAAGAGTTGATGGTGAACTTTTGGGTTTTAACTGCCTTGCTCCGTTCGCTGTACTGCTGATTGTTTGAATTTAATTTTACTTTAGCTTTCCTTTGTGTCACATCACTTACCTAGAAATGGGAACTTAACCTATCGGGTTCTTAGCTGTTCCTCCTACTTACCTTACCCTTTATGTGTTTGGGCTATGCCCTGTGAGTAACCAAGCTCGCCCACAGCCAGGTGCTGACTCTTCTTTCCCCCCCCTCGAGGAGCTGAGTCTCGACGGAAGTGAGAGTCTGGTGCGTATGACACAGCCAGCCCCGGGCTCTGAATGAGCTGACCGCTTGCGCCCTCGGTTCCGGTACCTTCCATGGCCAGCAACGGGATTCCTGGTAAGTATGTTCCCTCCAGGTGGTGGGATGCGGTTTGAGGGATGTCCTCTAAGGGCTCAAGGCCCCGGAAGGCTGATGTGGCGACCAGGCCCAGCCGTTAGATGCGGTGGCTGAATGATACAGGCGGATGTTGAGGAAGCTCCTGCAGGAGTCCCCGAAGTCGAGGTTAGTTGCCTCTAGGTACACTGCTGATGGCTTGTGTAGCCTGATGTGGGTCTTGAAGCCGCCATGTAGGTAGTGGAGCACAACATGTGCCCAGTTGTTGAGCGGGCCCCGTAGGGGGTGAGTGGCTGGACTTCGGTCCCCTCCGGTGGGGGCCGGAATAACGCCCCCGGCCTGTGGGGGGGGGGGACTGGGGCCTGTGAGGTATGTCACAGGGCTGCAGTGTAGCTGCCAGATTTGTGGGCAGGGCAGTGGCCCCCCGCCCCTCGTCCGATTAGGCCGCAGGTTCCAAAGCTTTGTACCCCAGGTGCCCCAAAACTCCCCATCTCAGAGTCTACGGTGGCGCCAACCTTCAATCATGCACTTGAGCGGGCAATACCGTTCCCTTGGTGCCCTTAGGACCAAGATTATTGCTATTTTAGGTTGGATGTAGCAGGAGCCTCGATGACATGTGACCGGTCAGCATGGCGGTCAGGCCCCGTCCCCAGATTAGAACATATTTTATCAGGAAAATTATATTTGTGACTGTTCTGTTTTCAGATATCCATGGGAAAGCTTTTATGTACAACACAATGTCCTACATTTAGCATTGATTATGGATATTTTCCAGAGACACAGTTAGAAATCATGTGGGAGAACTGGATTCAGTGTTAGCCACTATAATAAATCATTAAATGATGGCTACTGTAAATATAGTGTTAAATAAAGCATAATCAATACAATGGGTCAAGCTCATGTAACCTTGGCGCTCTAGATGGTGTGGACTTCATCTACCATAATGCACTTAAAGATATAAGGGAGATGCCGTCCACAACCTCTGGAGTGCTGGAGGTTGCCTATACCTGGAGTAAACTTTATAGTTCAGGGTAGAGTTCAGTGTTAAAACAATGTTGTTTCTACCCTGCAGAAAATGATGGATAATTAGCTAGTAGTCTAATGTCAAGGCTTGGTCTCCTACTTATTTATTCTAGGAAATCATCCTCTCTCTTTGTTCTAATAATCCCCTCTGTTGATTTTATTAATCCATCTGTTTGTTCTAATGTTTCAATTAGTTCAATGTACTTTTGTATTGCAGATGAAAGTGCTCTCTTTTCCAAAACTCCTGAAGATCTTACCCTACTTAAGACACAAGTCAGTAAGTGAGTTATTCCCAACAATACACACTGCATTTTGCCCTGTTGAAAAGTAAGAAACCTCATGAGGGTATCATGTATGTTGCGGACCGCCTGGCACCCTCACTGGTTACCTCCACCAATCGATGCTTCCTAGCTGACACTGAGTACCATAAGAACCGCACTGGACACCATAAGCACCATAGCCCCTTAGCCACCGCAGCTTGGTTGGGGTCTCGCCGTCCCTTCCCACCCTGGACCAAAGTCCTGGATCCAGCTCCCAGTGGGAAGGCCTCTCCTCCAAGAGAGTATAGCAGGGTATAGCTGTATATAGCTCTTATAAGAACTAGAGTTTAGGATGGGGGTTTTGAAGGCAATGGGTATAGATGCCCGGATGTTAACAGCGATAGGCTCTATCTACCAAAATCCGACGGCGAGTGTGGTGGGTATAGACTTATGCTCAGATTGGTTTCCACTAAAGAATGGCACCCAACAAGGGTGCCCGTTGTCACCTATATTATATCTCCTATCAATGGAAGCTCTTGCCATCAGAATAAGAGATAACCCTGATATTAGGGGGGTACCAACCCCTGATAGAGACCTAAAAATTAGCATGTATGCAGATGATACAATTCTGACCCTTACAGATCCTACTCAATCGGTCAATAACTTGATGAAGGACATAGAAGCATATAGCAATATTTCAAATTATAAGATAAATACAGAAAAAACAACAGTGATGTTTAAAAATTGTAAGATAGAGTGGAAGAATGAATTTTGAAAGACATATGGTTTTACGGACGCTAAGGGTAGCTTTGAATATTTGGGAGTAATAATAACGGATAAAATAGAAAATATGATAGAAACTAATTTTACAAGGCTACTGAAATCCACCGGGATATCGTTAAAAAAGTGGAATCATTTGTTTTTTAGTTGGATGGGAAGGATAAACATAATAAATGCGTACATAGTTCCAAGATGCACCTATTTTTTTAGAATGGTTCCCCTAAAAATTCCCTTACCATGGTTGGAGATAATACAAAGGATTATCAAGAATTTTATTTGGAAAGGGAAAAAACCTCGGATCAGTTTAGACCAATTAACGAATACTATAGGGCAAGGAGAGGTAAACTTCCCAAATATTGTAAGACATTATGAAGCCACCATTATATACCATACCCAATTATTGGGCAAAAAAGATTCTGAAAAAACTGGTTGGTTTGGATTAGAGACTCAATTATTGAATAAGAAGGAACTAAGTAGTTATCTTTGGCAATCCAAGAATACTGGAAAGGAAGTTAAAAATATAATTTTAAATCATTTATTTAATAATTGGTTTATGATAAGGAAAAAACTAAAAATTCTGGGTTATATTTTTGGATTTATGGAGATAGAAATATTGGAGGCTTTAATGCACGATTTAAGATTAGATACCTGGAAAGATCGGAATATTCAATCATTGGACGATATAATAATAGGGGATAGAATGAAAGATTTTCTAACTCTGTCTAAAGAATTTGACCTTCCACAAGTAGAGGCCTTTAGTTATCTAAAAATAAAGTAGTGGTCTTATAAAGCAAATTTTTGGAAGTGAAAGCCCTAGGAAAAATATGGCTAGTAGTTATGCATTGATAAGATCCGCTCCTAAAGACATAAGGTCTAAACAAATAAAAAGATGGGAAAAGGAATGTAATTTAAAGATTGATCTCACGAGCTGGGGTAATATGATGATAAAGGTAAAAAAAAATATTCATAATATGATTCTGTTTGAGACGCGTTATAAAATATGTTATCGTTGGTATTTAGTGCCAAGTAGACTAAATAGAATTGACCATAAGGAGTTGGATATTTGTTGGAGATGTGGGAGTGAAATTGGAAGCTTTATCCATATCTGGTGGAGTTGTAAATTAATTAAGAAACTATGGGATGAGGTTTTCAGAAGATTATATGTTTGGGATAAAATTTTGATAGAAAAATCTCCAACCTCGGCGCTTCTACATCTCCACTGGCCTGAAATATAATTATATCAACAATTTTTAACTATACTTTCATTCATGGCAGTGAAGATTCTGATAGCAAGAGGCTGGAAAAATTCTAAGTTTATTGATTGTAAGCATTGGGAGAAACAGCTGTTGTCCCAGATCAAGAATGAGATAGGCATATATACGGGGAAAGACAATGTAAAGAAATATGAGATGGGAATAAAGTGTTTACAAATTATAGAAGATAGTAGAAACTTAGGAGTAGTTCACTAATTCACTTCAGTTTATCGAGCTGTTAAAGAATAAGAGACATATATTGTTTCCTATGCATGCTGTGTTCTTATCCAACTTTGTATGCGTATGAATGGTGTATGCTTAGAAGTAATTGTCTAGATTGTATGTTAGATATTTATTGTTGTTTTAAATTGGTATGAGATATTTGTAATTTATTCTTGTGTAAAACCAAATAAAGATTTATACGGAAAAAAAAAGAACTAGAGTTTATAGCACTATAGCTGTTCCTTACAATCACGAGACGAGGCAGCGTGTTGAGGGTGAAGTGAACTGATTTTAATGGGACCACACTTGGCCTGTTATAACAATCCCAATGCAAGGGGCACTCCCCCATGGACCTTGTGGGGGACTGCAGTACAAAATCACAGACCAATACAATCATGTTACAAGGCATGACACTTCCCTACATATCATACAATCCCTCCCCTCGGCCTTGGAAGCAATTGAGTCAGATACTATATTAACTCAATTATCTCCATGCAGAAAAACACATTTTTTATAAAACCCCAAAAGTACTCCAAAAACACATAAGATCCCCACAAATGTTACATCCCCTGATAGCCCTGATCTGGGTTATCAACATTTCCAGAAATCACCCAGATCAGTTCAGGGGTTCAGAAATTTTCTGGAAGTCACATTTTGACCGACCGCACACCGGTCCCATGCCCAAAACAGTTCCAGAGAATCAGGCTGTACGGTCGGTCTATTTCGGGAATTCGAAGTAGGATATAAAATACCGAACGTATAGGTTAGGAAGTAGCCTCAATTAATGTCCCTCCTTCGGGAGTTTATTCCCACCGAACGATGTTCGATTCCCATTTGAATAGCCGAACATCAGTGGAAGGTATTTGTATAGCGGTATTCGCGCCCTCGATTGTCAGATTTCAGTTCCATGTACTCTACGACCAAACACCGCCGCCGCCGCCACGTGTTCGAATGCAAGCCGACTGCTTCGAACCGCTTTGAACGTTCGGGAGTTCAAAGTGCTCCTTCGAGAGTTTGAAGTGTTGCTAAGTGAATAATGTTACAAAAGGCACAAACAGTGTCTGTAAGCAAGGTTTATCACTAATGGCAGCCTACAAAATGTCCCTAAATGCCGCTAATCACTCATCCATATATACCGGAAGTCGGGCCAGATTAAGGGCCTATTGGGTCTAGCACTGACAATTATGATTGCCGTAATTACAGAATCTTATCGACAAAATATACTAAAAACACTCCCAAAGCCTCTAATATCTGGTGAAGGTGTTGCTGGAGAGAAACTCACAGGATCTAGCTATAAGACAACACATACCCTATGCTTATATCTGGCTTTCATCTTTCAAGTAAATCCATACCCCCTAACAGCAGGATGTCGGTGAGCAGAGTAAAAGGCTGGGCCACTGACACAAATCACTTAACCAGAACTGCCCAAAGGGGCGAACATGTCCGAGTCCGAGTCTGCCCGAAGAATTAGGTCAACCTGGTGTAAATGCATGACAGGCTGCCAGCAAAAGGCATACCAGGCAGACAGCACCCTGAGCTTGGCATAAATGCGTCTAAGGATGTGCTCGCTCTACGCTTTCTAAGGACTGTCCACTAGCACTCACTTGTCCACTACTCTTAGCTTCTTACTAGGAGGCAGAGGCTCCTGTTATACTGTCTGGGACAGAGGAAATGTGTATATAGTAAATGTAGAAGAAAAGGAACATGCCACAGTGATAGAGAGACTGAAACAGCAAGAGCATTTGCATAGTGCGTAAAGTCAGCTTTACCTTAACTAATTTCTTTGTCAGCCAGGCCAAACCAGTTTTGTTTCCTTACATCCCTCTTAAGTTTTCATACTTTAAAGGACCACTCCACACCCCAAAATCACTTCAACTTACTGAAGTGATTTATGGGTGAGGAGTAACCTAGCTTAACCCCAGTTTATATGTGTTGATTTCTGTGGGAAATGCAGATTTTATTAAAGGACCACTATAGTGCCCTGATGGTGCCCCCACACTCAGGGCCCCCCTCCCGCCGGGCTCTAGGGTGAGGAAGGGGTTAAACCTACCTCTTTCTCCAGGGCGGGGAGCTCTCCTCCTCGGCTGAATGCACATGCGCGACAAGAGCCGAGCGTGCATTCAGCCAGTCTCATAGGAAAGCATTCACAATGCTTTCCTATAGAAGCTGGCATCTTCTCACTGTGAAAATCACAGTGAGAAGCACACAAGCGCCTCTAGGGGCTGTCAATGAAACTGCTATGTTTAGAGAAAAAAGGGTTAACCCTAGCTGGACCTGGCACCCAGACTACTTCATTAAGCTGAAGTGGTTTGGGTGCCTATAGTGGGCCTTTAAAGTTTGGGTGCCTATAGTGGGCCTTTAAAGTACATAGTATTTAAAAAAAAAAAACAAACAGAAAAAAAAATTGTTCCATGTACCACCCACAGCATTTCACACACACACAGCACCCCTCACACACAGCACCTGTCACACACACAGAACCTCTCTCACACAGCACCTTTCACACCCAGCACCACACACACAGCACCCCTCACACTCAGCACACCTCACACACAGCATCACACACAACCAGCATCTCACACACACAGCACCTCTCTCACACACAGCACATCACACACACACACAGAACCTCACACACGCAGCACCTCTCTCACACACCACCCCTCATACACAGCACCCCTCACACACAGCACCACTCGCTTACAGCACCACTCGCTTACTGCACCTCTCACACGCAGCACCCCTCACACACACAGCACCTTCCAGACACACAGCACTCCTCATACATCACACACACAAACAGCACCCCTTGTACACATCACACACAACACCTCACTGCAGTCTGTGTATTCAGTAGTCTGTGTGTGTATATAGCAGTCTGTGTGTGTGCGTGTGTATTCAGCAGTCTGTGTGTGTGTGTACTCAGCAGCCTGTGTACTCAGTGATCTGTGTGTATTCAGTAGTCTGTCTATTCAGCAGTTTGTGTGTGTATTCAGCAGTCTGTGTGTGTGTGTGTGTGTGTATTCAGCGGACTGTGTATGTATTTAGCAGTCTATCTGTGTGTACTTAGCTGTCTGTGTGTGTATTCAGCAGTCGGTGTGTGCGTATTTAGCAGTCTGTATGTATGTATGTATTGCATTTGTTGGAGGTACCAATAAATATAAGCTTAATTTAATTGATAATTTACATTTTTATTCCTGTGAGTTGTTGTGTAGGCAGGGGCCCAGTGCACTGCTTTGCCTGGGGACCCATAATGCTGTTAAGATGGCACTGGCTCCCCTGAGCTAATGAAAGTAGCAGGCACACTCTTCTTGAGTGTGCCAGCCTCCCCTCCCTCACAGACCTCAGACTTGGAGAAACCTCAGCTTGGAGAAACCTCTTGTCAGAGGTGGCGGTCCGGTGGCCGGGACCCAGTATTATTGATCTTGAAAGTAGGAGTCACTGTGTGGAAATGGATTATCAGGCGGGTGGGGGCGGGTGGGGTGCAGGGTAACCACATGCCCCCTGGTGTTGAGAACCAGCATTTGTGCGGCCACATACAGACCTCCCATGATCTGAATAGGGAGGCTCTGCAGCAGATATGTATCCAGTACAAGAAAAAAGGCAAGACTAGAACTGGCACCAAAGAAGATAGCAAGACAAGACTAGAAGAGCCCAGAACCAGAGAAGGACAGAAAGCAGAACCCAGAATATGTACACAATACAAGAGGGAAACATGAACAGGATACGGACAGGGCAGGACAGGACTGTACATGAACTGGGAATACAAGACAAAATAAAACAAGACAAGAGATACGAGGCAAAACAAGAGGAGACATAACTAAGTACTAATATGTGCAATAAACATGGGAGATTTAGACATACATAAATGGCCAATATGTATGCAGCCCACCACTGCGCCAAAGTACTTACAATTACGGTGGGTCCTAGCTGCCTAGATATGCATGACTAAATAAACAATAATAAAACACACCCAGTACTTACCTGCAAGAAAGGGGCAGAGGACTTGTTTCAACTGCCTGCAGGAACCAACTGAAACAAAAAGATTAATGGCAAAGGAACGGGTGTGGCAACAAAAAACAAACATTTAAAGGAATCCAAGAGACTGGGAATTCCAGGAACGGAATACAGGAATGTAGCAAGAAAACACAGCATAAAGAAACCCAGACATGGAATAGAGAACCAGAAAAACTAAACAAGAATTGTAAAAAGAGTACTGGATACCTGAAGCCAAGGCCAGAAATGATCCGCAGCCAGGAACAGGATGTGACACCTCTGAATTGTTATTTCCCTGTGAAGAGACTGAAAGTGTAAGGGGAAAGAGAACTGCAGCTTTTGTAATCTCTTTTAGACGATATTCCCAATAAATTCATGCATAAAAACATACATGGCCCTCTTTAGCCATGAACAGAGACAACATGTTTGGTCGGCGAGTGTATGGAACTAAAATTGGACACTCGACGGCGCGAACACTGCTGGGACTTCCACCTTCAGTTATGTTCGTGGGGATCAGACAAACAGAGTGGCGTTCCAGGAGAACAGACTACCAAACAAGATACACAGAAAGAATGTCTGCACGAACAGTGCATGCCTTGTTTTTCGCATATTTGATACTCCCGAAAGAGACCGGCCACACAGCCTGATTTCATGGAACTTTTTTGGGCAGGCACCTCGTGTGTGGTCGGTCTAAACTATATCCCGGTGGCGTCTTGGCTGCGTTCATGGGATCAGAGCACTTTTCAGATATGTTGTGCGATCAGACCCAGGCTATCCAGGGATATAGGACTTAAAGCGGCACTGTCATGCCGAACTTACCTTTCCTCAATCTCTTCCTCTTCTCCCCCTCTCTCATGATCTGTTATTCTTTTCTTCCTGTCTTCTTTAGTTTTCTTTAAAATCATAAGACAAAGTAGGGACTCTTTGCCTTATGGAGGATTCCTCCGCTGGTCAGAGCAATTTTCCCATGATCCTTACCTTCCCTCTGTGTTCCCACAATGCTTCCTGTCACTTTACACAAAACTGCCGAATTGCGTTCTAACTGAATGAGAACAGTATGTTAGTTTCTTTTAGAACGCAATTCGGCACTTTATTCGGATCGGAATTTCATTCGAATGAATGAAACTCCGATCCTATTGATTGCTGTGGCTGCATCTTGCAGCCGCTTAGTAGATAACTCCCTAATTCCCACGGTATCAGGGAGTTATCTACTAAAAGGCTGAAAGACCTAAATTGGTCTTTCAGCCAACTTTACTAATATTAAGTAAAAATTACTTAGTATTTGCAAATAATATTCCCCTACTCGCTATACCCGCGAGTAGGTGCATGTCTGGTAAACACTGTAAAAAAAAAAAAAGCTATTGTCCCCCACCCCTAAACGACGGGTGGGGGCCCTAAAGTAAAATAAGGGGGGAGACCTAATGTCCCCTCCCCCCCGGCCCCCACCCCTGCGTGGCGGGTGGGGGCCATAATGATTACGAGGGGGTGGGGACCTACTGCCCTACCCCCCGGCCCCCACCCCTGGGCGGCGGGTGGGGGCCATAGTGAGAATGAGGGGTGAAGATGGATAATTTTTTTGCGCTCTGGTTTTTTCTTTTTCGTCTGTTTTTTTTTTTGGCGCTCAAGATTTTTATTTTATTTTCAATTCGACGGTTATGATGGTTTTTTTATTTGGCCTTTTTTGGGGCTGAAAAATTAAGATTTGAGAAAAAAGAAGACGTTGAATGGTAAGTTTAATTTTATTTTACAGGTTAGTTATTTTATTCCCCCCTCACTATTTTTTAGTGTGAGGGGGTAGGTAGGGACTTTTTTTTTGGGTGGGGGGTGGGTGACTAGGGGCTTGGGGACCCCTAGTCACCTTGGTGGGGGGGGGGAATTAGGGCCTCCACCCGCCGCCCAGGGGTGGGGGCGAGGGGGGGGGAGGACAGTAGTTCCCCCCCCTCATTATCTTCATGGCCCCCACCCGCCGCCCAGGGGTGGGGGCCGGGGGGGGGGGCAGTAGGTTCCCCCCCTTCATTCTCACTATGTGCGGGAATCTCACAGTCTATCTAGTGTGGGCAGATGACGTGTCCCACAGGGACTTCATCTACCCACACAAAGATGGCGGCGCCCTGAATATAGATCGGGACAGAAAATAAAGATTAAAAAATAGGTCATGTGGGGGGCTTAGAAGCATTTGGGGGTGACTAGGGTGTTAGTTAGATGTATTGGAGGCCGGTGGGTGGGGTTAATAAAAAACAGGATTCGCCATGACAGTGCCGCTTTAAGGGGGTATCTTGTGGGTAACTGTATGTTTTTGGGTGATTATTATTATACATGTCCTGGACCTGAGAGTCAATGTAATTATGTTGTATATTTTGTCTCAGTCTACTCTCAGGTCCAGTGGGGAATGCCCCTGGAATATGTGTTTGGAAACCCCTTGCACGGGGATTTACATAAAAGGACATGTATGGCTCCATTAAAGGTAGTTATACCCCCAGAGCTGAGTGTCGTCCAGTTGCTGGGGAGGAGGTGGGAGATTCCTGGATTATTTAACTGTGTTTGGCTGTTCCCTTGGGGTGATCTACTTGTTCCTGAGCGTATGTTGCAGTAACCAGCGGAGGAGAGTCCCTGCTAGGGCTCCGCTACAGACATCTAATGGTAACAAAAATAAATATATATATATATATATATATATATAATCTTTTTTTACGGGTATTGAAAAAAAATCATACATTATTATTAGTATGAGGGGGTAGTCAGGGTATTTCTTTTGATGGGGTTGGACCATATTGACCCCTATAGGCCTTTAGTTTATTCATTTTTTTATGACTAACAGGGTTAGTAATTTAAAAAGGCAGATAAATCTTCTTCAGAATACATATATCAGATGATTTTTCTGAAACCTATATCTGGTTTAGCTGCTAAAATTTCAGCCTGCAATAAATCCACTCAAAATTCATTAAACTTATTGGATTTTGCAGATAGAATATAATTAAGGTCGATTAGAACTTACCTTCAGGCACATCTATATATATATTAATATTTGTGCATTAGAGGGGTGCCCATCATGTTTGATGAAGGTGTCTTTTTATGTTTTTATTTTTTTCGGTACCTGACACCGCTTTTCTCCTATTCTCCCCCCCTCTCTACTCACAGCTGGTTTGGAAAGCAGTGTTCTGGAGGACGAAGAGGATGTAAAACCTGAAATTCTTCACCACTTTTCAGAGACATCAAGGTCCGACACCGAGTCCACAGCTGGTATGGTGCTAAGTTGTGGGGTTGGAATCTCTTTTGTAGCAGTTTCTCAGTTCATTTTTGTTCTTTTGATCAGTGCAGTGCTTTGTACATTGTGTAGCTGTGCAGAAATACAACAATTTGTGCATAGCCTAAGCAAAATAATAATGAGTGAGATATGTAGTAAATGAAGTAATAATGGTATAGAGCACAATTGCCACATCAGTAATGTAGGATTAGTTCTAAAAACTACGTTTTGCTGTGTTGAATGTCCTGGATAATTGACTAAAGATTTAAAAAAATATCACAACTTGTGTGTGAATTCTAGCCAGCACCATACTCTATTCCTGTCAAGGCTGTCTTAATGCATAGGCGTGCTGGGCAGTTGCCCAGGCTCCTCATTGATCGTAGGGGCCCCATAGGCTTGCCAGCTTTTTAGTATATTATTCTGGGTAATTTATTCAGAAACTTCAAACCCTCTTTACTGAAACGTTTATGTGGACTTATCACCTCAGTATCCGCTGTTATCTGTACGTGCAATCTTGCTGTTGCTAATAAGTATCTTCTACTTGACTAAAACATCATACACATACTAATTGTACAAAAGCAACACACATAATGTTGTGAAGCCGTAAAGCTATAATAAAGTTCTTCTTATATCTATAACAGTCCATGTCAGTTGCCTTCCCCAATCTCTGCAGTTCTGTAATGTTTAAACACTGATATTGTTGGAGTTATTAATAAATACAAGCTTAATTGTTCCGATAATTTGCATTTTTATTCCTTTGAGTGGTTGTGTAGGCAGGGCCACAGTGTGCTGCTTTGCCCAGGGGGCGATAATGCTCTTAAGATATCCCTGACTCCTGTTCCACATGTTAGTGATGTTTTTATGGAGTGATTGCCTTGTGGCATATTCCTTCCAAATGATGGACTTTTTGTGTGAATGAGTTTTGTGGCTGAATTGCATATTACATTTGTATAGTTAGTTTGTGTCAATGTGTTTCCTGTATTTAATGTTCCCTGTTACAGATAAATGCCAGGAACTGCAACTGCTTGAGAAGCTGGTGACGCAGCAGAAGGAGATCATAACGAGGCTTGATTATTTGAATCATAATCTTGTGCAGATGGCCAGCTTGCACTATCAGCACATTGTAGAAGATTCTGCTGACTTACTAAAGACTGGAAGAAAAGAACCTCTTTTTTCTGGCAATAACTCCATGCCCTTCCCTTCCATGTTTATACCATTCCCTATGCCAACATCTGCCGAATCTTCTGCTTATACAACTTACATATCAGCTCCACGTCCTACTGCCCCCTACATGCATTATTCTCAGAGTCCGTCATCTCCAGACCATTCGTTGCCTCTTAATGCCCCGTATATGCCGTCCTCTCAGCCTGCAGCAACCTACATGCCTGCTTCTCAGCCTGCCGCTTCCTACATCCCAACTTCCCAGATCCTTTCATCTTTGTGTATATTGCCCTCAAAAAGCACATCCAACTTTCATCCAAGCTTCTCTCCAACAAGTTTAGGTTCATCGCCTCGGTCAACTAGTCACCCATCCACCATGACCCTGGCCAAAAAACATAACAACAAAATCCCTTGAACACCTTTCCTCAGTGAGTAAACTTCACTATGAATCCTGGATAACTAGAAACTCAAATTACTGTCAGTTTTATATGTTTATTTATATATTTATTCTGTGATTAGATCTAATGATGACTTGTGGATGAATTGTTCATATTTATTTACATTGTTAAAGTTAATTTGATTTAAAAGCAGTGGTCTCAGTGTTTGCTTTGGTAACATGTAGTGGCTGTCAATATTGTGGTGTGGGGTGCAGTTTTTCCTACATTCACTGCTGGTCACATTTAGGGGAATTGGCAAACAGTTGAAATAACCCCCTAGCTGTTTGAACGAATATCACACACATTCCCTCTTTTTTAAATTAATACTTTGGAAACAAAATCCTCTTTTTAACAATAGAAATAAAGTGTTTTTTGGTAAATAATTCTGCAGCAGTTATCTGGTGGGAAGCTTTCTCTGTGAATGAGACAAGTCTTGGTAATCCCTAATTACCAGCCAATTCTTAGGTAGATGTAATTCCTAGGTATTAGATGAAAACATGCACACTGTGCTCAGGGCCGGCCTTAGGGGTGTGCGAGCTGTGCGGCGCACAGGGCGCCATCGACCAGGGGGCGCAATCAGGGCCGGATTAAGAGCCCGGTGGGCCTGGTGCTGACAAATATGATGGGCCTAATTACGGAATCTTATCGACCAAAAACACTAAACCAGTCATACCTCCCAAGCATCATGTATCTGATGGAGATGGTGCTGAAGGGAAACTCAAAGGATGCAGCTATAAGAAAACACATACTCTATGCTAATCTCTTTCTAATTTATGCTTTCATCCTTCAAATCAATCCATACCCCCTAACAGCAGTGTCCAGTGAAGTAGGAAGTCAATGGGCAGGGTAAAAGAGTGTGCCACTGGCGCGAATCACATGACCAGACCTGCCAAAAGGGGAGAACATGCTCAAAAAGAGGGCATGTCTGTCCAAAGAATTTGAAGGACAGCCTGGCATGAATGCATGTCAGGCTGCCCGCCAATCCTGCATGCTCTCCAACTAAGGGCATACTATGCAGGCAGCACCATGAGCTTGACATAAATGCCTCTCATGATGCGCTCACTCCATTCTTTCTAAGGACTGTCCCCTAGCACTCGCTGGTCCACTTGTCTCCTTACCTTCTTATTAGCAGGCAGAAGTTCCTGGTATATAGTCTGAGACAGAGAAAAGGTGTATGTAGTGAGTGTAGAAGAAAGGGGACATGCCACAGTTTTAGAGAGATCAGCGTCTGCATTACCTAAACTAATTTTATTGTCAGCTAGTCCACACAAGTTTTGTTTCCATACATCCCTCTTAAGCTTCCAAACTTAAAGGGACACTATAGTCACCAGAACAACTACAGCTTATTGTATTTGTTCTGGTAAATAGAATCATTCCATTTAGGCCTTTTGCAGTAAACACTGTCTTTTCAGAGAAAATAACTCCACTGGCCACTCCTTAGATGGCTGCTAGAGGTACTTCCTGGGGCAGTACTGCCTAGTGTGCAGCACTGCCATTTAGTGTCTCCACCCTTTGCATGCAGACACTGAACTTTCCTCATAGAGATGCATTGATTCAATTTATCTTTATGAGGAGATGCTGATTGTCCAGGGCTATGTTGGACTTGTGCTGGCTCTGCCCCTGATCTGCCTAGTTGACAGTCTCAGCCAATCCTATGGGGAAGTATTGTAATTTGCTCAGACCACCACTTCTGAGCCAGCAGCTGCAGAATTGAATACAAGTAATATTTTACTATATTTAGGGAGGCAAGAAGGGGCCAGGGTGGTGGTTTTAACATAATAGGGTCAGAAATACATGAATGTGTTCCTGACCCTATAGTGCTCCTTTAAGCAAGAGTATGTGAAGATTAGTTAGGGTTGCCACCTTTCTTGGAAAAAATACCAGCCTTAATCATTTGTATAATCACAAAGAGTGACATCAGAGAAAATTCTGTAAAATCACCAACAAACTACTCACAGTTTGATTCTGCTGTATAGATGGATTGCTCCCAGTTTCTCAGTCTCGCAAGTCACCCAGTGTCTCAGTGTCCCTATGTATCACAGTGTCAGTGTCCACATGTCGCCCAGTCTCCCTGTCTCCCTGTGTCCTCATTTCTCCCAGTGTCCCAATGTCTCAGTGTGTCCCCATGTCACTAGGATACTGGGGACACAGTGAGACATGGGGACACTGAGAGACATGGGGACACTGAGAGTTTGGGAGACTATGGGACTGGGCGACATGAGGACACTGGCACTGTGATACATAGGGACACTGAGACACTGGGTGACTTGCGAGACTGAGACACTGGGAGCAATCCATCGATACAGCAGAATCAAACTGTGAGCAGTTTGTTGGTGATTTTACAGAGAGACCCGGGGACACGGAGACATAGGGACACTGGGAGACATGGGGACACTGAAACATTTAGGGAAACTGGGAGAAATGGGGACACTGAGACACTAGCAGACACGGGGACACTGAAACATTTGGGGACACTAAGACACTAGGGACACAGAGACATGGGAACACAGACACTGGGAGACAGGGGGACACTGGCTGGGAGACAGAAACTTGGGGACACTGGGAGACATGGGGACAGTTGTGGACATAGACATGGGGACACTGGGACATATAGGGACACTGGGAGACATGGGGACACTAGGCACACTGAGACACTAGGAACAAAGACACTGGGAGACATGGGGACACTGAAACATTTAGGGGACACTAAGACACTAGGGACACAGAGACATGGGGACACTGGGAGACTTGGGGACAGTAGTGGACATAGACATGGGGACATATAGGGACACTAGGCACATTGAGAGACATGGGACACAGACACTGGGAGAAATGGGGACATAGTGACTCCGTGTCCCAATGTCTCAGTGTCTCCCAATGTCCCTATGTCTCACAGCATCCCCATGTGTCTCAGCATCCCCATGTATCCCAGTATCCCCTAGTGTCTCAGAGTCCTCATGTTTTCCAGTGTCCACAAGTGTCTCAGTGTTTCCAGGTCTTCCAGTGTCTGTGCCCCCATGTGTCCTAGTGTCTGTGTCCCCTAGTGTCTGTGTCCCCATGTGTCCCCTAGTGTCTGTGTCCCCTGGTGTCTCAGTGTCCCCATATGTCCCCTAGTGTCTCAGTGTCCCCTAGTGTCTCAGTGTCCCCATATGTCCCTTAGTGTCTCAGTGTCCCCTAGTGTCTCAGTGTCCACATGTGTCCCCTAGTGTCTCAGTGTCCCCATGTGTCCCTGCTGCCTTTCCCCCCATCCCTCACCTGAGCTGTAGAGCTGCTATCTGGACTCTGTGCTGTGTTGCTGCTCCCCCACGGATCAGTAAGTAGTAGAGAGAGGCAGGGATATGCTGTAACTTCCTATTCCTGCTTTTCTCCACACACAGTGACCCCTACTGGCTGGTGCTGGTATTGCAGAGTAATCTCCATTTATTCTGAGAAAAATACCTGCATTTGTATTGCCGGTATTACTGTGATACCGACATGGCCAGGCAGCCTCAAATACCGGCTGTGCCAGTAAAATACCAGTCATGTGGCAAACCTAAGAGTAGTGTGTAAAAAAAATTTTTTTAAATGGGCCTATTCCATGGGCCTGGGCCTGGGCCTGGAGCTGCAGCCCATCAGCCCCTATGTTAATCCGGCCCTGGGCAATGTGGCCAACACAGCTCGCACATGCCCGTTGTCAGGGGAGCTAAAACAGGTACCCGGGTGGAGGATTAATTATCCACCTGGGTCTATAAAAAAAAAAAAAAATTGCGGAGGCAGGGCTTACCGCGAGGCAGAGGCCTAACACCTTCCCGAAGCCCCTGGTAACTGCTGCACAGGAAGAGGGAATAACCAAGGAGTCCTGCTTCCCCATCAACCAACTGCATCCACTCCCCCTTCAGCCATAATATCAAGAGGTAAGTGTTTGTGACTGTTTGCCTGTGTGTGTGTTTGTGATTGACTGTGTGTATTTGAATGTTTGTGTGTGTGTGTGTGTGTTTGACTGTCTGTGTGACTGCCTGCCTGTGTGTGTGTGTGTGTCTGCCTGCCTGTGTGTGTGACTGTCTATCTGACTGCCTATGTGCGACTGCCTGTCTATGTGTGTGTGGGACTGCTTGTCTGTGTGTGTGTGTGTGTGACTGCCTCTGTGTGTGATTGTGTCTGTGTGACTGCCTGTGTGTGTGCGTGTGTCTGCCTGTCTGTGTGACTGCCTCCGTGTGTGTGCCTATCTGTCTGTGTGACTGCCTCCCTGTGTGTGTGACTGTCTGCCTGTGTGTGTCGATGTAGCTATGCCGTTGTGTGTGCCTGTATGTGTGACTATCTGCCGTTAACTGAGTGTGTGTCTATCGGCGTGCGTGAGTGTCTGCATGCCTGTAACCGAGTGTGTATGACTGTCTGCTTGTAATGAAGTGTGTGTGACTGTCTGCTTTTGACTGTGTGCCTGTGACTGTGTGTCTGTAACTGTTCGTGATTGTGTGCCTGTAACTGTGTGTGTGAGACTGTCTGCCTGTAACTGTGTGTGTGAGACTGTGTCTGTAACTGAGTGTGTGTGACTGTCTGCTTCTAACTGTTTGTGTGGCTGTCTGTGCCTGTGTGTGTGACTGTATACAGGCAACATGGTAGGGGGGTGCCGTGAAGACTTCGCACAGGGCGACTAATGGCCTAAGGCCTGCCCTGACTGTGCTGCTATAACATGGTGTGGAAGAAATCAGGCATTTTCCAGCTCTACCAATTTAAGGTTGGGTTCTGACTGAGGGATATAGTTGGATGTGCTACAAAGAGAAGGGGATACTGCCAGCACGGCCAAACTTTAATTCAACACTGGTAGAAGTTTTACACAATTTTGACATGCATCATTTTTTTTTATTTAAAACTACTGTTTCCCTTTTTACATTTTTCTCCAGGATATTTGACTAAAGGTTGTTTATATGTACCACCCTAGGAAACAAGAGACTTAAACTGATGCATCAAAACCAAGTGTTCTCAAGAAAAATAAAACAGTTATAACATGAAAAGGAAAAGAAAATGCAATGCAGGCATATTGCGAGGTAATATACGGTAAGGTACCCAGTACACCAATAATCCAATGTCCATCATAGGAGTGACACAGTCCCCACAAATAGTGCAAGTTTGTAGGCCTATCATCTCAGATTTATCCCTCCACTCTTCATCTCTAGGCTAGCCTGGTGTGTGCTCCTCTCAGACTCTGGCATGTACACTCTCTTCAGTAGGGCTTGCAGATGGCACCTGAGGCGTGCCGAGCAAGTGATGGGAGTAGTTGATCAATGTCAGGGGTATTTTAGTGAACTGAGTGGTGTCTGTGACATTCGTGGAGCAGGTATATTCAGCAGTAAGTGCAGCTTTTCCCAGAAAGAATTGAATATTGCATCAGAGTTGCAGATGGCTTCGATTTCACCACATGCCCCTGTTAGAAACAGGTAGCCTTCAGGGTGGGGACCAGGATCACTCCTGCCTGTCCAAGAGGGACGGGTAGCAGGGCGCTAGCGTGCTTCTGTCGAGGCACTGCCTGTGCCGGCTGGTAGATCGGCAGGTGCTAGGCCGCAAAAAAGTGGTGGCAGAGAATTTCGTCCGGAAGGCTGCAGATGACCACAGGAAACGCTCTCCCAGACCGGTCCATCAAGAAGCTCTCATGAAATGCGTCCAGCCGTCATTACAGTCAGGCCCCACTCCTCCGTTCTTTTAGTTAACAGTAAAATCAAGTACAATAAGAATGTTTTCTTCCCCTTGTTTCTAGTTTTATATTTTAATAAATGTTTCCTGCACCTTTATATGTTTGATAACATCAATAATTCTCCATGTAACTATTTAGACCTAGAAAAAGTACTTATTTTTTACTGTTAGTACTGTGATATTGTGATATAATGTTTTTACAACTTCTAAAATACATCTTATTTGATCTTCTATATATCAGGTGTTTGTCCAGGAGTATTGGACAGCTCGGCAACCTGCTCATGGGTTATTACAGTGTGGGGAGTTTTTTGCTCAAAAATAAATATTCTAACATTTAAAGGATCACTATAGGGTAAGGAACACGAACATGTATTCCTGACCCTATATTGCTAAATCCACCATCTAGGTGGCTTGCCCCCCACTTAGGCCCCCGGGATCGTAGGTGCTGGCTCCGCCCCCTTTGTGATATCATCAAAATTGATGATTTTTATCCAATCCAATGCTTTCCCATAGGGCCAAATGCTGTTTTGGCCAATCAGCACCGCCTCGTAGAGATGCATTGAATTAATACATCTCTATGAGGAAAATGCAGCGTCTCCATGCAGAGCGTGGAGACGCTAAACTGGAATGGCTGTGTCCCACATGTGCCCCTCCGATGTCCACATATACCTGGCAAAGGTACATACGGGGGTATTGCTGTACTCAACCGACATCACAACATCTTTGGCACTATTTCGTGAAGTTACAGTGCCATTTAGGAGACCTGTCCTTTTCACAGTAGAATTTTGAGAGACGGATTTAATGAGCCTATGCTTCCATTTGGGGTATTCTAACAGTTTGACTGTTCAAAAAACCCCACAAAGGCCTACAAAATATTTATGAGCATAGTCTTAACCTAATGTTTCCTCCTACTCGTGTTTCCTTGGCCACTTGGGAGCTGTGGAACACATGGAGATCGACATCCTAGTATACTATGGTGCATTGTACTTTGCTGAGGCCACACTTTTCAGAAGATATCACTGTAAACATCGGGAACCTTCGTGTGTTCGTGTTAACTTCATGCTATGCCTTGTCTCCCCCCCCCACTCCCTTTCTGTTTATAGACAATAAAAATACAATTTCAAGTGGAAAACCCCCAGATACAAATAAACTGTATAGCTATTAGTAACAGGGATATTTTGTACTACAGGTACATCGGGTTTGTGGGGTCCCATGTGGACCACCAGTGGCAGCATACTCGTATTCTATACTATTCCTGCATGCAATCATTTGCTATTGACTGTATTCGTGGGGGTTACTCCAATCACAAATATTTTATAGAATTCAAAGAGAATTTAAATGTAAGAATAAAATAGGCCCTAGGGAGATAGCGCAGCTAAGCGGACAAGGGCACATGTATGAGTGTGGAGATAGATGCATGGGAGTGGTTGGGGAAGAGTGTGTGGGTGGGATTATGTTCTGGTAAAGAATGTATGGGTGGGATTATGTTTTTAAATTTGGGGCGCCTCTAAATACTATTTTCGGTTGATCTGGGATGATTTTCCCTAATATTGTGTCCTCAGTAAATGCCAATTATTTTTAATTATTTTCAACCGAAAATAGTATTTAGAGGGGCCCCAAATTTAAAAATGCAACTCACAAAAAATTACACTAAACAAAAAATTAAAATGCTTTGGATAATTTTTTAAATAACAAAAAAGGAATTTTTTAGATGCAATTGTTGTGCAGCTTGTGCAGCTTGTAAAAAAACTCAATAATATTAATAAAAAGTATGAGATTAAGGATACCATTACATGTATGAGCAAAAATGTAATTTATCTGTTAGAATGCCCTTGCGGCCTACAATACATAGGAAGGACTATAAGACCCCTGAAAATTAGAATTGGAGAACACTGTAGAAATATTGAAAAGGGTTTTAAAAATCATCTTGTATCCTCTCACTTTGAACTGCACAATAATGACCCACGTCTCCGAAAATTTATGGGTATCACAAAACTATCTCAACATTGGAGAGGTGGTGATATGGTTAAGAAATTGGGTAGAAAAGAATTGGAGTGGGTATATTTTTTAGATACATTACACCCTAATGGTCTTAATGCTGAGTTTGATCTTTTTAATTTTTCATGATTTTATATATATAAATAATATTTTTAAGGTCTTATTTTATCCTTGTCTTAAATGTATTTTTAATATACACCTCTCCTATGTCCATTTGACACCTGTAGCATATATAATTTTTTATTTTTCGTTTTATGAACTATTATTATGTATATTGCTATAAATATTTTTGGCTGTTTTTGACTAACAACGTGAATGTTAAAAGATAAATACAGTTCTAGATAATAACATCTGTGATTCCTTCTATATTATTAGCTTATAAAGAGCTTACTGTACATATTGGTGTCTGGATATATAAACACAGCAGAACCATATGAATATTTTCATTTAATTTATACAAATATGTTTTTGTTATATTTTATAAGTATCAATGTGTCTTATTTTATATATATATATATATATACCCATACTTATTATTGGTTAATTAATATGTCCTTGTACAACCCTCTCTTTCTCTTTTTGAAAACCGAGGGTGCTGAAATATACAGCTTTTAATTATAAAACTACTATTCCCAGTGATCACCGCTAGCCGCTTTACGTAATTTCCCGGCAATGCACGCGACTACCGGTGTCAACAGCAATACAGGAACTACATGGTCCATAAGCCCTTGCGAGTCGCGATGCGTCACATCTGGTCGACGCACGCGACCCGCCGGAAGCAGGAAAAGTGCACACACAAACTATATAAGAACATGGACTGGTATTTATCAACACTAAAAATTCTGAAGATGCCCAGACTTGGGCGAAACGCGTTAAGTGGAGTAAGATACTGGATGCTGGACTTTTTTATATAGATTTTTTTCCTAATAAAGTTGCAGTTTTTTCTTCCTACTCTTCTCCTTGGTTTACCTTTTGTTCCTGGTGCACTTTGGATCCTGCCTATATCCTTTGGTGGGGATTATACCACCACAAGCCTTCATCACCAGAGCAAGTTTATTGCTCTGGAAATTGTAAGTAGGATACTTACCTTTTCTTTTATATACTATTTATAGTGCATACTACACTATTGGATTTTATTTGTGTTTTTGTTCTATGCACAATCGTGGAGCTCTGGAAGCTATATCTCACTACTATTCGTATATCCTAAGACAGGGATCATACCGTCCAGGCGCTATACAGTAGAGCTCTCAGTAGCTCTGGAAAGTGTGAGTTAGCCTTTCTACTGGTTTTCCATATATTTTATCCAAAAGTTGTTTTAAATTGACATACTGCACTATTATTGTCTTAATTTATATCTCTTTAAGGTTTATATCCACCATTATATTGTTGAAATACCCTGTATGTGTGTATACATCACTTTTTTTTATTTAACTATTTCCAATTCCTCTGTGGCGCGGTCTACCACTCTGTTTTCGCACTTTCTGGTTATTAACAGGTATTGGGAAGTCCTGCTGGTTCACTGCTACCTTATATTTAGTTATTTTAGAGAGCGCCTACACCTGTTTTTTCTATCACTATATGAAACTATGCTAGATGAGATTGCCGCCTAAGACTTACCCAAAAAGCTTAAAGGACCACTCTAGGCACCCAGACCACTTCAGCTTAATGAAGTGGTCTGGGTGCCAGGTCCAGCTAGGGTTAACCCATTTTTTCATAAACATAGCAGTTTCAGAGAAACTGCTATGTTTATGAATGGGTTAAGCCTTCCCCCTAATCCTCTAGTAGCTGTCTCATTTGACGGCGCTGAAGCATAGATAACTTCTCCACTGTGATTTTTCACGGTGAGAACGCGCTCAACATCTATAGGAAAGCATTATGAATGCTTTCTATGTGAAAACAACTGAATCGCGGCGCGCAGCTCTCTTGCCAATGCTTGTTTCGGCTTGGGAGGGAGAGCTCCTCGCCCAGGCTGGAAAAAGGTAAGTTTTGCCCTTTCCCCTTTCCAGAGCTGGGCGGGAGGGGGACCCTGAGGGTGGGGGCACCCTCAGGGCACTATAGTGCCAGGAAAACGAGTATGTTTTCCTGGCACTATAGTGGTCCTATAATGAATTTATCACTTTTGTCATGCAAATTGATAATAGATTGAGAACCAGAGAAGCTACTAGAAACAAGACCAGACACGTGAATATACCTTTAGCACCCCACTTCTCCAACCTATTGTCCTTGAATTTCCTGTACAGTCCGAACCCGAACCCATGCAGTTGGGGGTCACTAGACTGTCGGAAGCAGAAAGACAATATAGGAGAAAAGAAGGCCTATGTCTATACTGCGGTAGAAAAGGACATATGAGAAACAATTGTCCCATACGTCCAGAAAACTACCGCACCTAAGCACCTTAAGGGGACAGGTCTTAGGTGTAATGGAAACGTCCTCTGGAATGGATAAAATAGGTTTCTCCTTGCTATTTCTATTGCCTTTGAAAAGAAGAACTTTTCATGCAAAGCCCTGATGGATTCAGGTGCCACTGGAAACTTCATCGACGTTCAGTTTGTTAAAGGTTATACTATACCTATCAAGGAGAGACTATCACCCCTAGCTGTTGAAGCTATTGATGGGAGATCACTCTCACAACCATTGATTACACATGAAACCTTACCCATTAATTTGTCCATTTGTGCCTTACATAAGGAAGAGATTACATTTCAGGTTATTGCATCCCCTTCCTGTCCGATCATCCTGTAATGATATTGATGTTACAAAGTTTTGGAGTCCAGTAGCCAGATCAGCAATGTTTTCTGCCAGAGGTAGCCACTCGTTACCCAGGTGGTTGAGCCCCTGAGCCTTGAGTGGCCTTCTGGTCTTAAGCAGAGATGGGAGACTGGAACAGAAAGATGATAATCGTAGTGAGGCAAGCCGAGGTCAGTGGGAAGGAGAAGCAGCAAAGTCAAAACAGTCCAAATTCAGCAACAGGAAGGAGAAACAGGAACACGCTGGATTAGAGAGTACAGGAACCACAATAATCTGGCAAAGGTACAGAGACAGGAAGTGGCTTTTATAGGCCAAGAACCAGACACCTGACCAGACACAGCTGAAGTGAGTTGTCACTGATAACCTTGACTCTACAAGCAATAGTATCAGATCTCAGGTAAATTTGCAAAAGGCAGGCTGGTGTACTGGTAAGGAAAAGGTTTAGCACCATGTAAACCAGGGTTCGAAACCCAGCAGAGTCAGTTCCTCACATTACCTCCACCTCTACAGGCGCAGCCTCTGGATGCCCTATTTCCTGGTTTAGCAGGGTACTGTGCATGGAAAGACTGAAGAAGATCAGGAGCATGAATATTGTCCACTGGTTCCCACGATCTATCCTCCTCACCATAGCCTTTCCAATGAACCAAGTATTGAAGCTTGTTGCGGAAGATCCTGGAGTCAAGAATTTTTTCCACCTCGTATTCATCTTCACCATCCACGAGGACTGGTGGTGGGGCAGGCAAGGCTCGACCAGGGAAAGTATTTTCATGAAAAGGTTTAAGCAGTGCCACGTGAAACACCGGATGTATTTTCATGGAATCCGGAAGTTGCAGACGGAAGGTGACTGCATTGATCTGAGCGATTATCTTAAAAGGTCCCATGAACTTTTGACCCAATTTATGAGAAGGAATCCTAAGCTTAAGATTCTTTGTTGACAGCCAAACCTTGTCACCAACATGATAAACTGGGGCCTCCTTTCTGTGCCTATCAGCAGCTCTTTTGTAACATTCCTGAGCCTCCGAAAGAGTCTCCTTCAACAGTTCTTGGGAATCTCGTAAGGCGGTTAGCCGGTCAGTGACTGCAGGAATGGGAGTAGTAATTGGGAGACTCACTAGAAAGGTTGGATGGTAACCATAATTGGCAAAAAATGGGCTCAGAGAAGTGGAGCAGTGTTGGGCATTGTTATAGGCAAACTCCGCCGTGGGTAGAAAATCCAGCCAGTCATCCTGCAGGTAACTAATATAGCACCGCAAATATTGTTCTAAAGTCTGGTTGGTTCGCTCAGTCTGTCCATTACTTTGTGGATGAAAAGCTGAAGACAGATTTACATTAATACCTAGAATAGAACAAAAATATTTCCAAAAATGAGATGTAAACTGCACTCCCCTGTCAGAAATTACTTCATCAGGCACTCCATGCAAGCGAAATATTTCCCGAATAACAAGGTCAGCAGTCTGTTTAGCTGAAGGGAGACCACGAGCTGGTATGAAATGACTCATCTTGGTTAACCGGTCCACAACAACAAGAATAGTAGTGTGTTCCTTAGAGGGAGGTAGTTCCACAATAAAGTCCATGGATATAGATCCCCAGGGACGATGAGGAATCGGAAGAGGCTGAAGCAAGCCAACAGGGGATGAGCGAGGAGTCTTATGTCTGGCACATACATCACAAGAGGACACATACTTCTTAACATCCTCATAATATTTAGGCCACCAAAAGGATCGGGTAAGTAGTTCTTGTGTCTTTCGGATTCCTGGATGACCTGCTGGTTTAGAGTCATGGTAGAGGCGTAAAACGTCCAGTCGCACTGATTCTGGAACAAACAGACGTTGTTGAAAAATCCAAAACCCATTAAGCATGGTCATATGAAGATCACGAGGAGGATCACGAAAAACTGGATCTTTAGAGTAGCCCTTTTTAATGCGAGACATTAGATCAGAAGGAAAGGTAACTCCTAAAAATCTGCTCTCTGGCAAGATGGTGGCCTTGGTTACTGTAGTATGGAGGGGGTCAGCTATCCTAGACAAGGCATCCGCCTTGCCATTTCTGGAACCAGGGCGGTATGAAATAAAAAAATTAAACCTTGAGAAAAATAGGGACCAGCGTGCTTGTCTGGCTGACAGTCTCTTAGCGGATTGGATACATTCCAGATTTTTGTGATCTGTGAGGACAGTAATTGGATGGGTGGCTCCCTCCAAGAGATGTCTCCATTCGGTGAAGGCAGCTTTTATAGCCAAAAGTTCTTTATTCCCTATGTCATAATTTCTTTCTGCTGGTAACATCTGGCGGGAATAGAAGGCACATGGATGTAACAACATCTTAGGTCCAGTCCTTTGAGACAGTATAGCCCCAACAGCTGAATCAGAAGCATCTACCTCTACAGTAAATGGCAATTCTGGCTGAGGATGTACCAAGATAGGGGCAGATGTAAACAGAGTCTTTAATCTGGAAAATGCAGTGTCAGCCTTATTGGACCACTGAAAAGGAGTCCCTTTACGTGTAAGTTCAGTGATCGGTGTAATAACGGCAGAGAAATTCTTAATGAAACGCCTGTAAAAATTGGCAAAACCCACAAATCTCTGTATATCTTTTTCATTCTTGGGGATGGGCCAGTCCAGCACAGCTTTAATTTTACTTGCGTCCATACTTAAACCTTTAGGAGTTATTACATACCCCAGGAACTGAATTTCTGTTTGTTCAAACTCACATTTTTCCAGTTTAATGTATAGGTGGTGGGTACGAAGGCGCTCAAGAACAATGCAGACCTGTTTTCTGTGATTTTCAAGATTATCAGAAAATATCAGGATATCATCCAAATATGCCACAACAAACTGATCCAGGAGATCCCGTAGTACATCATTGATTAGATGCTGAAAAGTTGCAGGGCATTACAAAGCCCAAATGGCATTACTAGATATTCGTAATGTCCGTACCTGGTTCTGAAAGCTGTTTTCCATTCATCATTTGGTCTTATGCGAACCAGATTATATGCCCCCCGTAGATCAAGCTTCGTAAATATTTTAGCTGAACGAAGTCTCTCCAGAAGTTCAGGAATGAGAGGCAAGGGATAACGGTTTTTAACAGTGATTTTATTAATGTCCCTGTAATCGACACAAGGCCGTAGACTGCCATCTTTCTTTTCTACAAAGAATATAGGAGCTCCTGCTGGAGAAGTGGATGGTCGAATAAAGCCTTTGGCAAGATTTTCTTGTATGTATTCACGAAGTGCTTTCAATTCAGGCTCAGAAAGGGAGTATATACGGCCAAATGGGATAGCAGCTCCAGGTAGCAGCTCTATGGGGCAATCATAAGGCCTGTGAGGTGGAAGCTGATCAGCATTCTTCTTATCACAGACATCTGCAAAATCCCGATATTGTAGCGGAAGCTTAGTTAAGTTTGTAGCAACCATTTCATTAATTGTTGTGGTAACAGGTGTCACCTTAGAGGGTTGACAATTCATTAAGCAGTGTTCTGAAGGAAAGGACAAAGTTCTAGTCTTCCAATCAATCTGTGGGTTATGCAGAGCAAGCCAGGGTATACCCAAAATCACTGGAAACTGTGTTGAGGAAATTAGGTGGAAAGATATAGACTCATGGTGATTCACTTCCAGAATCAATTTTAAGGGCACAGTCTCATGTGTAACCGGGCCTGACGTAAGTGGAGAACTGTCTACTGTTTCCATTAACACAGGTGAAGATTTAGAGATAGACTGAATTTTATTTCCTGCTGCAAATTTAATGTCCATAAAGTTTCCGCCTGCTCTGGAATCTATCATAGCTGTAGTTGAAATTTTATTATCACCATATTGCAAAGTGATAGGCACCACCAAATGAGGATGTTGAGTCATCATACCTTCTTCACCCTGAGCCAGAGAAAACAAGGGTTGTGTGACAGAATCCAGTTGGTCTGAAATCTGGGATTGGTGTTGAATCTGTGCACCCTCAGCAGTCATAGCTATTGTTCTTTTAGACTTGTTAGGGCAATTGATGGCATAATGCCCTGCACTACCACAATACAGGCATAAGTTGTGAGTGCGTCGCCACTGTTTTTCTTCATTGGATAATGGCCCTCTTATTAGATCTACCTGCATAGCCTCAGGTTCAGAGTCTGTAGGTGTTTGTGGGGTCGGAGTAGAAATTCTTGAATAGAAAGTAGGAGTAGCACTTGGTTTAAAAGAGCCCTGTCTTTCCAATCTTCTTTCTGAAAGTCTCCGATCAATACGGATAGCCAACCGCACAAATGCATCAAACTCAACAGGAAGATCAACACGAGCTAGCTCATCTTTTATAGCTTCTGAGAGACCCCTTCTGAAGTGGAACCTCTGGGCTGATTGGTTCCAAGTAGTATCAGTAACCCACTGTCTGAATTCAGCAGCATATTCAGCCACAGAGCGCCTCCCTTGATGTAAATGAAGGAGAGTGGCTTCTGCTGTAGCACAGCGATTGGGATCATCAAAAACTAGGCACATGGCCTCAAGAAAGTCTTTTAAATTTCCCAAGATTGGACTGTCCTGTTCCAGAAAAGGGGAGCCCCAGGCCAGGGCTTCATCTTTGAAGAGGGAAAAAATAAATCCCACCTTCTCTCTTTCAGATGGAAAACGGTTAGGTAACATCATGAAATGCAAACGGCATTGATTTAGGAAACCCCTGAATTTTTTGCGGTCTCCTCCAAATTTTTCTGGTAGAGGCAAGCGGGCATCTTGTGCAGGTGTAACAGTAGTAGTAGCAGCAGCCGCAACATCATGTGCCCTGTAGCTGGTAAGCTCACTATGCATTGATCGAACTTCATTTTGCAGTTCAGCTACCTGATCCTGCAGCACTTGAATGGTCTGTGCCTGGGTCTGCATAGTTCTTGCATTAAAAGCAACCTGCTGGGCCAATGCAGAATCTGATCCGACGGTCTCCATGAAATGGCCAGATTATTCTGTAATGATATTGATGTTACAAAGTTTTGGAGTCCAGTAGCCAGATCAGCAATGTTTTCTGCCAGAGGTAGCCACTCGTTACCCAGGTGGTTGAGCCCCTGAGCCTTGAGTGGCCTTCTGGTCTTAAGCAGAGATGGGAGACTGGAACAGAAAGATGATAATCGTAGTGAGGCAAGCCGAGGTCAGTGGGAAGGAGAAGCAGCAAAGTCAAAACAGTCCAAATTCAGCAACAGGAAGGAGAAACAGGAACACGCTTGATTAGAGAGTACAGGAACCACAATAATCTGGCAAAGGTACAGAGACAGGAAGTGGCTTTTATAGGCCAAGAACCAGACACCTGACCAGACACAGCTGAAGTGAGTTGTCACTGATAACCTTGACTCTACAAGCAATAGTATCAGATCTCAGGTAAATTTGCAAAAGGCAGGCTGGTGTACTGGTAAGGAAAAGGTTTAGCACCATGTAAACCAGGGTTCGAAACCCAGCAGAGTCAGTTCCTCACACATCCCTTGTGAAGCTGCATTCTTAGTGAGCTGTCCAGGAGGTGGGAGGGAGGGTCTGCTGCTGATTGGCTGGAATGTGTCTGCTGACTGTGAGGTACAGGGTCAAAGTTTACTCAATGATGAGTCCGTGGCGAACCGTTCGTGGCGAACCGTTCGGGTCATCACTAATTCTTAGTACATTCTGCTGCCATGTATAATAAGCTGTGCTGCTCATAATGTCTTCAATGACCTTACAAACACCTTTTTACTTTGATACTAACATATCAGGCCCTGTGTGACTTATAACGAGATAATGAACTGTGTAAAGTTCTTCCTCCCCCCATATTTCTATAAAGGATGAACAAATACAGGAAAAATAAAAATTGGGAACATTTGCATCATTTATTGTTTTTTTCTGGACAGCAACCTATACACAAAATTGCTGCTTTTGTTGTATGTTAATGTAATAGCTTAGCATCCTATGTTTCAGAAAAATACCATGCTCATATATTTTCGAACAAAAAGTGCTTGTTAGTGAAGTGATACATTTCCAACTACCCAGTGTTTAGGGGGGAAATGGTTGCTTGATCACCCTGCTGAAGACGAATCCCATCTGTGCCTTAAGAATGACCACATTACTACATTAGTCCATTGTTCATAAAATACACAAATAAATATTGCTGGATCTATAGCCAGTTCTCTTAAATGACTCTCTTCCAGCAGCTCTGTCTTTGATAATGCAGAGAAAGGTAAGAGTTTGTTCCTATATACAGCCGGAGATTATACTCAATAAATTATCCCACATGCAATAGTCGGAGCCAAATATTTCCAATCGCATTAGCCATTGGCAAGTAAAGATCTGAGTCGAAATCTGAAATACTGTGGCTTGCAGTGACAAGAAACCCTCTAAGGCCTGGGCAGTAGGACTACTAATGTTAGCGCTACAGTAGTGACATTGTTGGCTTGTAATTGCATGGTGAAAGGTTTAAGATGTTGACTTTGTCCTGTTGTAAGGCCATTATTAAAGAAGAAAGAGATAATAAAATAGACTGATGACTTATAATGCTAATTCTTATAAGAGAAATCAGTCAGGATTGTAGGTCTAGATATTACAGCATTAAATATATGACCGGTACAAACCCAGTCCCTCATTGTGGAACGCTTCCCAGTAAGTTGGTCTTTACTCACAAAGACAGGTGGTGACCTACATCTTTCTGGAGCAAATGAATTCCAACAGCTTGGTCAGCATTATGTATTTAGCAGTGATATGCGAACCCCTGGTGGATGGTAAATGTGTCTTGTTATAGAAGGGTTTACTGGGCCCTTGTACATCGTAAAGGTGCTTTTCAAGTTTTTTAGCAGCAATGTCTACATTTAAAAAAGGTTCACTCCATGGTATCTTCACCAAGTGTGGGATTTAGAAGGTTCATCAGTAGGAGCTCAAGCTCAGAGAACGAGGGCCGAATTTCTGGCTGTTGCTTCCAGCACAACTTCATTATGAAGGACAAATCATTTGGGCAGTCAGCGGGAGGCTGCAGAGGTGTTCCAGACATCATTTCCTCAATGTATTCCTGGTTTGTTTTACCTGGAGACAACATACTTTGTGTGAAATCTTACTAAAACTAACAAATAAAACCCACTCTGTCAGACATGATTTGTGAACAAAACATTTTACAAACTATAATATAATAATATGACAAAGATATTTTTTGTCTATCAAACCCAATTTGAAAAAAGAAGCAATTCCAATTGTTAAACATTTCTGGTCCTGACCTCCAACTGCTTAAGCAGATAATGCAATGATAACAAAACCTAAAACATTTGTCAATATGGTAAGTGTGATTAAGGCCCTGGGAAGATAGCGCAGCTAAGCAGACAAGCGCACATGTAGGAGTATGGGGATAGATGCATGGGATTGGTTGGGAAAGAGTGTGTGGGTGGGATTATGTTCTGTGTAAGTTAGTGTGGGGGTGGTCTTACCTCAGTGCCACTTGGGATTCAGGCCAGCAAACAGCTTCCCTCCTGCCCGCCCAATTGGTATATTTAGTCACAGCTAGCCGGGGGTATGTCCTTGCCAATTGAGTTTGAGTGGTTACGTTTAAGTATATGGAATGAGATGAACAAGTTTTTTTAGGTCTCAACCTCCCCTGCTTCAAAAGGTTAACATTAGGTTGCCTGAGGTGTCGTGCCCATCGAGCGTGGATAAGGTCGGCTGATGGCGGGCATTGGAAAGATATGATTTTTATGACGAGGGGGGAGGTGAGAGGAAGTGGTGATTAGGAACCACTGTATGTTTATTGGCAAGGACGGTTGGGTCACTGTATAACACTATGGGTGGAGTTATATATGTATATATGTTAATTTATGGTTATTTATGTCTAACGTTTTGGTTATAGAAAGAAGAGATTTAATAAATAAAGTTATGGATGTGTTATGCAGTAATTTAGTTTGTGATAATAAATGCTGTGGCCTGTTCATCCATACTAAGTGGTCTGTCGTTATTGGGGGTGGGGGTGGGGGGGTAAATGGGTTTAGATTTTTTCTAGGCTGCATCGCGATTCCCCACTACGTACATACATGTCATAACGTGTCCAGACTAATCCCAAACCTAATCTCACAGTGTGCTTACTCCATAAATATCACAGACTAAGAACACCTAATCTCACACTGTGTTTACTCCATAAATATCACAGACTAAGAACTCCTAACCTCACACTGTGTAAACTCCATAAATATCACAGACTAAGAACTCCTAATCTCACACTGTGCTAACTCCATAAATATCACAGACTAAGAACTCCTAATCTCACACTGTGTAAACTCCATAAATATCACAGACTAAGAACTCCTAATCTCACAGTGTATCACAGACTAACTCCCTAATCTCAATAAATATCACAGACTAATCTCACACTGAATAAATATCACAGACTAAGAACTCCTAATCTCACAGTGTGCTAACTCCATAAATATCACAGACTAAGAACACCTAATCTCACACTGTGCTAACTCCATAAATATCATAGACTAAGAACTCCTAATCTCACACTGTGCTAACTCCATAAATATCACAGACTAAGAACTCCTAATCTCACAGACTAAGAACACCTAATCTCACACTGTGTAACTCCATAAATATCACAGACTAAGAACACCTAATCTCACACTGTGCTAACTCCATAAATATCATAGACTAAGAACTCCTAATCTCACACTGTGCTAACTCCATAAATATCATAGACTAAGAACTCCTAATCTCACACTGTGCTAACTCCATAAATATCACAGACTAAGAACTCCTAATCTCACACTGTGCTAACTCCATAAATATCACAGACTAAGAACTCCTAATCTCACACTGTGCTAACTCCATAAATATCACAGACTAAGAACTCTCACACTGTGTAACTCCATAAATATCATAGACTAAGAACTCCTAATCTCACACTGTGCTAACTCCATAAATATCACAGACTAAGAACACCTAATCTCACACTGTGTAAACTCCATAAATATCACAGACTAAGAACTCCTAATCTCACACTGTGTAAACTCCATAAATATCACAGACTAAGAACTCCTAATCTCACACTGTGCTAACTCCATAAATATCACAGACTAAGAACTCCTAATCTCACACTGTGCTAACTCCATAAATATCACAGACTAAGAACTCCTAATCTCACACTGTGCTAACTCCATAAATATCACAGACTAAGAACTCCTAATCTCACAGTGTGCTAACTCCATAAATATCACAGACTAAGAACTCCTAATCTCACACTGTGCTAACTCCATAAATATCACAGACTAAGAACTCCTAATCTCACACTGTGCTAACTCCATAAATATCACAGACTAAGAACTCCTAATCTCACACTGTGCTTACTCCATAAATATCACAGACTAAGAACTCCTAATCTCACAGTGTGCTAACTCCATAAATATCACAGACTAAGAACACCTAATCTCACAGTGTGCTAACTCCATAAATATCATCGACTAAGAACACCCTAATCTCACACTGTGCTAAACTCCATAAATATCACAGACTAAGAACCTCTCTAATCCATCACTAAGAACTGTGCTAACTCCATAAATATCACAGACTAAGAACTCCTAATCTCACACTGTGCTAACTCCATAAATATCACAGACTAAGAACTCCTAATCTCACACTGTGCTAACTCCATAAATATCACAGACTAAGAACTCCTAATCTCACTGTGCTAACTCCATAAATATCACAGACTAAGAACTCCCTAAATGCTAACTCCATAAATATCACAGACTAAGAACTCCTAATCTCACAGTGTGCTAACTCCATAAATATCACAGACTAAGAACTCCTAATCTCACACTGTGCTAACTCCATAAATATCATAGACTAAGAACTCCTAATCTCACACTGTGCTTACTCCATAAATATCACAGACTAAGAACTCCTAATCTCACACTGTGCTAACTCCATAAATATCACAGACTAAGAACAACAAATCTCACACTGTGCTTACTCCATAAATATCATCGACTAAGAACTCCTAATCTCACAGTGTGCTAACTCCATAAATATCACAGACTAAGAACTCCTAATCTCACACTGTGCTAACTCCATAAATATCACAGACTAAGAACTCCTAATCTCACACTGTGCTAACTCCATAAATATCACAGACTAAGAACTCCTAATCTCACACTGTGTAAACTCCATAAATATCATAGACTAAGAACTCCTAATCTCACACTGTGTTTACTCCATAAATATCACAGACTAAGAACTCCTAATCTCACACTGTGCTAACTCCATAAATATCACAGACTAAGAACAACAAATCTCACACTGTGCTTACTCCATAAATATCATCGACTAAGAACTCCTAATCTCACAGTGTGCTAACTCCATAAATATCACAGACTAAGAACTCCTAATCTCACAGTGTGCTTACTCCATAAATATCATCGACTAAGAACACCTAATCTCACACTGTGTAAACTCCATAAATATCACAGACTAAGAACTCCTAATCTCACAGTGTGCTAACTCCATAAATATCACAGACTAAGAACTCCTAATCTCACACTGTGTTTACTCCATAAATATCATCGACTAAGAACACCTAATCTCACACTGTGCTAACTCCATAAATATCATCGACTAAGAACTCCTAATCTCACAGTGTGCTTACTCCATAAATATCACAGACTAAGAACTCCTAATCTCACACTGTGTTTACTCCATAAATATCATCGACTAAGAACACCTAATCTCACACTGTGTAAACTCCATAAATATCACAGACTAAGAACTCCTAATCTCACAGTGTGCTTACTCCATAAATATCATCGACTAAGAACACCTAATCTCACACTGTGCAAACTCCATAAATATCACAGACTAAGAACTCCTAATCTCACAGTGTGCTTACTCCATAAATATCACAGACTAAGAACACCTAATCTCACAGTGTGCTAACTCCATAAATATCACAGACTAAGAACACCTAATCTCACACTGTGCAAACTCCATAAATATCATCGACTAAGAACTCCTAATCTCACACTGTGTAAACTCCATAAATATCACAGACTAAGAACACCTAATCTCACAGTGTGCTAACTCCATAAATATCACAGACTAAGAACACCTAATCTCACACTGTGTTTACTCCATAAATATCACAGACTAAGAACTCCTAATCTCACACTGTGCTAACTCCATAAATATCACAGACTAAGAACACCTAATCTCACACTGTGTTTACTCCATAAATATCACAGACTAAGAACACCTAATCTCACACTGTGTAAACTCCATAAATATCATAGACTAAGAACTCCTAATCTCACACTGTGCTAACTCCATAAATATCACAGACTAAGAACACCTAATCTCACAGTGTGCTAACTTCATAAATATCACAGACTAAGAACTCCTAATCTCACACTGTGTAAACTCCATAAATATCACAGACTAAGAACTCCTAATCTCACACTGTGCTAACTCCATAAATATCACAGACTAAGAACTCCTAATCTCACACTGTGCTAACTCCATAAATATCACAGACTAAGAACTCCTAATCTCACACTGTGTTTACTCCATAAATATCACAGACTAAGAACAACAAATCTCACACTGTGCAAACTCCATAAAGATCATCGACTAAGAACACCTAATCTCACACTGTGCTTACTCCATAAATATCATCGACTAAGAACTCCTAATCTCACACTGTGCTAACCTATATATCCTGTGCTAAATCCAGACACGGCATGCACTTGAAACTAGACCTAAACTCATCCTGTGCTAAATCCAGACATGGCATGCACTGGGAACTAGAGCTAAACTCATCATGTGCTAAATCCAGACATGGCATGCACTGGGAACTAGACTTAAACTCGTCCTGTGCTAAATCCAGACATGGCATGCACCCTGTGTTCCATGAAGTCTGTTTCATATCTTAAGGGAGCTTTTTTACCTGTCCTTAGTGACCACCCACCTGAGAAAGGGATTTTTCCATATGTTACGATTTCCACCAAGAGGACTCCAAATGACCATACATCTGACTTACTGGAATACCTTTGGGTCTGGAAAACCTCTGGTGCCATCCACTTAATAGGAACCTTTGCGTCTGGTAATGAGAGGACATGATTAATGCAGAGAATGTATGGCTGTGTGTCAGATTAAACAATGGTCTTCATGCTATCTTACCCACAGCAGCACACATTAAACCATATATGCTTTTAGCTATATTAAAGGAACACTATAGTCACCTAAATTACTTTAGCTAAATAAAGCCGTTTTAGTGTATAGATCATTCCCCTGCAATTTCACTGCTCAATTCACTGTCATTTAGGAGTCAAATCACTTTGTTTCTGTTTATGCAGCCCTAGCCACACCTCCCTTGTCTATGATTGACAGAGCCTGCATGAAAAAAAAAAACTGGTTTCACTTTCAAACAGATGTAATTTACCTTAAATAATTGTATCTCAATCTCTAAATTGAACTTTAATCACATACAGGAGGCTCTTGCAGGGTCTAGCAAGCTATTAACATAGCAGGGGATAAGAAAATCTTAATTAAACAGAACTTGCAATTAAGAAAGCCTAAATAGGGCTCTCTTTACAGGAAGTGTTTATGGAAGGCTGTGCAAGTCACATGCAGGGAGGTGTGACTAGGGTTCATAAACAAAGGGATTTAACTCCTAAATGGCAGAGGATTGAGCAGTGAGGCTGCAGGGACATGTTCTATTCACCAAAACTGCTTCATTAATCTAAAGTTGTTCAGGTGACTATAGTGTCCCTTTAACATATATTGACAAGATACCCATCATGTTTAAGCATTAATATACACAACAGCTGGTTTCCATGTTAAATTGTGATTCTCCACAGCCCATACTGTGGTTTGGGATTGTCCCAGCTCTACAGCCTGCCATAGTCCCTTTAGTGGACTTCTCCTCTTTCTAATTGCTTATATACTTTACCCTTTAGACAATTTGTATTAATTTTAATATAGCAAATAAACATTTAGTTCAGTAAACTTCAGAAAATACTGTATATATACATACACATACACATATACATATATATATATATATATATATAAAATTTTTAAAATATCCTGATCTGGTCACCTGTAGTGATAGCAACAGATGTACTGTCCATGAAACGCGCCAGTCCAAAGTCTCCGATCTTGCAGGACATCATGGCAGTCAGGAGGATATTCTCACTGCGCAGGTCACGGTGCACACAGCTGTTCTGCTCCATGTAATCCATGCCTTGAGATATCTGAGTGAAAGGAATGCAAGAACACGCTGAATTGGAGAATTATTCATCCTTATGACGAGGGTGTGAGTTCTAATAGATGGATTGAAGATAATTTAATTGAGATGATTAACATGCCACTAATATTGTAACAGAGCAGTGTTGTAATAAACCAGTACTTCAATAAAGCAGTATTGTAATAGACCAGTGCGGTATTATAATAGAGTGGTATTGTAATAGAGTGATATTTTAACAGAGCAGCATTGTAATAGTGTCACGAGGTATAACCCCAACACGCAGAGTTTAGGATAGAAAAGGACAGACAAAGGAAATAAACGTATTACTGGGCATTAGAGTGGCCGGACTAAACGTTAGACAGAGAGTAAAGAGAAGTCACAATACAAACCGAGGTCAGGGTAACAGAGAGACAGCGAAAATGAGAACTAGCCAGAGTCAGGTACACGGTAATCACTCAGACTGGCAAACGAGACAGTCGAAGGTTAAAGATAAGCTCAGAGCCAGGAACAAATGCCAAGGTCAATAACAGAATACAATACAATACTCCAGGTAAGTTTAAATACTATTGGGTTTCATTTGATTGGTTCACATCAAACCTGCAACCCCAAAACATGCGCGAATCGGGGTGCCGAAATGACGTGGGTCAATGGGAGAAAACCATGAGATTAGGCTCCCATTTCATTTTAAGAACGTGCTCGTGACGCAATCAGCGTTCTCAATACTGTACAGACCGCGCACCCGATCATACCGTTCGACACCCACAGCCCACCAGGAGAATCCAGGCCGGCACGAGGACCAGGTAAGTCCCGCTACAAATAGAGCGGCATTGTAATAGACTGTGTTGTAATAGAGCAGTTCTGTAATTAGAATAAATATTGCAATATGATATTGTAATAGAGCGGTGTTGTAATAGAGCGGTATTGTAATAGAGCGGTATTGTAATAGAGCGGTATTGTAATAGAGCGGTGTTGTAATGGAGCTGTGTTGTAATAGAGCAGTTCTGTAATTAGAATAAATATTGCAATATGACATTGTAATAGAGCGGTGTTGTAATGGAGCGGTGTTGTAATGGAGCTGTATTGTAATAGAGCGGTGTTGTAATAGAGCGGTGTTGTAATAGAGCAGTATTGTAATAGAGCAGTGTTGTAATAGAGCTGTGTTGTAATAGAGCAGTATTGTAATAGAGCGGTGTTGTAATAGAGCAGCATTGTTATAGAATATTGTAATAAAGCGGTGTTGTAATAGTGCGGTGTTATAGAATATTGTAAAAGAGCAGCATTGTAATAGAGCAGTACTGTAATAGAGTGGCGTTATAATAGAGCAGTATTGTAATAGAGAAGTATTGTAATAGAGCAGTGTTGTAATAGAGCGGTGTCGTAATAGTGCAGTGTCGTAATAGTGCAGTGTCGTAATAGTGCAGTGTCGTAATAGTGCAGTGTCGTAATAGTACGGTGTCGTAATAGAGCGGTGTCGTAATAGTGCAGTGTCGTAATAGTGCGGTGTCGTAATAGTGCAGTGTCGTAATAGTGCAGTGTCGTAATAGTGCGGTGTCGTAATAGTGCGGTGTCGTAATAGTGCGGTGTTGTTATAGAATATTGTAATAGAGCGGTGTTGTACTAAAGCAGTACTGGAATAGTGGTGTTGTATTAGAACAGTATAAATGAGCCTGTCCTGTTTATTACATGATGCCTGATACATGGATTTTGAAAAACAAAATAAAAATTTGCATCCCCCTCTCAGCATAATATGTCTTTACATCCCGAATGTGGTGGAACGACTAGCAGGGAACATAGTACCCAGTAAACAGAGCATCATCTTTTAAAGACATTTATCTAAAACCCAGCAGGAGAATCATTCAGATAACAACATCTACACCTTGACGCTCAATGATTAAACTGAGGGTTCTAATCGTGCTATCAAACAGAACTTCCATGGAACAAACTCAAGGTTTTAACATTTACCTGAACAGCAAAGTCTATTAGCTGGTGCAGTTCCAGGTCTCGGTTCTTTTGATGACCTGAAATAAAGACACTATGTTAAAGGAACCCTGTAGACAGCATTTCATCCCATTGAAGTGATTTTGAATGGTTTAACACTAAATGAATAGGGAAGGTGCAGTTTAACTCCTTATAAGCCATACCAGCTATTGGCTCTCAACCAATCCCTGCCACCCATCGCTGTGAAGGCACCAGCAGGAGCAGCAGAGAGTGGTTGGGGAGCCAACCTAAAAGTGATCAATACAGGTAAAACACTGAACATGCTCTTGATTTTTTGGGTCAATGCACAAAACATCCTTTACATCACAAATGTACTTATTTTCTAATAATATTAAATGTTTGTCCTGTAACTTTCAAAATGTGGACGCAGTCAAATCAATGGGAAAAAAAAAGAAAAAAAAAAGATGTAAAAAGGAATATGAAGAAACGCGTCTTATCTTGGCGCACGACAGAGAAGTCCCTAATGTATAAAAAGTAATAGGACAGAAATGGTCCACATGCACAAAACATTCACAAACGTGAAAGTGATTACGACATGTTTTATACATAATCCCTGACACACATTGAGATAGTGGCCAAACTAGTAAGACAGGAGCTAATCTCCATCACAATTATTGTTCCAGTCAAACTGCGGGCAAATCTCTGTATTTATCGTAAGCAGATTCTGTCAGTAATGTTTAAAATGCTTTTGGGTAAAGTTAGTGATTTGTGGCTGTTTTCGTTCTACACACATTCCATATATGAGAACATTTACTGACTAAAGCCTTTCTATAAGCACGGTGAATGTCGTTTAATAGAGACGTGTGAAATGCAAACACGAATTGCAGTGAATTGAAAATCAAACAGCAACAATAAAGGTGAAATACTGAATAATTATTCACTACAATTTGTTGTTTGGTGAATAAACCCTTTAGGGTTAATTGCTCAGCTGGTCACAGGTGAAGTACACCTACGCGATCCTTTTATATTGTCCTGGTAAGTCCGTACGACAAATTCATAAATGCAACTTATTGTCCATTTTGCAATATGGTAAAAGCTAACTGGTGGTCGGTATCAGTGGAATCAAAATGGTAAAGGCTAACTGGTGGTTCTGTATCAGTGGAGTCAAAATGGTAAAGGGTAACTGGTGGTCGGTATCAGTGGGACCAAAATGGTAAAGGCTAACTGGTGGTTCTGTATCAGTGGGACCAAAATGGTAAAGACTAACTGGTGGTCGGTATCAGTGGGCCCAAAATGGTAAAGGCTAACTGGTGATCGGTATCAGTGGAACCAAAATGGTAAAGGCTAACTGGTGGTCGTATCAGTGGAGCCAAAATGGTAAAGGCTAACTGGTGGTTGGTATCAGTGGTGCCAAAATGGTAAAGACTAACTGGTGGTTGGTATCAGTGGTGCCAAAATGGTAAAGGCTAACTGGTGGTTCTGTTTCAGTGGAGTCAAAATGGTAAAGACTAACTGGTGGTTGGTATCAGTGGTGCCAAAATGGTAAAGGCTAACGGGTGGTTCTGTATCAGTGGGACCAAAATGGTAAAGACTAACTGGTGGTTGGTATCAGTGGTTCCAAAATGGTAAAGGCTAACTGGTGGTTCTGTATCAGTGGAGTCAAAATGGTAAAGACTAACTGGTGGTCGTATCAGTGGAGCCAAAATGGTAAAGGCTAACGGGTGGTTCTGTATCAGTGGGACCAAAATGGTAAAGACTAACTGGTGGTTGGTATCAGTGGTTCCAAAATGGTAAAGGCTAACTGGTGGTTCTGTATCAGTGGAGTCAAAATGGTAAAGACTAACTGGTGGTCGTATCAGTGGAGCCAAAATGGTAAAGGCTAACAGTGGGACCAAAATGGTAAAGACTAACTGGTGGTCGGTATCAGTGGAGTCAAAGTGATAAAGGCTAACTGGTGGTCGGTATCAGTGGAGTCAAAGTGATAAAGGCTAACTGGTGGTCGGTATCAGTGGAGTCAAAATGGTAAAGGCTAACTGGTGGTCGGTATCAGTGGAGTCAAAGTGATAAAGGCTAACTGGTGGTCGGTATGAGTGGAGGCGCACATTAATGAAATGCACTGACCATATTTTGTAACTGCTTTTTATCTTTTCAAACTGTTTTGTTGAATTTTTTTAAAACAAACATTTTAAAGAAAAACAGGGTAAGGAGAGGGGGTAATCCATTCAAAAACACAATGAAAACATTCTATATTATGAACATTTTTTTTTCTGACAAGCATGGAAAAAGTCCTGTGTTGGCTGAAAAATGCAAATCTCCTGTCGTGTTTTAGCTTCATGAAGACTAAAACAGTTAAGGATGGCATTCAGAAAGCATGTAGTAAGTTATAGGCAGCAATCCAGACTAGGGTGTTCAATCTCATAACGTACTATTCCTAGATCCAAACTATCTAGCCAAAAACACACATAGGATCTCGTCAAAATGTTCAAAAATATACTTTACATCCTAACTGTTGGGAATAAATATGCTACACATTAACAAAAACACAGTGACTACTTGTTAGGATAATCCATAGCTAATGTAGTCCCAATACTGAGCTCTAGAAGGAAACAATTAGATTGGTCCTACCCTACATATCATGAGAATACACCATTGGTATACATACCTAGTGGCAAGGTAAGTACACTTCAATGTGGTCCTGTGTGTATTTTTGCCCTGGTAGTCTGGGTTCTTAAAATAATGGGACCCTATGGGGTTGCGTAGCACAGACTGGATTGTGGTACGTTCTTTAATAAATGCTTTCTGAGTGCAATCCTTAACTGCTTTTTCTATTTTTGAAGAAGTTAACACAGGACAAAAGATCTGCATTTGGTGCACGGTTTGTTATACCTTCTATAGCCAAGTGTTGGGGCTGCAGTATGCGAGCTATAAATTATTCTAACATGTATTTATTGCTTCTTTGCCAATTTGTGGTTTTTGTTTTTTTTAACAATTGGACATAGTGTATATTTTTGCACATTTTGCTGCACTCCTGTGTATTTTTAACTTCATCAAGAAACAGAAAATGTAGAATAGTTTAATCAGTGCAAAAAATAAAACAAAAATGGACAGCATTAATCCCAGGCACCCCGAAATATAAATAAAAGCCCGCCTTTAGAAGTTGTGGTGTGCAACACCATGTACGTTACTTTTTAGGTACGATTTCAGCGTTCCGTGTTTCATGTACTCAGTAACAATGAACACAGGTTCGGCCTGGAGACACACTGCGTACAGCTTGAGGAGTCGCTCATGGTTCAATTTCCACATGGTCTCTGCCTCTCCGTATAACGTTTGCTGCAGTGATTCTCTGCTCACTAAGAATAGACACAGAATGCAAAACATTTATTATATATGGCTACTCCCCGGGCAGTTATCAACCGCTACCTGTGCCTCTGCGGCAACATCAGTCAGACATTTATTATTTCATCCTTATACGATGCATGTCATTATCAAAGCCATTATACGATGTGCGCCATTATCAAAATCATTATACGATGTGCGTCATTATCAAAGTCATTATTCGATGTGCGCCATTATCAAAGTCATTATACGATGTGCGTCATTATCAAAGCCATTATACGATGTGCGCCATTATCAAAGCCATTATACGATGTGCGCCATTATCAAAGCCATTATACGATGTGCGCCATTATCAAAGCCATTATACGATGTGCATCATTATCAAAGCCATTATACAATGTGCGCCATTATCAAAGCCATTATACGATGTGCGCCATTAGCAAAGCCATTATACAATGTGCGTCATTATCAAAGCCATTATACGATGTGCATCATTATCAAAGCCATTATACAATGTGCGCCATTATCAAAGCCATTATACAATGTGCGCCATTATCAAAGCCATTATACAATGTGCGCCATTATCAAAGCCATTATACGATGTGCGCCATTAGCAAAGCCATTATACGACGTGCGTCATTATCAAAGCCATTATACGACGTGCGTCATTATCAAAGCCATTATTCGATGTGCGTCATTATCAAAGCCATTATGCGACGTGCGCCATTATCAAAGCCATTATTCGATGTGCGTCATTATCAAAGCCATTATACGATGTGTGTCATTATCAAAGCCATTATTCGATGTGCGTCATTATCAAAGCCATTATATGATGTGCGCCATTATCAAAGCCATTATACGATGTGCGCCATTATCAAAGCCATTATACGATGTGCGCCATTATCAAAGCCATTAAGGCCACTAAACAAATAGTCATTGCAAACATACATTGAGCATCAAAAAACAAGGTCCATTTTTTTTTATCCTATTCAAAGATAAACACCATAGAAAATGTACATAAATCACTTTAATATCGATCAACCGCATGTAAGGAGCAAACATTATATTTCCACCTACGTGTAGCCCCATGCAGCCAGGCACAGCTAAGCGAAAAAAGGCCTTGACATGGGTTAGGAGGCCGGCATTGGAGGAAGTAAGCAAGGGAGTGGAGTTATGGGTAAGTAGGTTTGGTTATTTAAATGGGCAGCCATTTTAGGGGAGTAATTCTAATTTCCTACCTGGTTAAGTCTGTCCCACCCACCCTCCCTGTTGTGTTCTGCGTGGGGTTGTCCCGTTTTTTCACAGCGGCGGGATGGGGAGCTGAAGGAAAGGAAATAGGCTCCCCAGGATGAACGTAATGGAAAACAAACAAGTGGTGGTCATCGGTGGTTTCGAGTCCTGTCGGTGGCTCAGAACCTGGTGGGGTAGGGGTATCCGGGTATACCCCTGCCGTGGTTAATGGATGGTTGGCACTTTACATCGGTATTGGAATAATGTTGATGTATGTTATATATATATATATGTGTTATTTATATGGGGGTCATTGCCCTTTATATGTTAATGGAAGGAATAGGATGCGAGGGAGGAGTATGGGGGGCAATGACCCATGTTTTACTTGTTAAGTTATTATTATTATTATCATTGTTATTATTATTGTTTGCTTAATAAAGCTGTGGACAAAATTTCCCATATCCCTTAGTGTCCGTGCGTTATTGGGTTAGGATATGGGGTGATTGTCCTGGATTCCGACTGCCCAAATGGCGACTATACACCTGTCATGAAGACATTAATATTCTTCATTGCTATCAGAACCAAATCATTAAACCTCGAGGGAGCAGGGTTTATCATAGACACACAATGACATTATTTAATAAATTCATTTATATTTCACTTAGTGTCTATTTCTATTTACGTTTTAGAGGAGCCAAAGCCAAAAACATTTCAAAAATCAGCACTGCCTCAAATAAAACTCCAAAGGAGGTTCGGTGTTACACGTGATCTCTTCCATGTTGTAGCCAGGGGGTGCTCCACGTCCACAGTAAGTAGGCTATGGGAAACTGGGAAGCCGGATGCTGCCGTGATGTAATATTTAACATTTAACAAACCAGCCTTAGAATTGTCTAGAATTGCTCATTGGATTATAGCAAAATATATACATGGACTAACAGGAAAAGTACATAATGGACCGTATACCAATAAAAGTGTTATCATTATTTCACTGTGTCCTCTTACAGGAAATGCTTATTCTGCCTTTATCTTGTGTTTGTTCACGAAATTTTAAACTTGCCAACCATCCCTAAGCGCTAATACAGCTGTGCTCAAAAACATGAAAACATGAGCAAAACACATTTCTTTTATTTCTTATGGGATTCATACAGTGGCGGATCCAGGGGGGGGGGCAATGGGGCAATTGCCCCCCCCGAGAAATCCGCCGGTCTCCCTCTCCCTCCCCTGCCAGCCTGGCAGGCACTGTGCTGAGAGCCAGCGGGGGAGGGAGGGAGTGAGAGAGAGGACCCGGAGCTCAGTCTGCAGCTCCTCCGGGTCCTCCTCTCGTGAGATTTGAAGCATTACCGCGGTTACCACGGCAACGCTCCAAATCTCGCGAGAGTGAACTCTAGCCCGGGAGCGCGGGCTAGAGTTCACTCTCCACACTGGGACCACCAATGAATCACCACTGGGACCACCAGGGATCGAAGTATGTCCCCCCTCCTCCCCAGTAAAAGTAAGAACGGAGGGGGGACATATTTCGGATAAATAATTAAATTAAAAATTTTTAATTCGAATTAAATTAAAAAAAATATATATTATAAAAAAAAAGCCACACACACATACATTGCCCCCAATACTGCCCCCATTCACACAAACTGCCCCCATACACACACACTGCCCCATTCACACAAACTGCCCCCCATACACACAAACTGCCCCCATACACACACACTGCCCCCCATACACACACTGCTTCAGCGCTGCGCGGCTGCGCTGTACGCTGCGCTGCTTTGTTTTCGCCGCGCCGCGACGCGCTTTGAACTACTTTCAACGCTTTTATTTCACGCGCTGCTGCTTTTGTGCGCTGCGTGCTGCCATGACCACTGGGGCGCGTAGCGACGCGCGCACTCACTTTCACACACTACAACCTTCCGCACACTGCACCCCTTACACATTTGCACCACTCACACGCACCACTGCTCCTATGCTACATTTACATTTTGAAAGCAGATCTCAGATAAGTTGTCAAACTGTTCTTAAACGGCTTGACTACTTACTGTGGGAGGTGGTCCCGGCACTATTGACACCATAACCACTACACTGAGCTGTAGTGGTTATTGTGTCTGGATTATTTCTTTAAATAATCTACAAGTGCCCCTCCCGAGATCAGACTCTGGATCCGCCACTGGATTCATATTCAACTGTAGGTTATATGGCACAGCCATAAAACAAAACATGGCAACAAAGAAAAAAGTGAAATGACCCCTGTTCAAAAGTCTACATACCCTTAGTTCTTAATACTGTGCATTGCCCCCTTTAGCATCAATGACAGCGTGCAGTCTTTTGTAATAGTTATCTATGAGGCCCCTAATTCTTGCATGGGGTATAGCTGCCCATTTGTCTTGGCAAAATGCCTCCGGGCATGTAAAGTCTTTGGTCGTCTTGCATGAACAGTGTAAGGAAACCTAGTATATCCAATCCTCATTCGGTAGTTTCCTCCCGAACCGCCAGAGCATCAGTGATTATAGCTCTCCGTTCGGTAGATGGAATAAATGAAATCCATATGAATACAAATAGCTTTACAAGATGATTCCCTTAGTAAAGCATACAAATCCCCAAACATCAGCCGAAGTCAAGAAGAAGGGTGTAAGGATACTGTAACGAAATCCCCTATTTACAGACTATACGAACAAGCCTGTTCGGTTATTTGGAGAATTACAGCGGGATTTCGTGGAAATAACAATAAATGCGAAAGTGGCCAACCCCAGATAGCTATAGTATGGAACTTGCAGTCGGCTGCAAACACACGAACGGCCGGTGAAAGTCAAACTTCGGTCGACGATTCTGAGAACTGTGTTAGTGGGATCTGAGCGCTATTCGCCTAGAATATGCCCTCAGATCCAAGCTATCTGGGGATATGTGGAACTTAAAGTTTATGTTGTGTAAAAAGAAAGTTATATATTTTTATTCTGTTTTGCTAAATAAGAAAAGCCATGTTTCTTTCTTCCTGGAGATAATTAAGGCTCTCTTTGCTACCTTAAGTTAATTATCTCCAGGATAGAAAAGAGGGAGTGATTTAGATAAAAGGGGAGTGCTTATGCTATAGCCACTGTGATTGGCTACTGTGTTACTTTTGTCCCAGTCTTCCATCTGGTCCCCTAGTGGAGTGTCCACCAGGTGGAAGACCTGCATAAATACCGGGCGGGTAGCCCACAGTAAATCAGATCGTTTTACCCCTTCGTTTTACCCCTTCATGAAGGATTGGGAGCTATAATCACTTCGTTTCAGTTGTATTTCGGGAGAAGCTGCAAGGATAATCGCTGCACGAATGCAAGGATCCTTTACAGATACCAAGTATATTTAAACCTCATTCGGTAGTTTCCTCCCGAACCGCCAGAGCCTTAGTGATTATAGCCCTCCGTTCGGTAGATAGGGTAGACTAATCCTATAGCAATTCCAATAGCTTCACAAGATAATTCCCTTAGCGAAACACACGAATCCCCAAACTTCAGCCGAAGTCAAGAAGAAGGGTACAAAATGAACTGTCCTTTAATAGGTGCACACAGCTTTTATGCAAGTCCCCATGCAAGGGGACAGCCCTCAGGGAGGGACAAACAATAGCCAATCATAAACAGTAAAATGTTAACACACACCTACAATTCCCTCCCCTAGCCCAGGAGATAATTCAGTCTGATAAAATGTTAACTTAATTATCTCCGGGCTGAAAAATCGAATTTTTCCCCAATAACTGGAACACCCCTTTATACTTGAGGTATCCCCATAAATTATATGTCCCCTGATAGCCCCAGATCGGTTCAGGGGTTCACAAAAACTATGGAAGTCTCTTGTGACCGGCTCACCCTGGGCTGTTTGCCCAAAACAGTTCCATGAATTTGGTGGGTTTTGCCGGTCACTTTCGAAAAAGCAGAAAAACGAACAAAGTACCAAATGGATCCCTCTGGCTCCTAGCAGCGTTCGTGCCCCTCTGTCGAATACACCAAAGTACCAAATAGCGCTCTTCTAGCTATTCAGTAAATAGAGTTCCAGCGATCATCTGTTTGGGACCGGTGTTTGGGAAGTCGAGTGTCCATTTTTAGTTCCATGAACTCGACGACCAGGTCCCGCTGCCTTTGTTCGCATGAACAAAGATGGCCGCGGTTTTCTCTGCCACGTGGCATTCGACTGACGAACGCTGGCCGCACAGACAGAGGTAGCAATTTCACCCAAACTTTGATGTTTAATGAGCCAGAGGGGTGGTCTTTGTTCGGTAGTTCCATCTACCGAATGCAATGGGCATAACTAGGGTAACAGTAAGGGAATGCAATGAGTATATACAATATAACAAAAAAAAGGGGGTTTCTTCACAAAGGGTACAACAGAACTGGCTTTTAATGACCACACACATGCAAGTCCCCATGCACATCCCACAAGGTGGGACACAGTATAACCAATCAGTTACAGGAAAACAGTAAAACACACCCAGCACAAACATACAATTCCCTCCCATAGTCCTGGAGATAATCAAGTCTGATAAAGTAATAACTTGATTATCTCCAGGCAGAAAAATCACAATTTCCCCCAATATTCAGAACACCCCTTTAGACATGGGGTATCCCCACAAATAATATGTCCCCTGATAGCCCCGATCTGGGTGACCAACATATTCAAATTTCACCCAGATCGGTTCAGGGGTTCTCAAAAAGTGTGGAAGTCCTTTGTGACCGGCTAACCACGAGGTGGCTTCCCAAAATAGTTCCAGGAGTTTGGGTGGTTTTGCCGGTCTATTCAGTTAAGTGGCAAAAACCGAATAAGTTCAAGAATGGATTCCCCTGGCTCTTAGCAGCGATTGTTCCCCTCATTCGAATGCACAAAAGTACCGAATAGCGCTCTTCTAGAGATCTAGAAATAGAGATCCAGCGTTCGCTTGTTGAGACCGGTGTTTGGGAAGTCGCGTGTCTGATTTTAGTTCCAGACACTCGACGACCAAGTCCCGCTGCCTTTGTTCGCCTGAAAAAAGATGGCCACCATTTTCTCAGCCACGTGGCGTTCGGTAGTAGAAATGCTGGCTGCACAGATAGAAGGTTCAATTGAAGCATTCTTTGAAGTTTAACGAGCCAGGGGGTGGTCTCTGTTCGGTAGTTATATCTACCGAATGACTATGGAAGAAATATTACACATAAAGAGGGATTTCTTCACAAACAGCATGTTTGAGATCTCCCCAGAGTGACTCATTGATATTAAGGTCAGGAGACTGTGATGGCCACTCCAGAACCTTCATTTCTTTCTACTGTAACCACTGGAAGGGTAACTTGGCCTTGTCATGCTGGAAAGTCCAAGAGCGTCCCATGCTCAGCCTTCGTGCATAAGAATCCAAATTGTCTGCTAGTATTTTTTGATAATATGCTGAATTTATCTTGCAATCAATTTTCACAAGATTTCCGTGCCTTTAGAGCTCACACCCCCCCAAAACATCAGTGAGACACCACCATGCTTCATAGTGGGGATGTTATTCTTTTCACTATGGTCATTGTTGACCCCTCTCCAAACATTGACCTTATGGTTGTAACAATTAAGCTCTATTTTAGTCCTGTCAATCCAAATTACATTGTGCCAGAGGCTCTGCTGTGTGTCAAGGTGTTGTTGGGCATATTGTAACCAAGCTTTTGGTGGCATTGGCGCGGTAAAGGCTTCTTTCTGGCAACTTGATCATGCAGCTCATTTTTGTTCAAGTATCGTCACATTGTGCTCCTTGAAACAACCACACCATCTTTTTTCAGAACAGCCTGTATTTCTCCTGAGGTTACCTGTGGGTTTTTCTTTGTATCAATTCTTCTGGCAGTTGTTGCTGAAATCTTTCTTGGTCTACCTGACCTTGGCTTGGTATCAAGAGATTCCAGAATTTTCAACTTCTTAATAAATAATTGAACAGTACTGACTGACATTTTCAAGGCTTTGGATATTTTTTTATATCCTTTTCCATCTTAAAGTTCCATTACCTTGCAGGTCTTTTGACAGTTCTTTTCTGCTCCCCATGGCACAGTATCTAGCCTGCTCAGATCATCCACGTGAGAGCTAACAAACTCATTGACTATTTACACACAGACACTAATTGCAATTTAAATAAAAAGGGAAATTAACCTTTAATTGCCATTTTAACATGTGTGTATCACTTTGTGTGTCTGTAACAAGGCCAAACATTCAAGGGTATGTAAACTTTTGATCAGGACCATTTGGGCGATTTCTGTAATCATTATGGTTTAAAACGAGCTTCATATGATTTATATGGCTTCATATGATCACTATCTTTTAATAAAATATATTTTTTGCATGATCAGTAATATTTTCAAAATCAATGCCAACATTTTAAAATTTCTGCCAGGGTATGCAAACTTTTGAGCACAACTCTAAAATTCCAGTCCTAGCTCTAACCCTAGCTCTAATACAATCCCAGCCCTATCTCTAACCCTAGCTCTAATACAATCCCAGCCCTATCTCTAACCCTAGCTCTAATACAATCCCAGCCCTATCACTAACCCTAGCTATAACACAATTCCAGCCTATCACTAACCCTAGCTCACAATAGCCTATCTCTAACCCTAGCTCTAACACAATCCAAGCCCTATCTCTAACCCTAGCTCTAATACAATCCCAGCCCTATCTCTAACCCTAGCTCTAATACAATGCCAGCCATATCTCTAACCCTAGCTCTAATATAATCCCAGCCCTATCTCTAACCCTAGCTATAACACAATTCCAGCCTATCTCTAACCCTAGCTCTAACACAATCTCAGCCCTATCTCTAACCCTAGCTCTAACACAATCTCAGCCCTATCTCTAACCCTAGCTCTAACACAATCCCAGCCCTATCTCTAACCCTAGCTCTAATACAATCCCAGCCTTATCTCTAACCCTAGCTCTAATACAATCCCAGCCCTATCTCTAACCCTAGCTCTAATACAATCCCAGCCCTATCTCTAACCCTAGCTCTAACACCATCCCAGCCCTATCACTAACCCTAGCTATAACACAATTCCAGCCTATCTCTAACCCTAGCTCTAACACAATTCAAGCCCTATCTCTAACCCTAGCTCTAACACAATCCAAGCCCTATCTCTAACCCTAGCTCTAATACAATCCCAGCCCTATCTCTAACCCTAGCTCTAATAAAATCCCAGCCCTATCTCTAACCATAGCTCTAACACAATCCCAGCCCTATCTCTAACCCTAGCTCTAATACAATTCCAGCCCTATCTCTAACCCAACTCTAATATAATCCCAGCCCTATTTCTAACCCTAGCTCTAATACAATCCCAGCCCTATCTCTAACCCTAGCTCTAATACAATCCCAGCCCTATCTCTAACACCATCCCAGCCCTATCACTAACCCTAGCTATAACACAATTCCAGCCTATCTCTAACCCTAGCTCTAATACAATTCCAGCCCTATCTCTAACCCTAGCTCTAATACAATCCCAGCCCTATCTCTAACCCTAGCTCTAATACAATCCCAGCCCTATCGCTAACCCAAGCTCTAACACGATCCCAGCCCTCTCTCTAACCCAACTCTAATATAATCCCAGCTCTAATACAAACCCAGTCATATCTCTAACTCTAGCTCTAACACAATCCCAGCTCTAATACAATCCCAGCCCTATCTCTAACTCTAGCTCTAACACAATCCCAGCCCTATCTCTAACCCTAGCTCTAACACAATCCCAGCCCTATCTTTAACCCTAGCTCTAATACAATCCCAACCCTATCACTAACCCTAGCTCTAATAGTATCCCAGCCCTATCTCTAACCCTAGCTCTAACACAATCCCAGCCCTATCTCTAACCCTAGCTCTAATACAATCCCAGCCCTATCTCTAACCCTAGCTCTAATACAATCCCAGCCCTATCTCTAACCCTAGCTCTAATACAATTCCAGCCCTATCACTAACCAAACGCTAATATAATCCCAGCCCTATCTCTAACCCTAGCTCTAATACAATTCCAGCCCTATCTCTAACCCAACTCTAATATAATCCCAGCTCTAATACAAACCCAGTCATATCTCTAACTCTAGCTCTAACATAATCCCAGCTCTAATACAATCCCAGCCCTATCTCTAACCCTAGCTCTAACACGATCCCAGCCCTATCTCTAACCCTAGCTCTAACACAATCCCAGCCCTATCTCTAACCCAACTCTAATATAATCCCAGCTCTAATACAAACCCAGTCATATCTCTAACTCTAGCTCTAACATAATCCCAGCTCTAATACAATCCCAGCCCTATCTCTAACCTTAGCTCTAACACAATCCCAGCCCTATCTCTAACCCTAGCTCTAACACAATCCCAGCCCTATCTCTAACCCTAGCTCTAATACAATCCCAGCCCTATCTCTAACCCTAGCTCTAATTGTAACGGACCGTTTTGCACAAAAGGGGTAAAAACCGTTTAGGCGATCGGCCCCCTTTCCAGAGATGCAGGCACAGCTACTGCAGAACACCAAGCTCCTGAACTGGATACAAAATAGCACTCCAACTCCCGAACTGGAACCTCCCAAATAGCTGCTAGCAGACGAACAGGAAAAGCAGCTTACACTCCTGGCAATCAGTCTCTAACAGCATACAGTGAATCCCCCCAAGAACGAGACAAGGCTCCGTGTTGAGGGTCAAGCAGTGGTCTGAGGTGCTGGCACACCCAGCCTGGTTTTTATTACAGTGTTTCAAATACAGGACCACCCACGGGGAGGGATAAAACAACCAATCATATCACAGTTACATCCCACATATTCCCTCCCCTTATCCTGAGAGGAAACTCAATTATACAAACAGTTAAAACATACTTTCTACTCAACTTTCATAACTCCAAAACCATACATCACATTCACATAAAATTACATATTCTCAATCAATCCATTCAGGGGAACAACATATTCAAAAATGGCACAAATCAGACAAAGGGTTCAAAAGTTAGTAAAAAGTCCTTTGTGACTAAATGAAGCATGGCTTTCTGGCCCAAACCAGTTTCAGAGTCTTCTATCCTGGAGATAAGTAATTCAATTATCTCCCAGGACAGACACAAGACTCCATTAAGCACATGGTTGCAAAGAGACACAAAACACTTTAAAACACATAAAGTCACATTTATTACATAAAACACAGACATGTAACATATCCCCAGATAGCTCAGGTCCGAGCGCACATTATTAAGTGAATGGCGCTCAGACCACACGAATACAGTTTAATCGCCATGGAGCTAAAGTCTTTACAGTCAGTTTCATACGAATGGGCTCCATGGGATTCCTATCTGGGGTATAACACATTCAAACAAATCCACCGAACCCCAGGCAGAAAAGCACGAATACAGCTTTTCTGCAGGCAAAAATAAAGTCTTTTAAAAGGGGGCCATAGTCCAAAGGCAGCAGGCAAGCAACCAGGCTTCTCCAATGCACTGTGGCGAGATTGGTCTCGTCACACTAATACAATCCCAGCCCTATCTCTAACCCTGGCTCTAATAAAATCCCAGCCCTATCTCTAACCCTAGCTCTAATACAATTCCAGCCCTATCTCTAACCCAACTCTAATATAATCCCAGCTCTAATACAATCCCAGCCCTATCTCTAACCCTAGCGCTAATACAATCTCAGCCCTATCTCTAACCCTAGCTCTAATACAATCTCTAACCCTAGCTCTAATACAATTCCATCCCTATCTCTAACCCAAGCTCTAACACGATCCCAGCCCTATCGCTAACCCTAGCTCTAACATAATCCCAGCCCTATCTCTAACCCTAGCTCTAACAAAATCCCAGCCCTATCTCTAACCCTAGCTCTAATACAATCCCAGCCCTATCTCTAACCCTAGCGCTAATACAATCTCAGCCCTATCGCTAACCCTAGCTCTAACACAATCCCAGCCCTATCGCTAATCCTAGCTCTTATACAATCCCAACCCTATCACTAACCCTAGCTCTAATAGTATCCCAGCCCTATCTCTAACCCTAGCTCTAACACAATCCCAGCCCTATCTCTAACCCTAGCTCTAATACAATCCCAGCCCTATCTCTAACCCTAGCTCTAATACAATCCCAGCCCTATCTCTAACCCTAGCTCTAATACAATTCCAGCCCTATCACTAACCAAACGCTAATATAATCCCAGCCCTATCTCTAACCCTAGCTCTAATACAATTCCAGCCCTATCTCTAACCCAACTCTAATATAATCCCAGCTCTAATACAAACCCAGTCATATCTCTAACTCTAGCTCTAACATAATCCCAGCTCTAATACAATCCCAGCCCTATCTCTAACCCTAGCTCTAACACGATCCCAGCCCTATCTCTAACCCTAGCTCTAACACAATCCCAGCCCTATCTCTAACCCAACTCTAATATAATCCCAGCTCTAATACAAACCCAGTCATATCTCTAACTCTAGCTCTAACATAATCCCAGCTCTAATACAATCCCAGCCCTATCTCTAACCTTAGCTCTAACACAATCCCAGCCCTATCTCTAACCCTAGCTCTAACACAATCCCAGCCCTATCTCTAACCCTAGCTCTAATACAATCCCAGCCCTATCTCTAACCCTAGCTCTAATAGGTCAGCCCTATCTCTAACCTAGCTCTAATACAATCCCAGCCCTATCTCTAACTAGCTCTAATACAATCCCAGCCCTATCTCTAACCCAAGCTCTAACACGATCCCAGCCCTATCGCTAACCCCTAGCTCTAACATAATCCAACCCTATCTCAACCTAGCTCTAACAAAGTCAGCCCACATCTCTAACCCTAACAATACAGTCCCAGCCCACTATCTCTAGCCCTGGCTCTAATACAATCCCAGCCCTGTATCTCTTCAACTGAAGCTTCATACGATCCAGCCCTATGTAACCCTAGCTCACAACATAATCCCAGCCTATCTCTAACCCACAAGCTCTAACCGTCAGCCTATCTCTAACCCTAAGCTCTAATACAATCCCAGCCCTATCTCTCTAACCCTAAGCTAATAGCCCTATCGCTAACCTAGCTATAAACCCAGCTCTTATACTCAATACCAATCCCAGCCTTATCTCTAACCCTAGCTCTAACACGATCCCAGCCCTGTCTCTATCCCTAGCTCTAATACAATCCCAGCCCTATCTCTAACCCTAGCTCTAATACAATCCCAGCCCTATCTCTAACCCTAGCTCTAATACAATTCCAGCCCTATCTCTAACCCAACTCTAATATAATCCCAGCTCTAATACAAACCCAGTCATATCTCTAACTCTAGCTCTAACACAATCCCAGCTCTAATACAATCCCAGCCCTATCTCTAACCCAAGCTCTAACACGATCCCAGCCCTATCGCTAACCCTAGCTCTAACATAATCCCAGCCCTATCTCTAACCCTAGCTCTAACAAAATCCCAGCCCTATCTCTAACCCTAGCTCTAACAAAATCCCAGCCCTATCTCTAACCCTAGCTCTAATACAATCCCAGCCCTATCTCTAACCTAGCGCTAATACAATCTCAGCCCTGTCGCTAACCCTAGCTCTAACACAATCCCAGCCCTATCGCTAACCCTAGCTCTAATACAATCCCAGCCCTGTCTCCAACCCTAGTTCTAACACGATCCCAGCCCTGTCTCTATCCCTAGTTCTAACACAATCCCAGTCGTAGCTCTCGCTATATAACTTGTAAGATGTTGTGAGGTTTGTCACCTTTGAGTTCTTTAATTGCCACCTCAGTGGTTTCATTCCACAGGGCCAGGTACACTTCTCCAAAGCTCCCTCTGCCCAATGTCCTTATCTTCTTGATGGTGTTTGGATTTATCTCCAGGTTGTCTATCTTAGTGTCGTGAGAAAGAGATCCCAATGAAGGAAGATCCAGCTACAGGAAAACATATTAACAACTGTCAGTAAGCCATTAATGATATTGATAGAATCACAATCACACCTTTATGATACTTTTCAACTTATTTTTTTGCTTTTGTGGTTCTGCAAAAAAAAGGCCCATTACTTAAATTTTTAAGCAGATTTATCGACATTAATGGAACCATCAGACACTTATCAATGATAACTGCAAAATGAATTAACCAATATCCCCGAGGAGAACTAACACAGCAAACACTTCCCCTGAGCTGATGAGCTGTGGAAACATCACCACCCACAAGCAAACAATTCCTGGTTGATCAATTAAAACACTATAAAGGGACACTATAGTCACCAAAATAACTTTAGCTTAATGAAGCAGATTTGGTGTATAGATCATGCCTCTGAGGTTTCACTGCTCAATGCTCTGCCACTGTTTATGCAGCCCTAGCCACACCTTCCCTGGCTGTGACTGACACAGATGGCATGAAAAAAATGATTTCATTTTCAGATGCAACTAACTTCAAAAGATTTTATCTCCTGCAGTGTAAATTTTGCTTTAATTACATACAGGAGGCTTCTGCAAGGTCTAGCAAGCTACTAACACAGCAGGAGATAAGCAAATCTACATTAAACAAAATTTGCAATAAAGGAAGTATAAACATTAGATCTCTCTTTACAGGAAGTGTTTATAAAGGCTGTGTAAGTCACATGCAGGGAGGTGTCACTAAGACAGCATAAACAAAATGGTTTAACTTCTAAATGGCAGAAAATTGAGCAGTGAGACTTCAGGGGCAAGATCTATACACCAAAACTACTTAATTAAGCTAAAGTTTTTTTGGTGACTATAGTGTCCCTTTAAAGGACAAATGAGCAACGTTATGTCAAAATAGAAAAAAAAAAAGAAACATAGAATGTGACGGCAGATAAGAACCATTCGGCCCATCTAGTCTGCCCAATTTTCTAAATACTTTCATTAGTCCCTGGCCTTATCTTATAGTTAAGATAACCTTATGCCTATCCCACAAATGTCATAGCAAAACTGATAACACACTATACCAAAAATGCCAACCTTGAAAACTTTAAAGGAACACTCTAATGTTAGAAATACATGGATTAATTTAGACAATGGACAACCAAACTTAAAGGGACACTCCAGGCACCCAGACCACTTCTGCCCATTGGAGTGGTCTGGGTGCCAACTCCCACTACCCTTAACCCTGCAAGTGTAATTATTGCACTTTTTTTATAAACTGCAATAATTACCTTGAAGGATTAACTCCACCTCTAGTGGCTGTCTACTAGACAGCCACTAGAGGGCACTTCCGTGTCTATAGCACATATTTTCTGTGCTAGAGGTTAGCTGGACTTCCTTACGCTGTGTGAGGACCTCCAGCGTCGGTCAATTCCCCATAGGAAAGCATTGAAAAGCATTTTCAATGCTTTCCTAGGGAGAGTTCTAATGCGCATGCGCATTAGGTCTTCCCGGCCGGGATCAGTCTCGCCCATCGGCCGACGTAATGAAGAGGAAGAGCGGTGGCGACCCGAAACCACCACCAAGGGACATCGGCAGGGGTCTCAGGTAAGTGACTGAAGGGATTTTTACCCCTTCAGCAACCAGGGATTGGGAGGTGGGAGGGAGAGGGGACCTGCAGTGCCAGGAAAACGGATTGTTTTCCTGGCACTGGAGAGTCTCTTTAATGGTAAACAATAGTGTCAGGAAAGCAAAGTCATTTTCCTGGCACTGTAGCTTCCCCTTCTGTCAAGGCCCTCTCCCGCTGCGGCGCTTGGTCCAGTGCTGATGTCCCACAGCACTGGCTCAGCTCTGCCCACGTTCCTCCCCCCACCGCCGGCTGCATTAGGCTCTCATCATAGGAATACATTATTCAATGCTTTTCTGTGGGGATTCTGGCAACGCTGGAAGTCCTCATGCATAGTGTTAAAAAGTCTTTTAAGAACCCGGAATTCCCTCTGGTGGCTGTCTGGTAGACAGCCACTAGAGCAGGGCTTAACCCTGCAAGGTAATTATAGCAGTTTATAAAAACTGCAATAATTACCACTGCAGGGTTAAGGGTTATGGGAGTTGGTACCCAGACCACTTCAATGGGCTGAAGTGGTCTGGGTGCTTACAATGTCCCTTTAATGGGTAAGGAGGTGGTGTTGTCCAAGTCATGCTAAGTGTAACGGCACCCCCAGGCATAAAAGGGGTTAAAAGCCGTTTAGGAGATATTCCCGTTCCAGATATACAGGCAGTACCAAAGACACCAATCCGCCGAACGGGAGAAGCATTCGAATGCTCTCAAACATACGCATGCTGTAAACGGTCGAATAGGAAAAACCATACGAAAGGTTTACACTCCTAGCAGTCGAACTGGAACAGCATAAAGTATGCATCACATTCACATAAAACTTACATTTTCAGAATCAGCATCAAATACAAACATACGCCAAAATCATACAAATTGGTCCATTGGTTCAAAAGATAGATCGAAGTCCTTTGTGACCATATGAAGCATGGCTTTTCTGCCCAAAACCAGTTCCACAGAGTCTTCTAACCTAGAGATAATTGGGAAGTAATCCAATGATCTCCAAGGACAGAGGCAAAACTCCATTGAACACATGGCAACAAAAGGTAATAAAATACATACAAATATATAACTGTGCAGCTAATGCATAAAACATGTACATTCAACATATCCCCAGATAGCTCAGATCTGAGCGCACATTATTACTGAATGACACTCAGATCACACACATACAGTTCAATTGCCATGGAGCCAAAGTCTTTCCCATAGTTTTTCATTATACGAATGGGCTCCGTGGCATAGCTATCTGGGGTATCACCGCTCAAACAGGGCAAGCACCGAATGACCCGGCTTTCGTGTCTTCTCAGGGGAAAATCAAGTGTTTCAACATGGGGCCATACTCTAAAGGCAGCAGGCGGGCAACCAGGCTCCTCCAATGCACAGTGGCGAGATTGGTCTCGTCACATCTTGCCACGGCTATTATACATGTTCCAGGCAGTACCGTTGCGTTACCAACAACTTTCTTTGCGTCTGTGCGTTGGCCACTCTGATATTCGTATGGAAGGGTACCAGACCCAAGTGCATCACGAACTCCTATGCCTGCCTCGCTGCTGAGGGGGATTGGCTCTCGCGCATTTCTGCAAATACCCCCATGCGACAACCCTACAAAGGATTTTGGAATGGCACTCCAAACCACCTCAGAAGCTGTGGATCACTCTGCAGGGAGGGATGAATGCCGCATCACGCATAGCAAGAATGGGCACACCAAGGGAGATGACACATTCTCACCAACAACACAAATACTGAAGACGTGGGTATCCATTAGACGATCTCCCCATGTCTCACCGACTCCTAGCCCAATGATCTTGCTGACTCACAATGAATTTGTGGGAGGAGAACTACCCCCAAGAGCCTGGGAATTCCTGGACGGAGGGAAAGTGCTAACTGCCACTGGACTGAAGAGTCTTGTCGACTTGACAGGTGACTCCACACTGATACAACTACAATCCTGCTGCTATTCACAGCTCCAACACTTCTACAGCTCGATCCCAGACAGGGCTGCAGTACACAGGAACCAAACATTGAACGAGGGGTTTTGCGACAGCCAATCTGCCCTGGACAAAGCAATTTCAACGCTATACCAATATTTGCTGACTGGGAATCTGCAGAACCACCACACCTTCTAAAGACAATGGGAACATATCACAGGCACCACGTTCGAGGACGCCCAGTGGGAAAAAAATTCTGATCCCATTAACTTATACTATGAAGTGAACTTTAAGCTCCTCTCGTCGTGGTACAAAACTCCAGAACTACTACATCTAATATTCCCAGATGTCTCAAACACAGTTTGGAGATTCGGAGATGGAGCTGGAACGACTAGACATATCTGGTGGGATTGTTCTCACATAGTACCTTTCTGGGATACGATCATTGCCAAAATAGAGGATATACTGGGTGAAATGCCCAGGCTCACGATAGAACAAGCACTTTTACATTCTACTTCCCTACCAATCTCTAGATACAAATTGTCCATTTTGAGACAGCTTCTCAACGCTGCTAAAGCACTGGTGCCTGCCCTCTGGAATCAAACAAGTGCATCCACACTTGAGCAATGGTGTGACAGAATAGAAGACATTCAGTCAGCAGAATCGATCCAAGCTTTACTAACTGGTGCGGATGCGTGACATGCTGAGATGTGGCGCCCCTGGTTTGATTTTCACGTGGGACACGGGGACAGAACTGAGAGGAAGGGTAGGCGTGAGCGGACCGGGGAGAGGCACGACCTCAGTGACCTGCGGAGACGCCCCTAGCCTTTGACTTCATTGCTCTCCTTTCCCCTTTCTTCATTTCCTACCTCACTCTTGAACCTGCACAATGATCTTCCTAGGTTTACTTCCTCATAGTGTAATAAACCCACTTTAAGTGGGCACCACCCTATAGGGAATATCTTCCTTTTGTGGACGCACCCCTAAGTGAGGGGGAGATAAGACATAGAGGGAGAACACACAACCCTAGAGAGAGGGGAGATGTGGATATACCGTACAAGACACAATCATATGTGACACGGTCAGTAAGGATATGACCCCGAACATGACTAAGTCACACATGGGTTGGACTAAGCTATTAGAAAGGCCTTACATTGGGAGCATCAAGCTCCCACCCCTCTCTCTCTCCCACATAGATACCTACCATCAAAATAATCTCTCTTATATATAACAGGCTAAACCAGTATGCCAATGATGCCATCACAAAGTCAAGATAACTTGCAACAAGTTATCTGTCCCTATAGCATTAGATCTGAGCAGTCAGACACACTGCTACAATAGCGAGACGGACACTGACCCTAACAAGTCGCAATGACCATTGACCCCTTACTTTCACAACTTGGATTCCATCCCTTTCTCTTTAACAAGCCAAAGTCTTTCCCATAGTTTTTCATTATACGAATGGGCTCCGTGGCATAGCTATCTGGGGTATCACCGCTCAAACAGGGCAAGCACCGAATGACCCGGCTTTCGTGTCTTCTCAGGGGAAAATCAAGTGTTTCAACATGGGGCCATACTCTAAAGGCAGCAGGCGGGCAACCAGGCTCCTCCAATGCACAGTGGCGAGATTGGTCTCGTCACATCTTGCCACGGCTATTATACATGTTCCAGGCAGTACCGTTGGCGTTACCAACAACTTTCTTTGCGTCCGTGCGTTGGCCACTCTGACTACGCTACCCCATAACAGCATGGCCCTTTATGCCATCTCAGGCAACCAGTGTCACAAGACGGGGCTAATTAAATGGGCAAACTCCCACTTACTGCCTAAACACTCCATGCCATTTCCAATGCCACGAGCGGAAACTAGTATTTCAGTTAAAGCACAGGGATAACCTAGCTTTGAAGAAGGTCATAAGTCCACAGATAAGCTAGTCAACTTAGAGTCTTTATTCACATGCTCCAGTATTTATGCAATTCCCCATGCAAGGGGTTTCCTGAGTCACATCACAGGGGTATTACAGGAGTGGACTACATGGGAAACTTAAATCACGGAGCATTTCTCCCACCATGCACCGCTGTACGAGAGGGATACTCCCACTGGAATATCCTGTTAAGTGTATTATCCCTCCGTACAGCAGAACCGGCTTTTAACATAAAAATCCATAAATTTTGCTTTATTCGTGTGATTAACACGAATGACCGTTCGGTAGATAGCTGGGGTCTGAGCGCCTCCTTCGTGCGAGTACCGCTCAGATCACAGCTTAAATAACCGAACGGCACACGAAAACACACTTTATATTACATTCATCTAAAAGTACCGAACACCGATTGGGGAACCCAACACTAAAAGACCGGAGCTCCCGAACGGCCCGGAAGCCCAGCGGTGTTCGCGCCGTCGAGTAGACGATTTTAGTTCCAGGCGCTCGACGAACCAAACACCGCTGAGCTAACACAGGATCCAAGATGGCCGCCTGACGTGTGGTCGGTAGTCGAACGACGACAACCCAGGAAAGCACTTAACTACCGATTGCAACAATGTTGCAATCCGTTAATTGGAGCCACACGACCCTCTGTGTGTGGGCTCTGGTTCGGTACTTGGTTCGTTTCACGAACAGCCGGTAAAGTTGCTGTTCGTGAAACAACCATGTGAATGCTAGCGGCTTTCGGCTGCTAGCATACGAATGCTATAGGTTATACATGCAAGCATACATTTAAACACAGTAAGCAGAATACATTTAAACATCGTAGTGCAGCAGTGTTCCGGACAACCTTTAAAGTCACATCACAGCCATATAATCTGAAGTGGCTAGGTTTGCCACACTATTGACATCATAACCACTACACTGAGCTGTAGTGGTTATTGTGTCTGGATTATTTTGTTTAAATAATCTACAAGTGCCCCCCCCGAGATCAGGCTCTGGATCCGCCACTGTTTTGTACAGTGGTTGATGAATGTTGAGCAAAAAGAGAAGATTCACCATACAGCACACCTTTCACTTATATCACACGCTTCCCGCTATATTTCTCCCTTATCATTATAGATTGTAAACTTGCTTGGGAAGAGCCCTCTTCGCCTACTGTTCTTGTATGTCAAACGTGTTTTTCTGGAATTCATTGTTTGTCTTGCTGTATCAACCGTACAGCGCTGCAGAATTTGTTAGCATTGTATAAATCATGGGTCGTCAACCTGGTCCCTACTGCCCACTAGTGGGCGTTTCAGGATTCCAGGTGGGCGGTAGGGATTTCAGAGATTGGGTGGGCGGGAGGGCGGGTGCGAGCCAGCAGTACCCCTGCGACCGGGTACCGCCGTCACCATTTGCGGCCCGCGTGGTAAACCGCCGGGGCCGCCACCCAAGGTGTCCATCGGGTGGCCCAAGCTGTCAGGGCCACCCGATGGATGTGGATTGAGAGGAGGCCCGGTCAGTGCTGTGCGCTTTAACAGCGCGACTGGGCCCCCTATTATACATCACACGCTGGGAGGAAGTGACTGCACTCACTCCTCCCAGCTAACAAACAGACCGCGCGGGAGGAAGACCAGGGAGTCAGAGTAGGAACTCCCATCCACCTGAGCCACCACTGGACCCCAGGGAAAGTCACCCTCCTGCACCTAGAAGGTAGGAAACAGGAGGGTGACTAAAATATTTTGTGTGTGTTTGTTTGTGTGTATGTGTCTTTGTATGTATGTCGTGTGTGTGTGTGTGTCTCTATGTGTGTGTCTATGTATGTATGTCTTGTGTGTGTCTATCTGTATATATGTGTGTATGTATGTGTGTCTTGTCTTTGTATGTATGTGTGTCTTTGTATGTGTGTCTTGTGTGTCTGTATGTGTGTACGTGTCTATGTGTGTCTTATGTGTACCTGTCTGTTTCTGTGTATGTCTGTATGTATGTGTACCTGTCTGTTTCTATGTATGTGTGTGTCTGTATGTATGTTTGCGTGTGTCTGTATGTATGTGTGCCTGTCTGTATGTATGTGTGCCTGTCTGTATGTATGTGTCTTGTGTGTGTGTCTGTATGTGTGCCTGTCTGTTTTTCTGTATGTATGTATGTGTGCCTCTCTGTGTGTCTGTATGTATGTGTGCCTGTCTGTGTGTCTGTATGTATGTGTGCCTGTCTGTTTGTATGTATGTCTTTTTATGTGTGTGTGTGTGTGTGTATGTATGTGTGCCTGTCTGTTATAGTGGGCTATAGTAAGTGGGCTACCTAGCTAGGCCTTCCTACTGGGCATTGCTATAAGGAAGGTTAAAAAATAGAAAAAAGGGAGAAAAAAAAGGTGGGGAGGGGAATTGAGGAGGGAGTGGAGGGGAGCTGACGCACAGATGAGAAATCATATTATGCGCAAACAGAGAAGTCGTCTGAATATCACCGAGAGAGGAGACCTTCGTTTGTTCCTTACGAAAATCGAACCAGATATCAGCCTCAAGGATCTCATTAATCACCAGTAAAGGTAATTTCAATTTACTTTATTGTTTTCCAATTAAACTTTATAAAGTTAAAAACATTATAAACATGCATTAAGTAGAAATAAAAAGATAAATGTACGTACATTTATTTTTTTTAAAACACCCTTTCTAAAAAAATATTCCGCACTTGCGCGAAAACTGGTGGGCGGTAAGGAGATTTTTCCATCAAGAGAGATGCATTAGTGGGCGGCAGATAGAAAAAGGCTGACTACCACTGGTATAAATAATTGTAATTATTAATTATATGAAAACATTGATTCAATGATCTCCTATGGGAAAGGTGTATTGCACTCCAGCAAGAACCGCGCATGCTCATTAGGTCCCTCTATCGCTGTGACTGGAATTAGGGCAAGTGAAAAAGTGTTTCAACTGGTGGCAGACGGAGGAGGGAGGTCCTACAAAATTAGGTACAGGGACACCATAACGCTAGGAATACAGATCTTTGTTTCTAACACTATAGTGTTCCATTAAAGGTGTAGGACACACAATGTTTTGTTTGCACCTCACTTTTATTTTCAATGTAATTGTGTATTTACCTTTACCACTCTTTTTGTTGTGCCTGGTTTTAATACACTTGATCTGGTTCGGGGAGTTACACTACGAGATCCTGAAGGCCATGGCTGAACGGAACAGCCCTTATACTGTGGGTGGATACTCTTCATATAGAGACTATCTACATCTACATTCGCAAATGTAAAAAGTCCTTCATAAACAACTCATTCACCGCTGCAAAAGAGGGGCTCAGTAGGAAATATTTCTTTATCTGCAACAGGATTAACTCATGAGGTAATTCTGGGAAACTCCCACCCTACCTGAGCAGAATGCTCTCCTCGGCTGTTCCCACCTCCTGTAACCTCCGATCCAGTACCAGCACTTTACTTAGTCTACCTCAATACAAAAAGAAAGCAGCCCGATCCTCCTTTTCCTACGGAGTGCAGCAATTATGGAACAATCTCCCACACACTTTCAAATCTTCCCTAAGCCTAAAATCCTTTAAGAGATCCCTCTCTACATACCTCAAAACAGAATGCACGTGTCATGGTTGATTATATATTTCCTGACTGTTCTATGTTAAATTTTGTATATATTGTGTATTAATATTGTTTTTGTATTTTGTTGTACCTAATGTAACAATACAATGATTTGTGGACCCAGGACATACTTGAAAATGAGAGAAATCTCAATCCTGGTAAAATATTTTATGAATGATAAATAATAATTATTGTAAACGAATAAAGTTTTTTTTCTTTGCTTTTCTGGGGCATAGAAAATCATGCTTCTTTTAATTTATTTATACTTTTTCATTATTATAGAAACATAGAATGCAACGTCAGATAAGAACCATTCGGCCCATCTGGTCTGCCCAGTTTTCTAAATACTTTCATTAGTCCCTAGTCTTATCTTATAGTTAGGATAGCCTTATGCCTATCCCACGCATGCTTAAACTCCTTTACTGTGTTAACCTCTACCACTTCAGCTGGAAGGCTATTCCATGCATCCACTACCCTCTCAGTAAAGTAATACTTCCTGATATTATTTTTAAACCTTTGTCCCTCTAATTTAAGACTATGGCCTCTTGTTGTGGTAGTTTTTCTTCTTTTTCGTTATATGCCTTGGTATAAACCATATTATGATTTTAAATTTATTTATGGATTTATTAAATTTCCTATTGTTTGCACTTATTGATTGTTATGTTATTTTCCTCTTTTGCTGTCCAATAAATATTTTTTATCATATCATTTAACCGCTCTGGTCATATTTTCTAACTTTATCTTGGCTACTCACATGCACATTTTTGCTTTGGGAAAAAACATGTTGTCGCACTAAACACTTAATTCAAATTATAAATGCGTGTTGGCAGACCGTGTGCCCTCATACAATCAACAGGTTTAGTTACACGTATGAACATATAATGGTACATGCTATGAGTACACGCTATAAGACTACATTTATATTGACTGCGCAAGTTTAGTTTTTGGCTTGGTTTTTAGAACACAAAGCGCTACCTCCTAAAACCAAACTTGTCCTAACTTGCCTAAGGCTGTCTAATGTACAATCAAATTACTATCCAAATTCTTTATCATTTGAATAAATAAATGTGTATTGGTACACTCTTTGCCCCCTCGTATGGTGACCAGATGCAGTTACACATATAGCGCATGGCACACTCTGAGATCACATGTTGCTGGGTTACTGCACACAAATATTGGGAGTGAACTTATAGAATATATCAGCGAACATGTGCAGAGGGCATGGCTTATGGAAAAAGGGAAAGACACCGGTCAAAATCTTGTTTTGATGTAGCTTCTAAGTACTCACATGAAACCAGTCGAAATTCAGAAACCATTATCGATTGAATACGGAGGTTGGATTGTGAACCCCCTTGCCCCCCCCAATCTGGTGTACTATGTGCGATATTGGTTAATTTTCGTTAAGTATCTCTCTATAAGCCTAATGACATATTGTATTTTTTTTAAAGTTCAGTGTAAGAAACAAGGTATTCTAACATGAAGTTACTGAATTAATTCACATTCTGCTCTTCCCATTAATCTAATCTTGTCCAATCTGTATTAAGCATGAAATGTGTCAGATCGTTTTCCACCTACCCCATCCCCCCCATTCACCCCATGGAGGCTTTTTGTTTAGCCCCATTCTAGGGGTCTAGCAGTCTATTTGAACATATTACATACAGATGATGGGGCCTCGTGCCAACCCCCTGTGGGTTTGAAAAACTCTAACTTTAATGGCAGATAAATAAAAAAATGGACCCACTGTCCTACCCCAAGGGGTTACACTCACCTTCACACAGGCGCTCTCCAGCTTAGTGCAAAGTCCATCAGGCTGTAGTTGATAGTGTTCCACCAGCTTCAATATGGAGTTGAATGAGGCCCTTTGCACCAGATAGAAGGTGGTCGTGGATTGTTGTATTTTGTAATGTCTCACCAATTTGTTCAGACGCACTGAAGACAGAAATTATATTTTTCTTAGTGTGCAATCTCTTTTAGCGGCATACAGAATCGATTTCCTAGATTACCATTTACCTAAAAAGTCCTGGGTAGCTTTTAAAGCAAATCTACCTGGTGCTTTGATGAGTTATGTGAATGGCAGGATGTGGTTGACATTAAACACATGGTTCTTGGACTTGAGGACATTCGCAGGTATAAATATACACAAACAACAATGAACCTAGAACACATTGTGAATGTTATAGACCTGTGAGTCTGACATCTATGCTTCGGAAATAATTTTACTTAAAATCTGTTAAAAATTGCTGAGGAGGATAATTTCCTTACTAGAGAGTACTAAAATGGACACCAAAACAACTTTAGTTTAATGAAGCAAGCAACCAGTTAAAATATGAATACATTGAATACTATGAAGTTAAATTTAGCTAGATTAATAATTTAAAGGGACTCTATAGTCACCAATAAAACTTTGGAGCAGTTTTAGTGTATAGATCATATCCCTGTAGTCTCATTGATCAATTCTCTGCCATTTAGGAGTTAAATCACTTTTGTTTCTGTTTATGCAGCCCTAGCCACACCTCCTCTGACTGTGACTGACAGCATGCATGAAAATTAAAACGGTTTCATTTTCCATCAGATCTTACAGCACAGTGTGTTTACTTTAGGAGCTCGTATCTCCTGCTCTTTAATTGAAGGTGATTGATAGAGCAGGAGATAAGAAAATATACATTTTTAAAAAAACACCACTTTAGCCATGTGCTCAATTATAGAAAATACACCACTCTAATAAAAATAACATACTTCTATACTTGAGCGCAGGACTCTTGTTTTAAGGAATCGTTTTCAGGAAGTGTTAAGGAAGACTGTGTCAGGCCCCTTCCCTCATGACCTGTCGGTTTTACAGCCTAGAATTTATTAGTTAGTTGGTTGTCACATACCAGAAAGGTAATAGCTTCCAATTTCTTCGTTTTTCCACACCATGAATGATCCAGTCTGATTCTGCTCCTGCAGAAGATATCGTTTTGCATCCAGTCTCATTAAAGACCCAAAATACCAGCTGAAAAGACACAACCAGGCTCATGTTAATCAAATTCCTACTCCGACAAATGGATTTATTTGTATAAAAAGTGTTTAGTTATAATTAACTAAAGTAATTGGAGAATATATTTTGCGATATCTCTCATTTTAAATATTTCCTATACAAATATTAGCACTTATCAAGTTATTAAAAGAGAACCTTAGGATTATTTTACTGCAAATTTTTGTGTAAACGCTAGCCTTTGGTTATGAAGAGTTCACTAAGAACAAGCTGCTGGAATTAGTTTTGAGGCAATGTGTTGAATATAACCCTTCTCAATATACCAACTATTACCTTGATGATGGTTCTCTCAGTTCTGTCTTCCTTAAGCTTCCTGATTTTCAACTGCTCAGGATAACGGACATCCACACTACACCATTTACATCTAAGAATCTAGAATCTCTTTAAAGAATAACTGTTCCCAGTCTAGATCTTTCACTAAAGACAGGGCAACCCACATAGAACCTGTCTTCCCATCTCGATACACCATCTAATCCTCCAATTCTACCTCCTTTTATAGTAATTTGAGAAGAGTGTGAGGAAAGCATTAAGATACATTTTATAAAACACCTTAATTAGACTCTTCCATTTGTCAAAGTAGTCTCCATCACAAATACAAATACATTCCCCGCTACATAATGAATATGACTCAATAAAATCACACAGGACCTATTTTTGAGCCTCATTCCAAGAGCTAAGAAGCAGGAAGCACTGTTCAATATGCTCAGAGTAGATAAACATAAAACGAGAGAGGTATGTTTATAAAATAAACTGAATTAAAGCCAAGAATTAAAGAAATGATAATAGGTATAACCATGTAGAAAAAGAAAGCATGTTTAAAGAGACTCTCGTACTTTGGAGGAGATACATTGATGATATACTCATGATCTGGGAGGGGAATCAAGAAGATTTGTCACAATTCTTTGATTTTATCAATAAAAATTACAATGTAATATTTACTGCATAAAAATACCATAATTTCATAGATTCTGTAGATATTACATTTTTCTATAGAAAATTATAGAGGAGTAGAGAGCAATACACTTTTAAAACAAACAGTCCAAAAATTACGAATGCACAAAACGTAACAATGTCTCACAAGCATATTATGGGCATTCAAACAAGACAGGTAAATTGTTAGTGCAGAAACTGAGAGACAAACTGGCAGCAAATGCGATGCTTTTTACATACTCTGGCCCAAGCCACAATATTCTCAATCCAGCCAGGATGGGAGATAAAAATCTCAAAGATTAGCACACAAAATACATTGCCAAAACCAGGTAAAAAAAAACACAAAAAAAACACAGTATGCCAGAATGTGGACATAAAAATATACGCAAATATTCTGGCAAACAGATTGGCACCACTTCTCCCTGGCCTCCTACACACTGACCAGGTGGGTTTTGCAGCAGGTAGACAGACAATAAAAACACCTGAAAAAATGTATCAATATCATTGAGCATGCACAGGCATCCAAAGCTCCAGTTCTTTTACTCTCACTAGACAGTGAAAAAGAGTTTGATAGGGTTCCCTGGAACCAACTTTTTCAGCCCTCTACAACATTTTGGCCTTCCAACCCCTTTCCTATCTGCCATCAAATAATTATACACCAACTTCTTCACCTCTATTCTGCATTCAGGCTTTATACCTAGGAACTTTCAAATAATCAACAGCTCCTGACAAGGATGTCCACGACCCCCTCTACTATACAATCCAGCTCTGAAAACCTTGGCAATTGCCATAAGAGAAAATCCAAACATCCTCCGATACTCCTTCCTTTCCTCCATACTTCCCCAAACATAGATTAGTGAACTAGGGACTAGGGCTTATTTTCAGGGTAGGGTTTATGTCATGAGCATCCCCCGAAAATAAGCTAGGGCTTATTTTTGGGGATATCTTATTTTCGGGGGAAACACTGTATATGAGTTTTTATTTATCAATTTAAATATCAAATAAGATATTTAATTATATTCAGAATGTAAGCTCTCATATACATAGGTGTCATGCGGTATCTCTTCCGGGTTCGGCATTCCCGCTATGCGGATCTGGCCCCGCCCCCTTCTGACGCGGCTCGCTGACACTACTTAGAGAGACCGCGCCAGAGAGAAAGTGCTTGGTGATTGTGGGACCTACTTCCGGGTATAGACGCCGGTTCCATAAGCTTCTCTCACAAGCCTCCCTAAACCTTTGAAGATAAAAGAATTATGCTTCATCCGCTAGAGGATTACTTTACCATTTAACAAGTGGACTCTAATACGGATCTCTTGGAGGACAACTCACATTAATCTTAAGTATAACTTCCAATTTATTATCTGGAATCTCATTTGTTAATGAACTGTTTCTTGTTTACTCAAATCCTCTCTCCTGCATACACACTAATTACATTGAGGATAACTCCCATCAAGCTTAACCACTATGAACTGTTTCTTGCTTTGCAAATATTCTCTGCTTCCTGCATACTATTTCTATTGAAGATTATTCCTATCAACCTAACGAATATTATTCAATACATCTCTGAGGAAATACTAATTGATGAACTTTGTATGGTTTGCTATAACCAGCAATTTCTTCTTATTGAATTATTACCTATATGCTTTTCACTTAAGTTTATCACAATCATTAAAACTTTGTTTGATTCTCTAATTGCCAGCAATCCTCTCTTTTCTTAAAGCTACAGTATTGATAATTTAAAGATTCTCCGTTTCTTCACTATTGTAATTAAGGAGATCTACAAGCTGCAGTTGAGTTCCAATTCTAAAAACCCTGGTAGCATAACAATAGGTTTCTTCACACATTTTACAATGTTTATATATATTATGTATATCAGAATTTCATAAAACAAAGTCATATCCCCAGTTCTTCCCAGTAATTCCAGACATTGCACAGAAGCATTCTATGTCTCTTGAGGAAGTTGTGTAAATGTAACACATTGAACGAGCTATTATTGGGTTTAATTTCCATTAACTTGGATATTGGCTGGAAGATTGCAGGTAAGATTCTTAGTTCAACAAAGAAGATTATTGTGGGCCAACCATCAGGACTGACTATTCAGGAGGTCGAGGGCCTTTGGCCTGGGTTATATTTGCACAAGTTTCCTTTTGCTATTTTTTTTATTTTTTTTTATTACTAGGCTGACTACACTATTTACTTTCATTTCTTATCTCTTCTTTTTATGAATCCAACATTTACAAGGTAACTAACATTATATGTGTGAATATTATATGCACTTTAAGTGTTGTTCTATAAACATAGACATCATCATTTATATTATTTGAGTGTTTTATACACAGACATATAACTTTCCACTTAATGTGGCACCTACAAAACATTTTTTGGTATTGCTTATAAATAAAATTTGAATTAAAACCAACAATTTAAGTAATAATGATAATTATAAACATGTGGAAGAACAATACGTTTGTAGGAATATATTACAAACCACTAAATATTAATACTGTTGAAGGCAATAAAATGCAAAATGAAAAAAATGCAAATCTGGATCAGGTTTTAATCTGTGTAAATTGACTGGGATATAGTATAGAAAATACAGGTTAGAACCCTCCACCCCCTTCGTTTCAGGGCAATTGGGAAACGGCAATAGGTTAGAGGACCTAACTACACTTTTATTCCCTTTGTTTGGATGTCCGTAACCCCTCGTCCGTTTACCAAACCAACTTTGTGTGGTCCCCTTGTTTGCAAATCGTGTTTAGGCTTAATTAGAAGATTGTGTTTGTCCCATTCTAAATATGATAAAGATGAGGCTTGATTATTAATCTGTGGGTATGTATTGATGTCTCTTTTGGATATGATATTGGATCACAGAACTTGTTCTTGAAAGCTAATGACCATTCATATCAAAGGACTCCTTATCTAAGAGGGAATCAAGATATATGGCAACTGAGAGAGTTAGTTTATACTGAAATCAGACTTCCAGGCCACTTATGTGTGACTTCTCACACCATACAGAATAGCTAAATTGGGGTCCCAGCTTCAAAGAGGAAGTTAGATTGTAAGCTCTGGCCTCCCATACAATAAAATTAACCCCTTTTGAAATTGACAATACCACCTCTACCAGGCAGCCAGTTCATATATGCACTACACAAATTACATTAAAGTGGCAATATTCTATAGTGCAACAATGAATTGTGTACCCTTGCCGTGACACCTTCCCCAGATGAGAGACGCAGTGGGGGAGGGCTCTCATGCCTCTACCTTGCATATCGGCACTTGTTCTTTTTTTGCCTTCCCACCCACTGCGCTCATGTACTAGCTCTAAAGGAAAGAAACCAATAAAAGGGATCTCAGTGATATTTTCGCAAAGTGTGCGCTCAGTTCCAAGCTATTCAGTTATATTACTTTCGTGGGGTCCCGAAGTTATTACAATTTATTTTTGGGGTGTTTTAGAATATTGTTTATTTTTCTGTAGAGGATCTTGGGAGGAAAAGCCCTGTATTGGAGACCCCACGTAGGCGTCTGTGCATAAAAGACGTGTGTGACCAAAATAAAAGCAGTTGATTCCGAGAACTATGTTTTGTCTGATTACTGGGGGAATGGATGTCTGTATGCTTTAATGGTTCCAGAGTGGCTGACGGAAGGAATTAACAGAGGTAACCAGTCTACGGCTACAACCCTCCTCCTTTCTGACCTGCTCCACTCCTTTTGCACCACACCAAATCTCTGTCTATTCAGATACTAAACACTGCAAAACAAGTTATACCCCTAGACTGGAAAAAAGAATGTCCCCTCACCCCTTACCTTGTGGTTTGACTAAATGGAAGACTTACGACGTCTAGAGGAATTTACATTCTCGGCCCAGGGCCGCATACAGGCATTTTCAGAGACATGGACTCATTGGTTGACTGTAGTTTTTAAAGCTGACTTTGAGGGGTTACTGACGTATGATTGCCTGACAGGAGATGCGGGAGAGGACAGAGGTGATGCTTAGAGGGTTGGACTCCCATTTGAGAGGGTTTCGGGCCACTGGTCAGCAGTGTGTTCCCAGTATTTCAAGGCATAGCTCTTTAATGTTTTTTTTTAACTTGTGTTTTTACATTGCATACTATTGGATCCCTGGGATGCGGTTCGTTTGATCCCTAAACCTTTTGCTTTTCACTAGTTGCACCTGTGTTAGAGGGAGCTAAGACTGTCCCCTGTCCCTCGGCTTAGTAAGTTACGATGATGTTTGGGTTAATGATGTATATCCACGTCAGGACCCAAGGATGCCCACCATTCACATACGGTTTATCTGTTTTAACGGATATGTTAATTCATGTTTTTTTTACAGGGCTTTGATATATTTTATCTTATAATCCACATTTCAGTTTATGCACCTTATTTTTGATCTACGTTGCTAACAAAATCGTTTTTCCATTTTTTTGTGGTTTGTTTTTTAACTGTTTCTTTTACTTATCATATCTGAGGACCCGCGTGTCCCTTTCTCATACCTACTACTTTGTTCCAAAATGAAAATCTTATCCATAAAAAAAAAAAAAAAAGAAAATACAGATCAAAACCGGCTAACTAGAAGGAAGCACCAACTAGATTAAAGGCTTGTCTGGATCTGGTAAAAACTGATAATGTAGAGATTTTGTTACATATCCAAGTAGTGAGTATTAATCCTTTGAAATAAAAAAAATAGCAAAAAAAAAAAATAAAACATGATAGAAGCTTTCTAGGAAGGCTAATGCAGTTAATCTAGAACATGTTTACAGAACAATAACTAACACAAAATGTTCTCAGGAAAAGACAGAGTGTCGGTGGAATATCTACAGATGGTATTAACATCTACCATGGGGGACAATCTAATATGTACACTTATTAACATCTACCATGGGGACAATCTAATATGTACACTTATTAACATCTACCATGGGGGGACAATCTAATATGTACACTTATTAACATCTACCATGGGGACAATCTAATATGTACACTTATTAACATCTACCATGGGGACAATCTAATATGTACACTTATTAACATCTACCATGGGGGGGACAATCTAATATGTACACTTATTAACATCTACCATGGGGGGGACAATCTAATATGTACACTTATTAACATCTACCATGGGGGGGACAATCTAATATGTACACTTATTAACATCTACCATGGGGGGGACAATCTAATATGTACACTTATTAACATCTACCATGGGGGGGACAATCTAATATGTACACTTATTAACACCTACCATGGGGGGGACAATCTAATATGTACACTTATTAACACCTACCATGGGGGGACAATCTAATATGTACACTAAAATGTTTTAGGTTTGTTGAGTGAAATACTATGTTTCTGGAGTGAAGTGTTTTCTGTTTGTGGAATGTCCCTTTAAAGCTTTAGGCTAATTCTTTATCCTAATAATAGAATTATTTATATTACTGCACACCTCACCCGATGTACTGACCGTGCCGTACAAACACACAGCGCAGACAATGAAAGGATCAGGGAAAGCAAAGCTGGTGGGGATTGTGAATAATCAGACATTTGTATAAATAGATTAACTGTGGCTGGTGTAGCATTGGCTTTCATACAGTGTTTGTTTGCAGAGGGTGTTTTCTCACTGTGTCCTTGATTTTCATCCAAGAATTATTCTTTTAGTTTCACTTTAATGAGACTCAGTAATGAATCTAAACAAATGAGAATTTAAGAGGAACTCAAAGCACCATAACCACTGATATATAATTACAGCTCAGTGTATTACTACAGCTTATTGTATTATTACAGCTCAGTGTATTATTACAGCTCAGTGTAGTATTACAGCTCAGTGTAGTATTACAGCTCAGTGTAGTATTACAGCTTATTGTAGTATTACAGCTTATTGTAGTATTACAGCTCAGTGTAGTATTACAGCTTATTGTATTATTACAGCTCAGTGTATTATTACAGCTCAGTGTATTATTACAGCTTATTGTATTATAACAGCTCATTGTATTATAACAGCTCATTGTATTATAACAGCTCATTGTATTATTACAGCTGTGATCCTTGTTCGCAGGTAGCACGGCCCTCTAGGGTAAAAACATGCACAGTCCTTGTAATTGCATATACTCAGGCACTTTATTGTTAAATCCACACAGGATACAGCAGTAAATTAAAACATAAATGTGACACAAAACCCTATAAACAAAAACCTAGCTCAGTCTGAGCACTAACTGACATGAACGTCCCTCTCTATCAGGGTTAAACTAACAAAACATATGGCACCAACCTTATTAGTTAGCAACACTCTGCTGGCTAGCCTGTTGCGTTCCTTTCCTGCACTCCCAGTGCTCCAAGCCAGCCTTGCCCTGACTGCTTTCCTTTCCGCACTCCCAGTGCTCCAAGCCAGCCTTGCCCTGACTGCTTCCTTTCTGCACTCCCAGTGCTCCAAGCCAGCCTTGCCCTGACTGCTTTCCTTTCTGCACTCCCAGTGCCTAGTCTCATTGACTCTATCTGGAGAGAACAGCCTCTCTCTCCTACCTGCTTCCTGGGAGGAAGCCAGCAATCCCTTTCCTTTACCTGCCTAGCAGGGAGGAGTTTATTCCCACTGCAATAGCTCATTAACTGCAGCTGAGCAGTGGGTTGGAGACGATCCAAAAAACCCTGGCCTGGATCCATGCCTCCCCAGAAAACCACTAAACTGTGGAGTGGAGCATTGGCCCACCCTTCTCTCCAAATGCTCCACCCCAGGGGCCCATAACTAAACAATGCTTTGTGTTGCCTACAACACATCCTACACATACTCCCCCTGGGGTTAAAAGGCCTATCTGCCTTCACTTTATCACACAGCTTATTGTATTATTACAGTTCGGTGTGTTATTATTTAGCATGGGTGTTTTTTGGCGGTTGTAGATGCGCAACAGATCTTGGGGCTCAAAGTTAGAAAAAGTGTGTATTTTAAAAAAAATGTCATCATATTTTAGAATTCTTTTTATAGTAAATTATATGATGAGATGAAAATAATGGAAAAACAGTATATAATATGTGTGGATACAGTAAATGAGTAAGAGGAAAATTACAGCTAAACACAAACACTGCAGAAATGTAAAAACAACTCTGGTCCTTAATGATAAGAAAATTGAAAACTGGTCTGATCACTAAGGGGATAAGACTCCTATTTTCACTAGATACAGATATAATATGTATATTTATATATAGTCAGACCAGTGTGTAATCGGGCTATGGCTATGTGTAATCAGGCTATGCTTGCGACCAGTGTTTAGTCAGGCTATGCTTGCGTCCAATGTGTAATCAGGCAATGTTTACGATCAGTGCGTAATCAGGCTATCCTTACGACTAGTGTTTAGTCGGGCTATGCTTGCGTCCAATGTGTAATCGGGCTATGTTTGCAATCAGTGCGTAATCAGGCTATGCTTGCGACTAGTGTTTAGTCGGGCTATGCTTGCGTCCAATGTGTAATCAGGCAATGTTTACGATCAGTGCGTAATCAGGCTATCCTTACGACTAGTGTTTAGTCAGGCTATGCTTGCGATCAGTGTTTAGTCGGGCTATGCTTGCGTCCAATGTGTAATCGGGCTATGTTTGCGACCCGCGTTTATCAGGCTATGCTATGTATAAATAAAATGCCATTTAATGAATGCACATATAAATGATTGATGGTAAAGATATGATTTAATAGTTTTTAGCACATGATGCATAATATAACATATCATCTTTACCTTGACACCAGAAAGAGGGGATTTGAAGGAGAACTATGTTTCATAATAAAGGAATAGATACAATGTCCACTGTAAGAAAGCCAACTCCTGACCACTTCCATTAATGATAGATAGATATTTACACGTATACAGCATACAAGATCCAGCACACTCGCTCATTCACTAAACAGCAATTCCAAGTCTCACAAAATGTAATAATTTTATATAAAAACACTTCATCTAGCCAAAAACTATTACAAACTGTGTGAGTTGAAATGACTGTTTAGTGAATGAGCGAGTGCGCTGGATCTTGTATGTTACTTAGCGGATCGGTTCGGGTTGGTACAGTGTGGAACGTTTAGAATGGTCCAGCCTATTCAGGTGAGTGTTTCAACTGCAAGTCAGACCTTCAGGGTCCATGCGGGGTTTAGAAAAAATGCCTAGCGTGTCATCCAATCAATGGATTGTATAGTAGCTCCACCCTATCCGTACCGTACCATTTCCTATGGCCCTACATCTGAAGCCGGACCCTGAATGGTACGGTACGGTTCGGTTGTATGGGCCACTTTCATAATGGAAACACTCAAAATAGCGTCCCGTACCGAACCGATCCGCTCAGTGGAAACGAGGCATTGGTGAAATCTTGCCTGTTAGCAATTTTCGAGGTAAGCATGTAAATATTGCGATGGTATATTTGATAATACGTTTGGCTTTGGTGAACTGAATATATATTAAGTAGAATAGCTCTGTAAATCTGCAGAAACGTAGTAATACAATTGCTCTGTTTGTAAGCTAATTATGGCATAGTTTTGTTGATTATCCTTGGTTTACATTCTGATTGTTTTATCATTTTCACTTTTTCTTAATAGTCCAACATTTATACTATATTTCTTTAAACAAACAGCAGGTTTTTGTCATCAGATATGGAGAGATGTGTTTAGTGCTTTGCTCATGCACCTTGTGAAACTTATTTTATCTGATAATTTGATTATTTGAATGTGGTTTATCAAGTAATTTTTGTTGTTGCATTTGGTAAGGGAAAACGGTTGGCTTTGATGGTTTATAACTCTCTCAGAGTGACTGTCACTGTTTAGACAGACAGAGAGTAGTAGAAGCATTCTCTACATTGCAGTACATCGCGAGGTGGGTGAAGTCAGTAGCAGACGGGGAAGTTTAGGATGGTGGGGCGTGGCCCTTGACCAGTTGTGCATTACCCAACTAACCTCATGAGATGCCAGGCTCTATTCAAAGTCATCAATGGAAACTGTAGCTAGAATTATGACAGACACCACCTTATCAGTAGTACTTACAATGCCAACAAACCTGTGTTTTCTTTGCTACAAAAACTGGGGGACGCCACCCAACCTGTCTTATGGACCAGCCTCCGCTGGGTGTAGACCCCCTCAGCACGGGTTAAACAGGGCACATTGCTAGCTATTCCGCTTTGCTCTCCCAAGTGAAATGAAGATACTGCTGGGATCTCTTAAACTGACAAAATATGTATCTGATTAATTCACAAAAGAGAAGAAAAAAAGCTGTGAGTGTATGATTACTATCTAAAGGACAGATTAGAGGGGGTAACCCTTCACAAAAGTTAAAAGAGAACATAATCTGTCCTAATTAACTTGGATCCTAAATAAATGAAACACTTAAGATCTAGCATTTAATAGATATAATTAAAAAAGGTAAAGTAACCTTAAATCTCAGGGATACAGGGGATAGGGACAACATATTCCGGGTAATAATGATATATACAAACAAGAGATAACATATAGTAGTGAATGACTTTCACAGAGCTGGTCAAACACAAAGATACTTCGTCATGGAGTAATGACTCCAAAAAAGTAACTATCTGAAAGTATCTAATGTGATAGTCGCTGTTATAGGAAAGGTAAAGATCTCTTTAGTAACAAAGATTTAGATCATAGAGGGAGAAGGGGGAGATCACATAAATGTCTAGTTCAGTGAAACTAAACTTGTAGTGAATTCCTATCGCAAACCTCTAATAGCAAATGAAATAAAGAAAAGGAGTGCATATAGTTCTAGTATGAGATCTGTAGTATATACTGATAGTGTTATGAGGGTTAGCGAGAGAAAATCACTTGTTCTGATCAGTAAGTGTCATACAATGAAGCCCCAATCTGTCTAACAGTTAATTTAGCAGAAATCTATGCCAATTACTAACCGTTTAGCTATAACCCTACAGCTGTGCCTTCAAGGGCACCTCATTCTAAACTGAGCTAAGCGGTAACAAAAATACCGATAACTAAGATGCACTGTGTGAACTTAAGGACTGCCTGACCCCACAAAAAGAAATATCGTCAGCAAATCTGAGGTATGTATCTGGACCAGGTAGGAGTCGAAGAGGAATAGTTTAAAGCTAAGGGTGAGTAGTTCAGCTGAGCCCCGACACACGTTTCGCCAGTAAGGAGGACTCTAAGCTTTAACACTATCAGTATATACTACAGATCTCATACTATAACTATATGCACTCCTTTTCTTTATTTAATTTGCTATTAGAGGTTTGATCTAAATCTTTGTTACTAAAGAGATCTTCACCTTTCCAATAACTGCTACTATCACATTAGATACTTTCAGATAGTTACTTTTTTGGAGTCATTACTTCATGACTAGAGTTGAACGAACCTGGACTGTAAAGTTCGGGTTCGTACCAAACATTAAGTTTTCTGGACCCCGGACCCGAACACGGACATATCACTAAATGTTTGGGTTGGAGTTCGGTGTTCGGCAATTTAATAGCGCATTTTCAAAGGCTGCAGGGCAGCCAATCAACAAGCATTTGACTCGTGTGCCCTTAGAAGCCATCAGAGCCATGCCTACTAATGGCATGGCTGTGATAGGCCAGTGCAGCATGTGACCCAGCCTCTATATATAAGCTGGAGTTGTGTAGCGCCGCACACACATCGGGTCTTATTAGTGTAGGGAGATGATGCTGCAGCTGTTAGGGACAGATTAGGAAAGAATTCTGCAAACTAGTACATTAGTAGGGTGCACTTCAAATCTGAGAGTCAAATAGATGCGCCAAATGCTGTGCTTACAGCGCAGTTGTAAACATTCTTATTTTCTGGGTGCTAATCTGCTAAATAGTCCATTTTGGGCATGCTCTTCATATCCGAGAGTCAAATCGAAGCTTCAAATAGTGCGCTTACAGCGCAGTTGTAAAAATTCTAATTGTTTTGCTGCTAATCTACTAAATAGTACATTTTGTGACCTGCTCTTCATATCTAAGAGTCAAATAGAAGTGTTTAATACTGTGCTTACTGCGCAATTGTAAACGTTCTTATTTTCTGGGTGCTAATCTGCTAAATAGTACATTAGTGGGGTGCACTTCATATCTGAGAGTCAAATAGAAGCGTCAAATACTGTGGTTACAGCGCAGTTTTTAAAATTCTAATTTTTTGGGTGCTAAATAGTACATTTGGGGTGTGCACTTCATATCTGGTGTATGTGTGCAACACTGGCTAGTTACCGTTTCTCAAGAAAGTCTAAAGACAAATAAATGTTGCCTATCGTGCAGGTAGTATAGAAGGCAAGACTGAGACAAATCATTCGGGCTACGTTTGCCTGTTGACATTTTAATTATCTTAGACCATTAAAATTCAATAATCAATGAAAAAACACACTAAGTGTCATACAAAAATATGTATTATAGACAAGTTAAAGACAAAACTACAAGTCATGCTATAACAAAATTAAACAAGTTTTAAAATATGTGTGGGCCAACCAGTGGCTGTAAAAACAAAGTTTGACTGGTTACATTCATGACTACACACTCTAGTGAGCAGGACCTTCACGTAGTGTGTTCTTTTTTTAAATCATACAGCATCCTTTCATGTGCTTTTCAGATGGCATATTGTGAATTACCAATTTTTTAGTCTGATTTTTTTTTTAAAGTGAAAAATAAGTGTTATTGTGATCGCTTCATATACAGAAGCATTAATATACATTTATATATTGTGTAAAGACACAACTACAAAGTTAAAAACCAAACACCAAAACAACGTGCCAGACAATCTACCTGTGCATGGCTAGTGTGATACAATAAGTCTATATCTTAAAGATGCAATAACCCACAGAAGGTGGGCGAGAATATTTTTTGCAAATGGAACTTTTATTCGAACTTACTACATCGGTCACTTGTAATATTGTTTCACACCTACAACACTTGTTACACAGATCTAAGTGATAGAAAACAGATTGATATTTTCTACACTAGAAACTACCAGATAACAAGCTGCTAGATTTAAACCAGTTATCAATAGCTAAGAGGTACTTAAACAATATTGTAATTCTGGGGCAATACCCTCACAAGTCAAACTGAGAGATCAGTTTATAGGGAAAACTGTTGCCTGGATACAATTCTAAAACAATTCCCATATGTCCTTCGCAGACTTTACATGCTGGAAAAACACAGGTGCCAACTGTTGTGGCTTTCTGCAGAGTGCAGACAGGCAAGGAGGGCAGGGTTGAGGAGTGGGTCGAAGATGATGTGGAGGATGATGAGGTCCTAGACCCTACATGGAATCAAGGTCATGCGAGTGATGTGTGCAGTTTGGAGGAAGAGGCGCTCATAAGAGGGAGCCGGGTGCAAAAGCGGAGCGGCTGTCCCCTAGCGCTCGTCGGCATGTATTATCTTTAGAATTCCCACAGTTATCCAAGTAACAGTTGAAGCGATAAAAAGAACCATAACAGATTTAACGAGCCATTCGCAGTTTCGCAGTCCGGTGACCAGGACCCAGACACTGTCTGGGCGTCGGTCGGACGACCAGGACCCAGTATGCCTGATGTAGAAGTTAGGAGTCACAGTTTGGAATGGATTAGCAGGGTCTGGTGCAGGGTAACCGCACGCCCCCTGGTGTTGAGCACCAGAGTTTGTGCGGCCACATACCAGGACCCTGATGCAACTTCAGTAAAAAGAGTACTGGATACCAGAAGCCATCCCCAGACTTATTCGCAACTTGGAATAGGATGTGACATTCACTGTAGCGGCTGTGCACGCTTTCGGCTTTCAAGTGGACTCATTACAATTACAGGGCCTCTAAAGAGTCCTGTATTGTTATTTGTCGTCACTACCTTCCAGCGTCGGGAGTGGGTCATTTACGCACCTACTGCCTTCCTTGCATGTGGTAGCCGTTTCTCAGGCTCCCTCTCCGGAATCGAACCCTGATTCCCCATTACCCGTGGTCACCATGGTAAGCGCAGTAAATGGCATCGAAAGTTGATAAAGATGACATACAAATGCGTTGTCGCCTTGACGTTGGGGAGCCCATTGAAAAAGTGCTCTAGTATGACAAGCTGGGTGATCTCCTCCAGGAACTTGGCTTGATGGGAGTTGAGCCAGTTCTGGGTGGCCCTTGTGATGCGGCATGCCCACTCCGCATGGGAGTCCTTCTCCCCTTTCCGGGTCTCCCTTAACTTTCGGGGGTATTGCTCGGGGGTGACCGCATACTGGGCCAGGAGAATTTGGGTAATAAAGGGATAGTCTCTGATCTGCTCTTCTGGTACAGCCCGGTAAATATCCGCTGCCTTCCCCACTAGTTTGCTGGCCATATTGGTGTCTATTGGCAAGGACATAGGCTTGCACCTCCAAAAAGGTCCTGATGACAATCTCCTCTGAAGGTGGCTCTCGGTAATATGCCAAGCGCCGTTACACCTCCTTGCGCACTTCCTCCTCATCTCCGGCCCCTAGCTGGGGTTTGTTGCCTCACTGCATGCCTGGTCGTCCTCCATGAGCGCAGCAGCCAATTCGGCCTTGTTACGCCCACCAGGCGTTAATTCTCTGGCTCCACACAAGTCCTGCAGTGTAGGTTGCTTTAGAGCACTGTAGTCCATGGGTCTGTAGGCAGGGCCATGGGATCCCGCCGCTTGCCACCAATTGAAGCGGGACCTGTGTAACCGATGGTTATCCCCTTTAATTAGAATAGGTCATTTCCCCAGTAACCAGATGGGACACAGTTCCAGGATACAACGTTTGACAATCTTTAATTGGGTACACAGCTTTGCCTCCTGTTGCCTCCTCCTCCTACTCAGCTTCTTCCTCCTCCTCCTCTATCACCTCCTCATCCGGTCAGCGTAACACCACCAACTTCAGCACAGCCAGGGGGAAACGACAGCAGGCCGTTTCAAAACTCATATGTTTGGGTGAAAAACCCCACACCATGCAGGAGCTGTGGACGGGCATGGAACAACAGACCGATGAGTGGTTGTTGCCCCTGAGCCTCAAGCCCGGCCTGGTGGTGTGCGATAATGGGCGAAATCTCGTAGCAGCTCTGGGACTCGACGGTTTGACGCACATCCCTTGCCTGGAGCATGTGCTGAATTTGGTTGTGCAGAAATTCCTGAAAAACTACCCAGATATATCAGAGCTGCTGCAGAAAGTGGGGCCATCTGTGCTCGCTTTTGGCGTTCTCGCCCTGCTGCTCGCCTGTCTGCACTGCAGTGCAACTTTGGCCTTCCCCCTCACTGCCTCATGAGACTGTGTGAGCAGCAGCAGGCGATAGTGGAGTTTCAGCTGCAGCACGCACGGGTCAGTCGCTCTGCGGAACAGAGTTTTCTTTTTTTATATTTCCCAATAAAATAAAAAATATATATAAAAAACAGTGTTGGCTACCTCCTCCTCCTCCACCGCTGCTTCCACCTACACCGCCACAGTCACCGCCTCCTCAGCCTATGGGTCACTTAGTATAAACTATGTACACAATACCAGAGGCTTGTGAAGGCCTTTTCTCCATGCATCAGGAGTTGAGCTCAGTTTGAACAATGAAAGAGAATACCCTGCACTCCAACCCTCTCTAAAATGGATAATTCTGGTGATCCTCCTGACAGCCATGCTTTAGATTTTGATTTATGTTCTTCCAAAGCTAAAATCAAAGATTCCATCCAGCGCTATTTTATGGCTCGGCTGTATTTTTAATTTTTGTTATTTTAAGTGATTTCCCTATCCACATTTGTTTGCAGGGCACTTGTCCTACTCTTACCCCCATTTTACTTCCTTTTGCAGCCCTCTAGCCCTTCCTAGGACTATTTTAGAAGCATTTTAGTGCCCAAAACTTCAATGGGGTTCGGGGTTAAGTTCGATCACGAAGCCGGACTTTTTTTCAAAGTTCGCCCGAACCCACCGGACCCGAACATCCAGGTGTCCGCTCAACTCTATTCATGACTAAGTATCTTTGAGTTTAACTGGCTCTGTGAAAGGCATTCACTACTTTATAGAGATTGAAGGTTACTTTACCTTTTTTTTTAATTACATCTATTAAACGTTAGATTTTAAGTGTTTAATTTATTTAGGATCCAAGTTAATTAGGACAGATTATGTTCTCTTTCTCTTTATATGTATTTGATTAATGGTGCAATCTGCTTGAAGGGAATTAAAACATACTGTTTCTTTTAATGAGTCTCCGACTTTCTTGCGTAGTCCATTTAGTATATGTGCTGCCAGAGGCAAGGTTTATATCTGAGACCCATTTTATAGAGAACCTCAATTCACATGTTATCACTGTTTATACAGCTCTAGTTGACATCACTGGGTCCAGAACAGGATTCACTACAGGTGGCCGTCTAGGGCCCAATTGTTAGAAGGGGGCCCTGTAACCTTGAATCTGTTTGGCCCCTTTCACCACCCATATGTAAAGAATATAAGTGGGGGCCAACTCAGTAATCTGCTCAGGGCCCCGTGAGATCTTATTCCTGCTGTGATGGGTCCTGACGCTATTGTGCACCGGATGTGCATTCACTAAGAGACATCCATTGTAAACATGTGGATGGACAGCGGCACAAACTGGCAACATGTGATCAGGAGCGTGTTCCGCAGCCACACACATACATGGATGCAAATAATACATTCTTAAAGTATGAAGGAATTCTCTTGGCATGTTAATTTATTCTGTTACTGCACACTACAAGCTGCTAGTATCATCATAAACTAAAATGGGGCAGGGGGGCCAGTTCTACCCTGTAGCGTCCCTTTAATTCCCCAAAACATTGCAGAGGTTGTCATGGCAATCTACATCTGCATGAAGCAACATTCTGTCACCATCAGCTGTGCAAATCTGCGATTACCACAGCAACGTGCTCTAATGTATAGGAAAATGTATCCGTAGTCTAAAGTACTAAAAGTGGGGCAGTCACCATGGAAACCAGTGGATCCAGCAGACACATTCCATTGCTAATTCCTCCCCTTTATTAGAGCAGACACTGCCCTACCAGCCATTGAATTGGATATTCCTATTGATAACTTCAGACACCCAGTACATTGTTTTATATGTGATCATTAAAATAATCACCAATATTGACGCTGAAACGTTTGATCTCCACAAATTCTGTTGGACCAATAGAAAGGTGGTCAATGTTTCACATTCTGGGGACTTTTCTTACATATGTTTTCACAGGCATGAAAGACATGGCGTATGACGGCGATATATAACGGCATTGCTGCATTTATTAGATGCATGAATGGACTACCAAACTTTGTCATTGCTCGTCACATGACCTGAAATTAGGTGTTGGTGGCCGGGCCGAGTTTACTATATAACACAGATTGCTTCGTTGTGATATATATTGATCCAGATATAACAGCGGCTGGAGTTTACCATCACTGGAGAGCACTGCCAGCCCACGTACTTTACCAGAATAGATTGTATACACTGCCAGGCACTGCCAGCCCACATACTTTACCAGAATAGATTGTATACACTGCCAGGCACTGCCAGCCCACATACTTTACCAGAATAGATTGTATACACTGCCAGGCACTGCCAGCCCACATACTTTACCAGAATAGATTGTATACACTGCCAGGCACTGCCAGCCCACATACTTTACCAGAATAGATTCTATACACTGCCAGGCACTGCCAGCCCACATACTTTACCAGAATAGATTGTATACACTGCCAGGCACTGCCAGCCCACATACTTTACCAGAATAGATTGTATACCCTGCCAGGCACTGCCAGCCCACATACTTTACCAGAATAGATTCTATACACTGCCAGGCACTGCCAGCCCACATACTTTACCAGAATAGATTCTATACACTGCCAAGCACTGCCAGCCCACATACTTTACCAGAATAGATTCTATACACTGCCACGCACTGCCAGCCCACATACTTTACCAGAATAGATTCTATACACTGCCAGGCACTGCCAGCCCACATACTTTACCAGAATAGATTCTATACACTGCCAAGCACTGCCAGCCCACATACTTTACCAGAATAGATTCTATACACTGCCAGGCACTGCCAGCCCACATACTTTACCAGAATAGATTCTATACACTGCCAGGCACTGCCAGCCCACATACTTTACCAGAATAGATTGTATACACTGCCAAGCACTGCCAGCCCATGTTCTTTACCAGAATAGATTCTATAAACTGCCAGGCACTGCCAGCCCACATACTTTACCAGAATAGATTCTATACACTGCCAGCCACTGCCAGCCCACATACTTTGCAATTTCAGAATAGATTCTATACACTGCCAGGCACTGCCAGCCCACATACTCTTTACCAGAATAGATTCTATACACCGCCAAGCACTGCCAGCCACATACTCTTTACCAGAATAGATTCTATACACCGCCAGGCACTGCCAGCCCACATACCTTTACCAGAATAGATTCTATACACTGCCAGGCACTGCCAGCCCACATACTTTACCAGAATAGATTCTATACACTGCCAGGCACTGCCAGCCCACATACTTTACCAGAATAGATTGTATACCCTGCCAGGCACTGCCAGCCCACATACTTTACCAGAATAGATTCTATACACTGCCAGGCACTGCCAGCCCACATACTTTACCAGAATAGATTCTATACACTGCCAGGCACTGCCAGCCCACATACTTTACCAGAATAGATTCTATACACTGCCAAGCACTGCCAGCCCACATACTTTACCAGAATAGATTCTATACACTGCCAGGCACTGCCAGCCCACATACTTTACCAGAATAGATTCTATACACTGCCAGGCACTGCCAGCCCACATACTTTACCAGAATAGATTCTATACACTGCCAGGCACTGCCAGCCCACATACTTTACCAGAATAGATTGTATACCCTGCCAGGCACTGCCAGCCCACATACTTTACCAGAATAGATTCTATACACTGCCAGGCACTGCCAGCCCACATACTTTACCAGAATAGATTCTATACACTGCCAGGCACTGCCAGCCCACATACTTTACCAGAATAGATTCTATACACTGCCAAGCACTGCCAGCCCACATACTTTACCAGAATAGATTGTATACACTGCCAGGCACTGCCAGCCCACCTACTTTACCACAATAGATTGTATACACTGCCAGGTACTGCCAGCCCACCTACTTTACCAGAATAGATTCTATACACTGCCAGGCACTGCCAGCCCACGTACTTTACCAGAATAGATTGTATACACTGCCAGGCACTGCCAGCCCACGTACTTTACCACAATAGATTGTATACACTGCCAGGCACTGCCAGCCCACGTACTTTACCACAATAGATTCTATACACTGCCAGGCACTGCCAGCCCACGTACTTTACCACAATAGATTGTATACACTGCCAGGCACTGCCAGCCCATGTACTTTACCAGAATAGATTCTATACACTGCCAGGCACTGCCAACCCACATACTTTACCAACAATAGATTCTATACACTGCCAGGCACTGCCAGCCCACATACTTTACAAGAATAGATTGTATGCACTGCCAGCCCACATACTTTACCAGAATAGATTGTATACACTGCCAGGCACTGCCAGCCCACATACTTTACCAGAATAGATTCTATACACTGCCAAGCACTGCCAGCCCACGTACTTTACCAGAATAGATTCTATACACTGCCAGGCACTGCCAGCCTAATGCATTTCTTTTACTAGAATAGATTGTATACACTGCCAGGCACTGCCAGCCCAATGCATTTTTACCACAATAGATTGTATACACCTCGCCAGGCACTGCCAGCCCACGCATTTCTACCACAATAGGATTCTATACACTGCCAGGCACTGCCAGCCTAATGCATTTCTTACTTCACAATAGATTGTATACATTGCCAGGCACTCAAGCAGCTCCATGTACTTACCAGAATAGATTCTATACACTGCCAGGTACTCAAGCAACCACATACTTTACCAACAATAGATTCTATACACTGCCAGGCACTGCCAGCCCATACATACTTTACCAGAATAGATTGTATATACTGCCAGGCACTGCCAGCCCACATACTTTACCAGAATAGATTGTATACACTGCCAGGCACTGCCAGCCCACATACTTTACCAGAATAGATTCTATACACTGCCAGCACTGCCAGCCCACGTACTTTACCAGAATAGATTGTATACACTGCCAGGCACTGCCAGCCCACGTACTTTACCAGAATAGATTCTATACACTGCCAGGCACTGCCAGCCCACATTCTTTACCAGAATAGATTCTATACACTGCCAGGCACTGCCAGCCCACATACTTTACCAGAATAGATTCTATACACTGCCAGCCCACATACTTTACCAGAATAGATTGTATACACTGCCAGGCACTGCCAGCCCACGTACTTTACCAGAATAGATTCTATACCCTGCCAGGCACTGCCAGCCCACGTACTTTACCAGAATAGATTGTATGCACTGCCAGCCCACATACTTTACCAGAATAGATTCTATACACTGCCAGCCCACCTACTTTACCAGAATAGATTGTATACACTGCCAGGCACTGCCAGCCCACGTACTTTACCAGAATAGATTGTATACACTGCCAAGCACTGCCAGCCCACGTACTTTACCAGAATAGATTCTATACCCTGCCAGGCACTGCCAGCCCACATACTTTACCAGAATAGATTGTATACACTGCCAAGCACTGCCAGCCCACATACTTTACCAGAATAGATTCTATACCCTGCCAGGCACTGCCAGCCCACATACTTTACCAGAATAGATTGTATACCCTGCCAGGCACTGCCAGCCCACATACTTTACCAGAATAGATTCTATACCCTGCCAGGCACTGCCAGCCCACATACTTTACCAGAATAGATTGTATACGCTGCCAGGCACTGCCAGCCCACATACTTTACCAGAATAGATTGTATACACTGCCAGGCACTGCCATCCCACATACTTTACCAGAATAGATTGTATACACTGCCAGGCACTGCCAGCCCACATACTTTACCAGAATAGATTGTATACACTGCCAAGCACTGCCAGCCCATGTTCTTTACCAGAATAGATTCTATAAACTGCCAGGCACTGCCAGCCCACATACTTTACCAGAATAGATTCTATGCACTGCCAGCCCACCTACTTTACCAGAATAGATTGTATACACTGCCAAGCACTGCCAGCCCACATACTTTACCAGAATAGATTGTATACACTGCCAAGCACTGCCAGCCCACATACTTTACCAGAATAGATTGTATACCCTGCCAGGCACTGCCAGCCCACATACTTTACCAGAATAGATTCTATACACTGCCAGGCACTGCCAGCCCACGTACTTTACCAGAATAGATTCTATACCCTGCCAAGCACTGCCAGCCCACATACTTTACCAGAATAGATTGCATAAATGTATATCCATAAATAATTATTTTACAGTAAGAGAATGTTATTATTTAACATTGGCCTCTCAAATGTTGGACTAAAACTTCCACAATGCTCTGTATCTGTTTGGGTAGCAGATAAACCTGTTAGTTTACGTGTTGCGACACTGCATTTCAATCTCAATGCTCCAGCGTTTTAAATCACCAATGAATGTGACATTTTGAGGGGTGCGGGACAGACACATTAGGAACTAATACAGCCTGTGCTAAGATTTGTTATTTACTGAATTTAATCCAAACCCTTTGTACTCACTCTTCAGCTTCCAGACTGCCCACGTCTGCCAGGTAGCTTTGGTGGATATATCCTTTTTCGACCTGTCCTCCATCGGTGGTCTTCTTGGCGTAGACCCATTCACCGCGCTGTTCTATCACCTCTACTTTCTCTCCTTTGTTCACCTCCAGGTCTTTGGATGAGCGAGCCTTGTAACTATATGTGGATACTTTGGCTGCTCTGCTGAACCTCATGGGATTCAGTCCTATTCCTACAGATGTTATCCCTGAGTTCAATTCGTTGCCCAGATTAAGGATATTTTCAGAATTTGACTGTTGTGGAGGTTGCGTGTTATGGCACACATAAGGTCTAACATGACCTGTTTCTCCATCATCAGTGACATCCTCCATGTTGCTGAATCCATTGTTATCGATTCCATTGGATTTTTTTTTTTTCTCTAGTGTGGATCCAGATGTGGGATTTTGCCTGTTCAGCACGGTGGTATTCGGTGATCGGAATGTTGAAAATGATCGTTCATGATTTTCTGGGACATAAGATACGAACACATTTTCTGGGATTGCTGGTGCGGGGGATATAAAGTCATTGGGTTCCTGATTAGTCTGGTAGCAGCATGAACATGGACAGCAGGAGCAGTAAGCCCTGCACAGCCGGAGCCCCATGGCCTCTGTCCTACGAGATCTGCAGCTCTGACTAGGAGGAAGTTCTGCAAAAAGCTACCTGGGGAAGGAGGGACGTGAAGTGACACTTGTAGCAGCCAGAATGACAAGCTGAGATTTACTTCCTCATACTTAGAAAGAGCTAAACAGTGTGTCCTGCAGGTTCGTCTATTATCTCACCCGGCTCAGGCAGCAACTGTATCGAAACGTCTCTAATATGAACTCACGCTCTCCTCTACCTGCTGTTCGTAATGTCGAGTCTTCCTCAAATTTTAGAAAAACAATAAAACCTTAAAAACAGAGCGCACAGTATTAGTAATTTATCTGCAGTAAATGTTCAATAATAAACATTTCTTATACTTTATCTCTTCTTTTTCCTCATTCCAGTGCCCGATAAATTCCATCTCACTTCCTGAACTGAAGCTTAATTTGGATCATCTTCGCAAGACTCTCAGCCATTTCTACACCATGGAAGCAAAAATACAGGTTTCACGAGACACACAGGACTCGACCTCCTACTGTGATGTGTTAGAATAACAAGCACGCTCAGTACAAACCTGTAACAGAACCTCTTACAATGGTAACCTGAGCCATCATTGGAATCTGCCCAACCAATAAAAAGGATTATTATTTTCATGTATTTATTATTTATTTTCTTTTTGTTTATTCTTATTATTAACTTTTAATTTTCATGTTAGTTTTTGTTACTTTCTGTCCATCTGCTTAGATTACTGGTCCTCTTCTTTTTTTAAATGTTCAAAATCAGCCTAAAACATGCCTTTATTTTAGCTAAGGACAGTCTATTCATCCTACAAATACAGAAACAGAAATCCATTAATTAGACTCCCACTACTCCTGGGCAGCAGCAATGACCATAGCCCAAATCAGCCCCTAATACATACAATAAAAAACAAAGAAAAAGTTACCTGCGCTCTCTCCTTAATCCCTATGTATATTTAAACAAATGGAGGTCATTTCGTTACTCCAATGGCCACTGGAGGGAATGCCCGCCTGCCAACGTCAAGGCAGACCCCCCTAGGCAGGTCCTACACTGACCTTTAACCTTGCTTCCTTCAGCTTCTGGCAAAAAAATCTATAATGAGACAGCAATGGGTATTTTTTTATATACACCCCTATACATTTATTAACCCTTAATAGGGAACACAGTGTATGGGGGCAGCATTGTAACTTAGCTGTGTGATACAAAGTAAATACAAATACAAAAAGATAAGTCCTGCGCTCACTCCCATCACTCCTGGGCGGCAGCAACAACCACACATCAGCCCCAATACATACAGTAAAAACCAAAGAAAAAGTTACCTGCACACTATCCCAAATCCCTGTCCATATTTATATAAATGGATGTTATTTAGTATCACTCCAATGACCATTGGATGTACGCTCACCTGCCACATCACGGCAACTCTCACCTCGCTTCTTTTAGCTTCAGGTAAAAAAATCTCTAATGAGACACTCAGTCAATGTTACAATGCTGCCCACCCCATGTGTTCCCTATTAAAGGTTAATACGTATTATATAAAAAATCCCCCTCTCTGTCTCATTAGAGATTTTCTACCGTTAGCTGAAGCAAGCAAGGTGAGTGTTAGTGTAGGACCAAGCTCAGAGGTTTGCCTTGACGTGGCAGGTGGACTTACATCTAATGGCGATTGGAGTGATACTAAAAACCTGCATTTATTTAAATATGCCAAGGGATTTGGGAAGAGCACAGGTAACATCCTAGCCTGGTCCTCCTACTCTGATGTAATTTTATGCTGCAGTCCAAGACTTTTCATTGAAGATCGTTGGGAACATAGAGCTAATCACATTAATCCACCAAATGCCAAAAGTAATTCATTATCATCATGCCGTATGTGATGACGGAACAGCATCTATGCCCCTTAACCGCTTAATTAAGATGTAGAGGATCTGGTACTTAGAATGTCCCATTACATAATACGTTATGTTATTTCACCAAATGTAGCAGAATATAGTTAGACCGCTGTCATAATTGAGAGTTTACCAAATTTTGTTTACAATGAAAGTGCACTAAGCATCCGACCTGCCATCACTTCACAAACCGGACGAACGGGTTTTACATTCCACTCTGGTAAATGCCGATGAAAGATACTGTAATTCACAACGCACTCTATAAGAATGTAAATAAATACTATTCTTGGAACAGATCAGAAAAAAATTGTATTGTTGCCTAGAGAGCAAAACTAAAGCCCAATATCCGTGTACAAGGGAAAAACCCAGAACAGTCACGGAATGAAAAGAGATGTGTACGCAGAGAGGGTCCTGTTACCCGACAGAATTAAAGGGAATGTGATCAAACATAAGAAGTGTGTTCTAAGATCCCAATAAACTAGCGGCCGGCTGTCACACCCGTCTCCATCCAGCGAGCAGGAAGCAAACCACATACAGAGTTATTCACTAAGGTGAAAATTCAAAGTGCATTTCAAATGGAAGACCAGAGTAGCTAACGTGGAAATGTAGCTAACTTAAAGGGACAATCTGGACCACAATGCTCTCCAGCCTGCTGAACTGCTCTATGTGTGAGGAGTGTGTCCTCTTTTTTTCATTTTACAAAAAGATTAGATTTCAGCAGAAATTGGTTGGTATAAATTACGTATAAACTTGGTAATAAAAAGCTGCACACAGACTCTGTGGTTCTACAAATCTAACCTCAATAATCAAATTACCCAAAGCAATAAAGAGGGTGTGCTTAATAGTGTACAATATAATATGTATACTTATCGCAATAATAAATAATGTCTCCATCAAAGCAAACTGTTAATAAATACATAGAAGAGGGGAAAAAACCAAATACGTAATAATGCAGATTGTATAATATCACTGAAAATCTATAAAACATTAAATAAAAATGTAAAGAATATATAGTAGTGTAAACATTGTAAATATGATTGAGCGTGCTGGTGACTTACAGACTCGGCTCTATATAGAGCGTTCTGAAACTAAACTGGATACGGAAAATATTCAATAGATACATCTTGGATTCTATTGTCCTGGTGCATTCCTCCCCCACCACTCCATCCTCTGTGTAGGTGGGTGCAATACGCTTACCCAAAGGCACAGAATGCACACTCCCCACCCGATATGTAAAATATGTAAAGGTAACCTGTGGGTATATGTTATACGTCATGACACACGTAAGAAAGATTCCACAGAACAATCTCTGCTAAATAGAAATCCAAAGTAGTTTTTATTTTTTTATGTTTATTAGTAATAATTCCATTTACAGAAATTGGGAAAAGGAATGTCAATATGAATAACAAGAATTTGGAAAGATCAGGCATCAAAAGTGCCTGACTGGCGAGTGGCCTCACAGAGGTACCAAGTTTGGTCAATTACATAGAGATTGGTACATACGTAAAGTACCGTAGGTTTCAGAGCGGCCTGTTGGATGTTCACTTATACAATCTTAGGATCTCATGCTCTCTGTTGCTGCCAGCCTGGGCAAGGTGAGAATGGGTAGAAAGGGACCAATAGGAAATTGTGATTTCTAGAGTTTATAAAGTGAGTGAGTTGGTTGTTTCTAAATGCTTGTAGTGCTGAAGGTGTGGTTGAAGGTCTGACAGTGTAAGACTATGAGACGGGGAAAAGGAGGGTATTTGGAATCAGAGTATACAGAGGAGAAGGGTGTGGGGAAAGGGATGGTTGCTGGCGCATTCCCTGCCAACTCTTTAATGTTGGTACTATGGTCGAGTGTGTGCTGTGTTGGGGTAATAAACTCACTTCTGTGAGTTGAGACTGTAACGGACCGTTTTGCACACAAGAGGTTAAAAACCGTTTAGGCGATATTCCCCATTGAAATCCACGAACAGCTGCTGCAAGCACCAATCTCCCGAATTGCAAACACATCAATACTCAAACTCCCGAACTGGAACCATACGAATCCTCCAACTCCCGAACAGGAAACACACAAATGCTGTTAAACAGCCGAACAGGAAATAAAATACGAACAGTTTACACTCCTGGCAGTCGCACTGTAACAGCATACAATCCAATTCTCCCCAAGAACAAGACGACACTTCGTTTAAGGGTCAAGCAGAAAATTTACTGGGGCTACCTGCTTATGCAGGTCTCCCACCTGGTGGACACTCCCCTAGGGGACCAGATTGGAAACTGGGAAACATCCAATTATCTCCAAGGACAGAGGCAAGACTCCATTAACCACATGGCAGACAAAGGACAATAAAAGACATAAAAATACATACTGTTACATTTATCACATGGAACATATACATTCTACCTATCCCCAGATAGTTGAGATCTGAGCGCACATTATTACCGGATGGCGCTCAGATCACATACATACAGTTCAATTGCCATGGAGCCAAAGTCTTTCCCATAGTCTTTCGGTATACGAATGGGCTCCATGGCATAGCTATCTGGGGTAACACTGCTCACATAGGGAAAATAAAAGGTTTTAAATGCAAGGCCATAGTCCAGCGGAAAGAGGTGGGCAACCAGGCTCCTCCAGTGGCCAGTGGCGAGGTTGGTTCCACCACAGAGGCGCACTGTGCGGTCCATGCCTCGCTTTGGATTCATCAGACCAACGCGATTTTTGGGGTAATACTCGCTATTATTCACTTTATTCAGCTTTGACATCGACACTTCATTTATTCTACCTAAGAAGGGATTCCGGTCTTTCTGGTGTTGGTGGGGTAAATACCTTATTACACTGTGGGACATCACATATGTTATAGATTTTATTATATGTCTTTACTGTGATATGTTGTTATTGCGTCCATTATAAACTTATATCCAAATATATCATGTGACATCTATAAATGCCTGTTTATTCTGAATTTGTTATTGAACACTATGGATGAATAACCTTTTTTTATGTTTATGTTTTTCCAATTGATTTCCTTGGTAACCATAGTGAACAGCTGTTTATGGTTGGGAGGATCTCAATCGTCATGGGTGGCCACCCATTTTTTCAGGTGTTTTCCATGATTTTTTTATTTTTATAGGTATATAAGGGTGTTGTTCACTCTTTCACAACAGGCTTCCCTGATAAAGGCATTTTGCCGAAACGTTGGGGGCTTATTTATTGACTCTTTCCCTTCTTCTCACTAGGTCTGGTATGCTTTTTTTCTTTGTACATAAAATTGTCTATGGGTTTCTATGATTTGGTATCTCGTATAGCTATTCTGTATACTGGTATTCAGTAATTGATGTACCACGTAGTTTGCTTATATGTAATTCCAGAATTCGTAGCTATTGCATTATATTTTTCAGATGACATTGTTTGTCTTCTTTCTGATTTATTGATATATTTAATGAGACATCCAATTGCTGTAGACCCATCTAATAAAAACCTTTTCATATATATTTGTGGTTGTGCTCCTTGTTTAAGTAATACACTCAAAGATCCTCGGCATACCAGTAGCCTTGTGATAGATTTCTATAACTGGTAATCCCAATCCTCCCAAAGCCTTGGGTCTGGCCAGAACGTTGAACGGAACTCTAAGGTGTTTAGAGGCCCAAATAAAGAGGTAAATTGTTGTCTCACTGTCTGGAAGAAAGATTTGAGAAGCTGTATCGTCAATAGCTGCAAAAGGTACAATATGCGCGGAAGAGCATTCATCTTCAGAATGCCGATCTGGCAAAGCCAGCCAATTTGGGGCAGATTCCAGTTCGTAAGGTCCTGGGATACCTCCCTCAATAGCGTTGGGAAATTTAGGTCATATAACCTAGGTAACGAGAGAGAGAGTTATACTCCCAGGTATTTAATGACATTGAGGACCCATGTAAAGGGGAATTGTTGGGTGAGGATTGGCTGGTCGGTAGTGTATATATTGAGCACTAGGATCTTGCTTTTGATATAATTAACCTTGAAGTTTGCTAGTTCGCTATATATAGCTAGATTTCGTTAATGAGATGTGGCATAGTGCTCAATGGGTCAGTGATTGCAAAAAGCAGATCATCTGCGAATGCCGCAAGCTTATGTTCCAACTGTGCTGCTGTGTCGGACCGCCCGGCACTCCGACCGAGTGCCTCCACCAATCGATGCTCCTAGTGCTCACCGAGGAATTCCAGCACTCCACCAGACACCATAAGCACTGCAGACCCAACTTCCAGCGATGCAGCTGCACCGGGGTCTCGCCGTCCTTAACCCACCCTGGACCCAAGACCAGTTTCCAGCTTCCAGTGGGTAGACCTCTCCTAATACCAGAGAGCGTAGCAGGAACAGCTCTTACAAGAGCTACTGATTATAATTCCTTGGGAGTATAGTGATATAGCAATCCCCAGGATAGATACAGCCGTTTCCCCCACACAAGAGATGAGACTCTATGTTGAGGGTAAGCAGGAACTCAATTTTAATGGAGGCACACTGGCCTTTTATGCAAGTTTCCCAACAAGGGTGACACCCAGGTGGACCTTGTTGGGAACAGGGATACAAAGTGAATAAACCAATAAAAACAGAGTCATACAGTGGGACACTCCCATACACAAACAATAGAATAACTCCTCTGTGCCTGGGAGATAATTGAATCAGGGACTGTACTAATCTAACCTAATTATCTCCAAGCACAGAAAAACATACAATTTTATGAATTTTAATAGCACATATAGAATAGTGCAGGGTACCTACGAGCTGTACAATAGATTAGATCTTAGGTAAATAATGAAGTATATACTTCCAAACAAAATAATATGACATAGAAGTATGCTATGGTGACCAGATGTAATATATACGGTGTAGGTATCCTAATCCCTGATTGAGAAATACCAATACCAAATAATATACTTTCATAAGGATAAAAGATCAAAATAATGGCCACGAAAATAAAGTATACCAGTATATGGAACTGGTTGCTAAAAGGCAATATAGGTAATATATCGCTAGAACCACTAAAATTAGTAAGAAAAAACTGGGAATATAAGTAAAAAAAACTGTTTATTATGAAAAGTAAAAAATGAAGATGATCAATGCACAAAAGTATAACCAGTCCATTGTAGGTCAAAAGGGCAAGATAACCTTAATTTCCACCCGTGATGGATGAGGATACTGTTGGTGAGTTCGTCCTCTGGATTCCGACCGCCGGTGAGGATGGCGTGCATTTCAGAGTGCATTCCACTGCGGACCTCACTTCGAGGGATAGGCACTGTAGCAGGTCTGGATTCCGAAGTGAATAGAGGTTTCTTGAAACTGAACCTTTGCTGGCAATTGTTGTGCTTTGTCCAATTCTTCTTTCATCTGACGCGTTTCGTAGGTGTATAGCCCTACTTCCTCAGAGACTGTTTACATTTTACAACATGAGTGGGTCTTATATAACTAATGAATAAATTGCCAATTAAAAAGAAATCTTTTGCTAATTACAGAAGGTGAAAGATATAACATAATGTGTATTGGGACATGGTAAATGAAGCATTCTTGACATAATAAATCAACTATTTCAGAACTTTTGTATTGTTTTGGTCTTTTTATGGAAGAAGAGTGTTTTTTTTTTTTCTTAATCCATATTTCAAGACCGAAAATATTAAAGGCACTGCAACATTAAAATCTTGTATGGCTTATTCACAAACTTAATGATGACATGGTTTAATCGTTAATTAGCTTTCATTTGGTAGATTGATAAACCCCGGTCTTTTTCATACATGAATCTTCTAATGTTAAAAAATAGAAAACAAATGTGTTACAGTAATTGTGACATATTGTAACTTCATATGGATACATCACATCTAAATACAAATTACAGAAAATCAATTCCCATAATCTGCTCGTACAGTGTGTTTCCATTTAACATTAGTACATTATATAAAATAAAAATTCATTCTCGAGGTTTATTATCATGAAAGAGTTCATTTAGTAATCTTGCTCAGATTGTATTAATATTCAGAGTCATAAAATGAACTAGAGGATATATTCCCATAGAGGATTTATTAAATTACATATAATCACATAATCAAATGCAAAATTCATATTGTTTGCGAGGAGGACAAGGGCGATGTATGTAAATTCTACAAATGTACTTAGAATGGTTTTGTTTATATTTTGTTTATACTACTGCACTGATTTTCTCTTTTATTAGTTTTCAGGATTTTTATTACTATTGTTATTTTTTCCTGTCTCTTCCCAAGATGAATGTGCTAATCTCTAAATGATTTGCCCCGAGTTATGCCAATCTCTTCATGGGCAAGTGGGAAGAAGAATTTATATGGACCCCCTGCCCATTTGGCGCAAATCTGTCCCTATGGCGAACATATATTGATGACTGCTTCTTCATATGGAAAGGAAAGCTGGAATCTCTAGAAAATGTTATGATCTATCTTAACAATAATCCATATCATCTTAAATTCACTTTTAGTCATTCGAAAGAACAAATTGAATTTTAGACCTTCACATTTATATTGAGGAAGGAAGAATACATACGAAAACTTTTAAAAAGGAGGTGGGTTGTAACAGTTTTATTTCTTTTAACAGTCATCATAAATCAACATGGTTACGGAACATACAACAAAACCAATTTAGGAGGGTTAGACAGACATCTGCATAAACCAAATGGAAGACATGAAACAAAGATTTTTGGATAAAGGATACCCCGAACCACTTTTAGGAGAAGCTATGAACAAAGCACTAGCAATTCCAAGACAAGACACTCTTCATAATAAAACCAAGACCTCTGAACCTCACAACGTCGCACCAGCCTTCATCACAAAATACAACCATCAATCTCACACAATACAGAAGATCTTGAGAAAACATCAAGGAATCCTCAAGAATGATCCAACACTTTCTAAATTCCTCGACGATAGACCCCAAATTATTTTTACCAAGGCCTCCAACCTCCAACTCATGCTGGCACCCACCATCAAATTTTTCATCACTACTAATAGCCAGGAATCCATCCACGGTTTTACCAGATGTGTGAAATGCAAGAACAACCCTTCCCTGGTAGTAACAACTACGGGTTTCTCAACTTTAAACGACAAGGAAGAATATAATATTACAAGTAACATGGACTGCAATACCTTGGGGGTCCTTTACCTCATTACATGCCCGTGCCCAAAAAATATGTGGGACGTACGAAAAGACCACTCAAAACACGCAGAGCATATTAGGAACATTAGAAAAGGACTTTAAATGCACAACCTCTCCAAACATTTTAAAGAAATACATGGGGGAGATCCTGCAGGACTTAAGTTCCTACCGTTAAAAAAAAAAAAGTAGATGTGCACTGGAGAGGTGGCAACATAGAAAGAAATCGTGATCAAACAGAGGCTAAGTGTATTTTCCAACTAGATACTCTAGTTCCTAAGGGACTTAATATAGACTTTGAGCTTAATGCATTCCTATAAATCCCTTCCTCTATCCATCCTTACTAGCCCCTGTTTTTAGCAATCCCCCATCTGGTTGACATTCATACCTGTATCTTCCAGTCTCTTACACCTTCTGCATTTTTTACATCTTTATATGGTTTTTTTAAAATATATTTTTATATCATTTTATAAATTTTTATTCATCTTCATTAGTGATGTCGCGAACCGTTCACGGACTTGCCGCGAACGGTTCGCTGCGGTTCACCACGAACCGTTCGCCACGAACCCCGGTCAGCTGACACATCCCTGCCAATCTCCGGCAGACCCTCCCTCCCAGACCCTCCCACCTCCTGGACAGCATCCATGTTGAAGCTGTGAGTGGTGATATGCATGTGTCAGGGATAGAGATACAAACATTGCACATTGATTTGCTGCATATTCATCCAGTTTTTTTTCAAATTTATTTTTATATCTTTATATCATTTATACAATTTTTTTCACTTTTTGTCTGCTGTACATATGGTTCCTTTCTCTACTTTTTTCTTAATTTTTTTTTTTTATCCTTGTTCATATATTTAAAGGCATAGTACCGAATTTTTTAGACTTTTAGATTTTGCATATTTTTACATTTCCATCCTTTATCTGTCCATATATTCCACTATTTATTGTGTCATTCTATTATATTAGTTCAACTATCATCTGAGCCATTATCACAAGTTAGCTCCTGGGCTTAACACTAGAGTTGAGCGGACACCTGGATGTCCGGGTTCGTGATTAAACTTGACCCCGAACTTGACCCCGAACCCAAACCTCATTGAAGTCAATGGGGACCCGAAGTTTTGGCCACAAAAATGCCTCTAAAAAACTCCTGGAAAGGGCTAGAGAGCTGCAAAAGGAAGTAAAATGGGGGTAAGAGGAGGACAAGTGCCCTGCAAACAAATGTTAAAATAACATAAAAATTAAAAATACAGCCGAGCCATTATCACAAGTTAGCTCCTGGGCTTAACACTATTATTCAGGCTGTTTCCTTTGCTATTTTATTTACATAGGTTTTGGTGAATTCCTACTATTTCCAGTGTTAGTTAGATTCCCTCTATTCTGTATATCTCTTTAGGTATACCAGTTTTCTCTACACATACATACACATAAACACATATACATACATATACATGAACTCCTATACACAAATATAAATGCACAGTCACAGATATAAGCATACATGCATAAGAGTATGGGAAAGCTCCCTCTCCCCCCTCACTGTGCTCTTCAGAAAGATATTTATGACCCTTTGCAAGAATGTTGTCTATTTTCTAACAAACCTGTGTCTTATCTGCCCTCATGTCACTTTAACCCCTGTATCGCAACTCAACTTAGAATTCTATGTGTCATCTTGCTCAGAAATGCTTCAGACTTGAGAAAGGGATGTTCTCCTGAAAGCTTGTCATTAAAAAATTCTGTTTGTCTGATAAAAAAAGGTATTACAAGATACAAATTTTTTATCTGTTTTTTACATCTACATCACTGGACTAATACGGCTACAATCTCTACTTGAACACTGTGTATATATAGATATATATAAACACACACACATATACATATAATACGTGTGTATATAATATGTATATGTGAGAGTGTGTGTGTGTGTGTGTGTGTGTATATATATATATAGATAGATAGATAAACACACACTTTTATCTCCTATATATGTGTAATATGTTATAATTAAAGCATTTTATAATATATTATACATATATAATGCATATATATGATTACATTATAAGTGTACTTTGAGATATATGTGTATATATCGCAAAGTACACTTAAATGAAATCATATATATGCATTTTATATGTATAATATATTATAAAATGCTTTAATTATTTTATAACATATTATACATATGTATAATATATTCATTTTATATTTTTACTTTTTAGCAGCCTGGGGGACTGTCTGACAGCTCAAACAGTTCCCCTCCTGGCAGCTCTTAGACTTCTTTTGCGGCAATGTGATCATGGTGATCACATGGCCCTGGAGCTGCTGCAGGGGGACTGCTGGGATCTCCGGCAGTCCCCCCCATCCGTGATCACCACAGATCACCATTCCAGGTAAGTCCAGGGCTCCAATTTGCTGTGGTCATACTAGGTACGTCCGCGGTCCTTAACGACCATTTTTTTATTTGTCAGATGTACATAGTACGTCCACGGTCGTTAAGAGGATATACTTCGATATATATATATATATATATATATAATTTCATTCTAAGTGTGTGTGTGTGTGTGTATATATATATATATATATATGTATATATAATTATCAAAATACAGTTAGAATAAAATTACATATATATATCATTTTAAAAAATATATTTTTACAGTTTTTTTTATTTATATATATATATATATATTTATATATATATATATATACAAAAAATTACCGGCACTCAAGGCTTTTTCCATCTAAGCATATTTGGGAACATTACATTATATTGGTCATTACAATACGGGAATTATGGAGGACTTTCTGTCTCAGGCAGGTGCATGTTCTTCTCAGGCTAATACACTTCAATTCAGTGATGCACAGGCTGAAGAGATATTATGGAGTACTTCCAGTCTGGAATTACCCACGACTACAACATTATACATATACTTTAAGCTCCTAAAGTTAAAAAAGAAGGAAGTGGATTTGGATCTTCATGGAATTTTTCGTTCTGACTATCCCTAGGGGGTTTAGAGTGAGAAATATCCCTACCATTGGTAGAACTAAGGCCCGGGTTTGTAAAGATTGGACAGCAGTCCTTAATAAATGTTCTCTGGATCTTATGCTAATAACAATTCAAGATGTCAAAGAGGATTTAGTGGAAATTAGGAAAAAAATTCAAAATCTGGAAACTGAATATGCGCTCCAACTTAATACACAGGAGGGCAATAATTTAATTTTAAAATTAAATGAGGAAGTAATTAAATATAAAAATCAATTGATTAAGTTTAAAAGACAAAAAATGGAAAGGGTTCAGCTTGATTACCAAGAGTTCTCAGTCTATAGATGGCTCTCGGGGGAACATAAGGGAAGACCAAGAAGATTCCGTAAGAAAATAGTGAAACCGAATGTTTCCATTGTGGACATAACATCAGGGGAATCTGCGTCAGAAGGAGAAGGAAACCCAGTTGGAACATCAGTTCATTTTTTAGACGAGGGGCCTGCCCAAGACAGGATGAAACCACCCACAACGGTAACACGGAGTATGTTCAAACAAGGAAAAGATCCAATACCCGACGTGGACAAAAAGGACGAGTCCACTGGTCCAAAAGGGAGACCACCGAGGCGCAATTAGTTCCCATTTTTAATTTGTCAAAATGAGAACTCACACCAGCAGAAATAAATATTCTGAGTAAAGGCCTTTCCTTCATTCCGACAACCCCTCCTAATGGTTTCCAATGGGAAGTGGAACTGTTTAAGTTCGGCCGTAATATGAGATTAAAAGATTTTTAAAAAAATTCTAAATCTGGTATGGGAAATTCTTCCAATATAAAAAATACGCACAAATTTAGAACACAAAGCGTGTTTGACCCTCCAACAAATCAAGTAGCGATTAAATCTTTTCTTTCAACAGTGAAATATGAAACAGGAGCAGTTCTACAAAACCATCGACCTAAACACTATAACCTGTCTAGAGACGATCTTGCTCTAATTAAGAATTTGGCTTTGTGACGAGAGCAATATCGTCACATTGCATTGGAGAAGCCTGGTTGCTCGCCTGTTGCCTTTGGATTATGGCCCCATGTTAAAAGGCTTGATTTTCCCCTGCAAAGACAAGAAAGCCGGGTCATTTGGTGCTTGCCCTGTTTGAGCAGTGATACCCCAGATAGCTATGCCATGGAGCCCATTCGTATAATGAAAGACTATGGGAAAGACTTTGTCATAAATGTAACATTGTGTATTTTATTGTATTTTACTGTCTTTTTGCTGCCATGTGTTCAATGGAGTTTTGCCTCTGTCTTTGGAGATAATTGGATTACTTCTAATTATCTCCAGGATAGAAGACTCTGTGGAACTGGTTTTGGGCAGGAAAGCCATGCTTCCTGTGGTCACAAAGGACTACGATCTATCTTTTGAACCACTGGACCAATTTGTATGATTTTGATGTATGTTTGTATTTGGAGTATGCTGATTCTGAAAATGTGAATGTGATGCATACTTTTCAAGTTATGAATAATGTGGAAAAATTGTATTTCTCTGCTTGTGCTAATTACATTACCCATTGTGTAAGGTAATTGAATCACAGGCAGAGGGGAGGATTTTGTGTGGGAGTGTCTGAGTGTATTGTATGTGTTTATTGGTTGTGTTCCAAAACCCTGTGGGTGGTACTAATGTGTATATAAGGACAATAAACCCACAGCTCTGTCTGTTCACTGCTTGACCCTCAACACGGAGCTTTGTCTCGTTCTTGGGGGGATTTATTGTATGCTGTTCCAGTTTTTTTCCTATTCGGCTGTTTACAGCATTCGTATGGTTTCCTGTTCGGCGGATTGGTGTTCTGCAGTAGCTGTGCCTGTGTCTCTGGAAGGGGAAGATCGCCTAAATGGTTTTAACCCCTTGTATGCAAAACGGTCCGTTACAGGCTTCAGATCCAACGATAGTAATTCGACCAGCTGACAAGGGTGGGGGGATTGTAGTTTTAAATTATGATGAG